AGTCTTGCATAGGATTGTGGAAATAATTTTCTTCATATTAGCTCTAACTCATCTAGATATTGTCATTTCTTATTAGGGATTGTAAATATGAGGGGAAATGTACGCCGAGATCAAGTTCCAAATTAAATTGACTAGGTAAAATGAGAATGGAAAACAAGTGCCGAAGAAATAACCATATATTAACAAATCAGAGATGTCAAGGCTGCGAGAATCCAAAAAATAGAGATACCATGTCGTTCAATAAGTTCACGGAAAATGCGCTCATTTCAACGATTTTTGATATTTTCTCATGAAATTTTCACATAATGTGTAAAAAAATATTTATTGATTCATTAAGTATCAGCATCTCTCATTTGATTGGTTAAAAATAATGGTTACTATGGTAACTTGACTTTTGGGTAAGCGGGGCTTTTTTAACGTCTCATTTTTCAATAGAAAAACAACAGTGTAGTGAGCAAGTTTATGAGTGTATCACATGCATGTTCTCTTCTCCGCTTTCTATGTCTAGATATAACTAATATTATAGTCACGTGACTATTGTCCCATATGGTGTTTTGTTGCATTGTTTCATAATGTGCACCTCTTAGTTGATCCTTCACCCTAATGAAAACAGCAAAATCAAGGATTGCCTCATAGTGGAGAGTATAGAGCTTGGGGCAGCTTTGTCATCTATTTTGCCAGTTATCTGTGATAGTTTCCTGCAATCTCAATATTAGCAATGTGACTGGGTGCTGTATTATCCCGGTGGAAAAAAGTTAGAGTTAAGCTGAATGGTTAAGTTTTATTAACTTACCATTGCATAATACTCTGGTACCTCTGGCACAGCATGGACTAGCACGATCCCGGAAATGTCCAAGAAGACTATGTTCTAATTTTCCCTCATTACTTTTGTAATTTAAATAAGAACAGATCGAACATATGGATTCTTCATTTTTGCATATTGATAGATTTCTGTAATGGTAAATTGTGTGACGTAAAAAGTGCCCCGCCTGCCCAAAAGTCAAGTTACCAAAGTAACCATCAATTTCGACCAATCGAAATAGAGACGCTGATATTTTAAATAATCAATTGGAAAATATTTTTTACACATTGTGTAAAAATTTCATGAGAAAATATCAAAAATCTTAGAAATGAGAGAATTTTCCGTGAAATTATTGTACGACCTGGTATATGCAACAACTCTTCAACGTGCTATTCCCCAAAAGTCATTGCAAAGTTTGATGCCAACTTTAAGACCTCAGATTTGTCAAAAAGTTAAAAAATACACGTGTTGAAAGAAAAATCCAATTATTTTTACTTTAGTTCAGAATATTTTTCTTTATTTTAATTCAGAATATTTTTCAGAGATTTATACACATGAGTAAAACATCAGGATCAACAAGAAAATCATTTGACACAGTTAAGATAACTACACAAGTGGTTTGAAAATTCAGAAGTCCTCAGATTCGACGTTGCCCGCTCCTACAAGGTTAAGGTAGCCGTTCGCTGATGGGGCTTTCCCAGGCTGTGCCAGTCCGATTTTGTCCGTTAACCCCCCTATCACACCAAACTAGTTCTGACCCGTTCTTGCCAGTCCTACGAAAATGTCGTAAAACGGGCTCAATCTGACTGCGGTCGGGATATATGTCTAAAATAATTAGCTACTTCGTTCATAAACAGTCTTCAATACGTCCATCTCATTCGCAGTTCGTTCAGGTCGCACCACGTCGGTGTGCAACGTCGTATAACGCGTCCCTTAGTCTAGAAGGTCATCATGACCTGATTACAGAACGGTATGGTCGCCATCGAATTTTGAATCGATTCAAAATTCTAAATCACATACCCCGTCCGGGAAAGTCCATGAAGTTCGTAAACAGACCGTAGAACGTTGTAGCTACGTTCATTCAGTTCGCACACAGTTTAAAACCGATTCGGCAACGTTTTGACGATCACCAGAAAATTTTGAGCATGCTCTAAGTGCTGGAGGACCTACTCGTAGTAGTTTCATGAAGTTTGTAAACAGATCCCAAACGGTTGTTAGTGGGTTCTTAGTACGTCAAATCCGTTCGTGCACAGTTTAACCCCGTTTTCGAGAACGTAGTGAGAACTAGTTTGGTGTGATAGTAGGGTAGGGTTCACTGTTTCCCGTTTAAGTCTGTCGGATATCACAAAGCAAGAGTTCGATGCTCAATGAGCCCAATGGACATGAGATGCAGAACGTTGATGCTTGTTCATGGCATCTAAGGCAAAACAATACCCGTTCTTTAACTTTTACCAGTTTTGACCAATTATCCCAAGTTCGGATGATTTTTTTATTTTAAAATCTTACAATGATTGCGAAAAAGGAGCAATCCGATTTATTTTGTTTTCATATATTTTTGCTAATTGAAAATGGTGTGATTGGTTCCACAAGGACATAGAAAATTAAAAACCCCAGGGGAGTCACCTTCCTTCCATTCCCCGCGTTAGGATTAATTTCTATTTTTCTCGATCCGATGCTTTGTAATATGTCGTTTAAAGTTCCATGATATTCAACGTTCGGTTGACTGAGACATATAGGGCTTCGTATGACATCATTGAAATAGCACTTCCGTTCCAAAGGATCGATAATGTACCTTTCATCATTAATTGCTGGTGTAAGGTTCATTAATCCGTGGTAAATAGTTCCGTCTTCCTGTATTTTATCTACCTGTGCTCATTCCCTTTTACATTTCTTTCTATACTAGAGATTTTCGAACCTTGATTTTAAATCTTGTACTAGGTATAGCCTATACCGTAGCTGCGTCAACCAAATATCAGTATTGTATTCTAATTCTTATTATTTCCTTCTTTAAAACAGCAATACCACTAAGAAAAACGTGTAATTAGTTGAATGGGAAACAATAAATACAGACAGTCATACAGACGTATCACCTGTTCACTTTACCAACATTAGTTTATAAATAAAAGATAAGTCCATTGTCAGCCATTATTCCCCCGTTCATTAAATTACGTACGAGGGCTGGCGTATGAGCATGCCCGTAGCCAGGTTTTGTTAAGGGGCTCGACCCCCCTCCCTCACATCCACACACAAACATTTTTTCATGCTTAACCAACTTCGCGTTGTAATCACAGGGGTGTCATTAACAAGACACCAGGGGTGGCCACGAAAACAATAGTGGGGACCAAAAAATTTCCGCGCTTGCGCTGAAGGGCGCGGAAGGAAATTAGGGTCCAAATTTTGAAAAGATGCCCAGTAATGCCCAAATCTTTTTAAAAATGACTAAGGTGTGTTAGTTGATTTAGACGAAAAAATTCGAGCTAAATTATAGCTTGTAAAATAATAGTCGGATAGACATAGCCAGGGGGCATGCTCCCCCGGAAAATTTAGGATTTTTTGGATGATTTAGTCCGGGGATTTGGTGCGTTCTGAGTAATTCTAGGATCATAATATATGATTTATGTATTTCAAAAAGTTAGGCTTATTTGGCACGTTCTGAGCTATTCTCGGATCAAAATATATGATTTGTTTTATTTCAAAAATCAGGAGGCTTTTTCATGGGGCCCCTGAAAAAAATTGAGATATTTGGGTTGATTTAGTGCGTTCTGGACGATTCTAGGATCAAAATATATGATTTAAGTATTTAAAAAAATAGAATTCTTATTTAAAATAATCAGGGAACATGCTTCCCCGAAAAAATTACGATTTTTGGGCTGATTGAGTGCGTTCTGAGCGATTTTAGGATCAAAATATATGATTTACATATTTGAAAAAATTGTATTTTTAGGCTTATTTGGCACGTTCTGACAATGTCTGAGCGATTCTAGGATCAAAAAATATATATTTTATTTTATTTAAAAAAATCAAGGGGCATGCTCCCCTGAAAAAATTGAGATTTTTGGGCTGATTTAGTGCGTTCTGAACGATTTTAGGATCAAAATATATGATTTACGTATTTTTAAAAAGTTGAATTTCTAGGCTTATTTGGCGCGTTTTGAGCGATTCTAGGATCAAAATATATGATTTATTTTAAAAATTGAATTTTTAGGCTTATTTTGCGCGTTCTGAGTGATTAAAGGATCAAAATACATGATTAATTTCAATGTACACTTTTGGCCTGACTAATATTACGCGACTGCATATTCTGCGTATATTTAGCTACGCCAATTTTCTAGTTTTGTAATTTTTGGGGCCCAACATAGGTGGGGAGGGCTTAGCTCCCTCATGTCCGCCAGTGAGACCGTGTAATATCACCCCGACCCCCCCCCCCTCCCCATCCCCCGGCTACGGGCCTGATAAGCTATGATCTAATTCAGGTATAATGTAGATTCGTGCGGTCGTTCATGAAAATGGTCGTGATAATCTATGTAGGCAAAGTAAATACATCGTAACTTACAAACAACGACATGAATAAGAAATGGCGGATTATTTTCTTATATGTATAACGTTATAGTTGACATTAGGCGCGCCAAAGAGTTTGACAAAAAGCATATTCCAATAAAAAATCTTAGAGTGATCATGAATCCAGTATTGAATCCAGCAAGATCCGATTCGACTCGCCTACTCTCTTTGATAGCCTCCACAGTACAGAAGTACTGTATATATAATAGTTGATATTTTCTTGATTAACAGCCTGGTGTGAAATATTTTCCTTGTATACTTGTTGATTTACTACTATCCGAGGAGGGCAAAATAAGAAATAAGCGACTGAATTAAAATATATATTAGAACAAAACAAATACAAGGAATAGCCAACGAGAACCGATAGAATATTCGCTAGTTATGCACTTTTGGAATTACCTTCGTACAAACTAGATATAACTTGTACTTAGATTAGGCCAGAAGATGATATACGGGCGTTAGGTAGCACATCTGGTGTAGAAGGCACGGCACAATGGGATTTGAAACAAGTTCTAGTGACAAGGGCTCTAGGTAGTTTACAAAAGTGCTTATAGAACCCTAGTCGTTATTACACCTGAATTTAAAACTTAGGATGTCAAGTTAGGATGTCATAAGCGAAGAGAGCACTCCGTTTCTTTCACAGAAATTGCTTTTGTCTTGCTCAAAGTCATTGTGCATCTCGACACAATATGATATGGAGTGCGTCCGCTGCGTAACATCCAGGATAATGTAGAGCGCATTCATTACGTTTCAGGGACCTGATGCCAATATGGGCTCAATTATCGATGGAGGGATCGTCGCATTCATCGCATTGATTGGAATATGGCTGGTGGTTTCAGTAGTTTCAAACTTTATTGTTATCGTCATTGTTGCCAAAAACAAGAAGATGCGAACCGTGACGAATTTGTTTATTTGCAACTTGGCGTTGAGCGACATCTTTCTTGGAGTTTTCATACTTCCGCAGAATTTGCATGATTTGACCCACACCGAGGAGTACTTTGAAGGTAATATTTTATTATAAGTATTTCACCATATTCGTAGAATTTTATAGAAGTAAATATAAACTATAGATGCATTTGTATTCCCAATACCTCACGACAAGGACCTAACGATGATTTTAAACAACCCATGCAGACAGATCGCCTAATATTACATTCGTATGATGTTAGACTCGACATTCATGAGTTTATTCATATTGCCAATTTTATTGTTACATCGAGGGACTATATGGTTTTTCCTAGAAATATTACTTATTTTGCGGAATTAAGTTACACTCTAGCCGGAATACATCTATCGTCATTGTTGCCAAAAACAAACAGATATAGTCAGAATATCATTTTTATCTACGAGGTGATATTGATATTTGCACGAGAGAGCGAAGCGAACGAGTATATATATCAATATCACCGAGTAGATTAAAATGATATTCTGAAAAAAATCATAGGGTGTTCTTATTATCCTTCACTTACAAGGAGTGTCCTGAATGTATAATTTAATATCATTGTAAAATGAATTTCATGCCAAATAGAGTCAATTTGGCGGGAAATCAACAAGCGGAGTATATCGTCACAATATCCTCCGCATATTGGGTTTTCCGGAGTATATCGTCACGATATCCTCCGCTCGGAGTATATCGTTACGATATCCTCCGGATATTCATTTTGCCAATAAATATCAAATTTATTTTTTCATGTTATTATACATTTAGTACACTAAGTGTAGGATAAACAAGTGTATTGTACTTTTGCATAGTGTATTTGCTCATAGTCTATGACCATAATCTTTGCAAGGAATTTCATTGAAGAAACATAAGAATGCGTATTATTGTTTGGTTTATTGTGTTTTTGTATCATTTTTAGACTTGACAAGCGTAACGAATCGCGATAAATAATTAACTTGTTGATAACAATCTATTTGGAAAAACATACTATGGAATCACGAAATTACAATTAGACCCGATACAATTATTTTTCGTTTTTCAGATATCAGTTTTATACACCTAAATTGTGAATTTAATATATATATATTATATCCTATTATTTACATCCAAAACGTATCGTTATTTGTCTATTGATTCACAACAAGCAGATCTAGGGAGTATCACAAATATATAAATTTAAAACTTCTCTTGTACATAAAAGTGAATTTGAGTGTGACATGCAAGTATTTAGCGCATTGCATTTTAAACCGTTCGTAATTTGAGACGTGTATATTAGGGATCCCATGAATTGCTCGGGTCCCATCGATGTTTCGAAATAATCGGATTATTTGATGTGTGTCGAATATCTTAATGCAAATGATGTGATAACAAGTCAATTTCCTGAGAAAAAATGTTTTTTCTCTAAATTTTCACGTTCAAATATTTTTTTATACCATGTTGTGAGAGTTGCAAAAGTATTCACACCTAGCTTCTACAGAATTTTTTTTGTTTTATTTATTTTATTTATTTATTATCTATTCCCAGTTTTGATATATCTAAAGGCAACAGAGATTATTAATTGATGATAAATAGGGCCGATTTGGATTTAAATTGATTAGACAAATGAGTTATTAAAATTCAAACTGATGGTGACTTTTGGTACTACTTTGCAGGAGACTTTTCTTGTCGCGTAGTGAACGCGTTGCCAATCTACTGCATAATGAACTCGATTTGCACAATGGTGATGATGTCTGTGGAGCGCTACAGAGTAATCGTGGTAACATCAAAGATAACATTAAAACAGGCTGTCCAAGCTATTGTTGCGATTTTTCTCATTGCAATTGCGACGTGCATACCCACAATTATTGAATACAGCGAATATACGATATCGATAACATCAGAGGAGGAGGGTGATGTACCTGTAAGCCTTAACTCAGCATTGCTCAATATGACTAGCAATACCACCACCATTCAGCGACTTCGATGTGGGAGTAATTCTGTCTCCCATACCTTCTCAATAGCTAACGGGTTCTTTCTGCTCGTCATTGCTTATGTTTTACCCTTGATTATAATTGTAACGAACTACATGCGGCTTGGGTCATTCTTGGGGTCACGTGCAAGGGTGATACAGCCAGGTACCACACAAGTGAACAGTTTCCAGCAGTCGAACGCGTTGGCCAGGAAGGTGAAAGTTGTGAAGATGCTCGTGCTGGTTGCAGTCTTGTTCGCCTTGTGCTGGATGCCCTACTTTGTCTTGCTTCTGATAGCAGTAAGTTCAATTAATCATACCCTGGACTTTTCATCTTTAGTTAGACTTATAACTAAGATCTATAACAGATAAGATCTATTAAAGTTAAGAGTATAAAGTCTTAATGCCGTTCAATGAAATTAAGAAGCGACGAGTTGTGAGTAAATTTTACAAATAATTTTCTCTTTTTGCTCTCATCATGTAATGTCAGGTCTTTGTTGTAAAAGGCTCGATACTTCCCGCCATTGATCCTATTACTATAGTATTTCAAGGGTATCCCACCGAACGAAGTTCAAGGGAGATAGAGAGAAGTCGTCCGTTCATTCGTCCGTCCGTTCTTGTATCCGGGCGATAACCCAGATACTGCTGGACAGATTTGATCCAAATCTTACAGGCGTATGCCTTATGTGTGTAGGACCACTGCTAGAAAATGAATTTTCAATATTGCCGCTCAATTTGAAATGGCCGCTATTTTTGAAAGAAATGTAATCTTTGATAACTCAAATACTAGTTAACGGATTTGGTTCAAATTGTATATGCCGATCCCCAGGAACACAATAACTCTGTTTGTAAAAACGTAATCTTTGAAAACTCAAATACCAGTGAACGGATTTTGTTCAAATTTCTTATGCAGATGCCTGGACACACATGGTAGCTGAAAGGTCGATCTTGCCCCACCGTCGTTGCTACACTATGGCCCCTACATGAGTAAAAAGTTGATTTACTTCTTTCTTGAAAATAAATAAAGTCTAGAATCCCTGGTCGAGAATTAGCTAATTGTTGAACACTAACGGATCTACAGTACTGCAGTACTGAGTGGGATGAAAGAGCTGGTTTCATAATTGCTTGTACTTATGGCACCATTTAGACGTCGTAATCTGTTTCTAGTTTTCTGTTTCATTTGACTACTTAATTGTCTTCAACGAACTACTGTATATTGACGTTCAACCTATAAACAAGCTTTCATATTTTCCGTATCTGATCCGATCTTTATCATATTCCAACTTAAAATCTCGAGACAAAAAAAACTTCCGTTTATACTATCTATTTGCTTAAATGCCGATTTTAACATGTCGCCAATGGACAATGTGAGAAATTAATGCGTGCCAGGGAATTAACTGCCTCTAAAATTGAAAAATGTGCGAACAGATTTTTCAATTTTGGAATTTTTGTACTTCTTACATTGTGTACTGTTTGAGAATTTTTCAAGTTAAATGCAATTTATTTTCAAAAAGAAGATTTGTCTATGTACATTGTGTAGATTACATTATATCAATATGAATTCCAAATTTTCTAGATTTACTGAGGATGAAGTTTACAGATATTGTCCCTCTAAGAGCAATGCAATGAAAGTTTTGTCAAATAATACCAATATACCCTGGACGCAAAGGTTATTTCGAAAGTGAACTAAGTCAAATGGGTGATATTTCAAGAAGCTCTTTATGGTGACGATCAACAAATACTGTCACATTATTATGTTTACTCGTGCCATACGGGTAATCAAGTCGGTAATCAAATGATGAGATACACGATGACATGGCAAAGATAAGGATGATATAGGTTTCATAAATGCAATTCATGTTCATGCCGTTAGTCACGTAGTGGTAGTCAGATAGTAGCACCGCCAATATTTTTATGGCCAGATTCAAAACTTGAGTTTTGCGTCGAGAGGCCATTTCTCTTCATAACTACCAGTCACGACCTACTTTTTGATTGTCAGATGGAACCGATCCTGAAATAAGATAAAGCTCCCACCCTCATATTATTAAGGGAGGGTCCGGGGAGTCAAATTATTTTAAGCCTCCAGGGCATTACTTTTAAGGCATTATTTTTTGATTTTAGGCCAAATTAGGCGGACTTTTTTCAGATTTGAAATATGCCTCCCCTTGTTCATTCCCAGATCCGCCCCTGTACTTTGCGCCTTTCGCGATGAACGTCTTAAAGTGTTATATTCTTGTTCTTAATCATTTTCAGAAGATGACAGGAGCCGACGATAGTGCAGATTTGAATGGCGTCTTCAACATGATCAGATTGACACTGTCAGTTTTCAGCACTTCATACAACACTGTCCTGTATGTAGTTTACAACACACAGTTCAGGGAAGGCTTCAAATCAATCCTGTGTGGATGCTCAATATGTCATTGTTGCTCAACAAGTAATATTGAAATGTTCTCAACGCAGGCAACATCATCCTCCGGGCACAGGGGTCCAGATAGAACAGGTGTCCAAGGGTCCTTCAGAACAGAGTGGACAATACCCGGACCCAAGCTTTACTCCAGAACGGGTTGGGTGATGTCTGGACCCCTGCAGGATGAGGCAATAATGCCGACGATAATACCCGCGAGGGCTTTTGATCAGAACATTGAAGAGGAACCAGCAGCGTACAAGCAGAAATGAATTAAGAAATCGAATTTATTTCAAAATTTAATCCAAGACAAAGTGGCTCAAAGCTGTGCAGTACGGAATGACAGGGCGATCTAACATCTCCATTCGTATCTAATTCGTTTAGAATAAAGTCTCACCCTGACACTGGCGGATCCAGAAACTGATAAGGGAGGGGGGGGGGATTTCAAATCAGGCAAATCATTTTGCGCGTAAAAATTTTTTGGGTCCCTTATTTCAAAAATTGGGCCCAAATTTTGAAAAATTAAGGTCCATTTTTGATAATTTGGCCTACAAAGGTCCAAAAGGCCAAGTAATACACAAAAAGGCCCACTAATTGAAGCCCTACAAAATTTGTAGAGCCCCCCCCCCCCCCATGTTGTCCCCCCTGGATCCGCCAGAGCCTGAAAAAATATTCATAGACCATCCTTGTTAAAACTAAATACGCGCATATATGCGCATATTACAAATATGATTGTGAAATTGGCTTTCACCATTCACTGATACAGGGTGGCCACAATTACAATACCAAGTCTCTAACTCTTGTAAAGAGACTTTTTGGACACCTTGTATATATCTTATATTTATTGTTAGTTTGTGACTTGTGAAGGTATCATTACGTGAAATGAACAAGTATTCGTTTTGATTGCTTGATGTTTTTCTGTTATGTTTCCAAATAATGACATTTTTATTGAATTTGATGTTTTTGAATCTCACGATATTACACACTTGTGGTTTAAATTCATAAGAATGGCCAACAATGTGATTCAGGGATATTATATTCGAAGTGAAAAGATGAACTCAGTGCTGGATACAAACCCATAATGTAGAAGAGTGCTCAGATATAGCTTATTTATAATGTAGTTCACCAGTCACAAGCTTGACAGATGATAATTAGTTATTTTGTACATGATTTATCGTTATGTTTTGCTCATAAATCTGTATTTTACGTTGTATTAGATGCAAATGTAATTTAACATACACTTTGAAAGCTTTGCCTTTTTCATGAACCAATTAGTTAAGCGAGGCCTATAATACGTCGGGCAGTTCATCGATGGTTAATACGAAATAATCCAGATGACATAAGAACATCGATTATGCAGAAATACACCAATTCCAATATGTTATGCCTCGATCACTTAATAGTTCATAGAACAAGGTACAGGGTGAGAAAATTCGTACCTAAAATACAGCAGTGTGACTGTGTGAGCTTATTGGCCCAGAATGCAAGATGGCCGCCCAAAAGTTAATCAGCTCCAGAACTTCTATTCTTTACCATGTAACATGTGTAAAATTTGAAGTAATTTCGTTGAGTGGTTTTCCTAGAATCACGATGACAATTAAAGTGAGATGCAAAGCTGAGGACAAGGTCGTATCCTGGCACGATAACAACTCATGCAGATGTAGAATTTTGACGCCTGCGCGACACCTTGTAGGGATCCCACCTGCCTTGTTATAATGATTGCGTTCATTGTTTTCACGTATTTCCGCACTTATCAATTATAAGGTCTATTGCAAAATGTTCGTAGGGTACTTCAAAAACCATGAAACCAGGTCTATAAGAATATAAGGTAGCTTACGTATTTTTAAGTGCCATTAGGTCTTAGCTATCATTGTGATGATCTTAAACTAATCTGAACAGGAGAGTGAAAAGACTAGCTAATCACTGTAGTTGAAAGCGTCGGAGTCAATGTCCCACAGGAATTTACCCTTTAAAACTACTAATGTAATGAGGAAATAGTCGATTTGTTTCGATTTACTATTAATGCAGAATAAGCACATTACCTCGACAGATTTTTCCTTAATTATACACACTTAGCATTTCAAACTATAGCATGATAGAAGGAAATACTCAATATTACCCTGTGCGCAGAGTTCAATTACAAACTAAGACGAAGCTCTTATTTGAGAAGCAAAGTCGAATAGATACAAAGGGTAACTCAATATATAATATTACATATATAAGGGTTATGTACTTGGAGGTTTTGGATATGGGGTTTATCCAGAGGGAGATATGCATATCTACCTGAGGGACCGTAGGGACCGAAGGCAGATGTGCATATCTCACGAGGGATGAACCCAATATCCAAACCGACCGTACATAACTGCTTTATCCTATACTAAGTAGAGTTTTCAGGGGCATATGGCCATTTTAATAGTACAAGGTGTAAAAATAAATAAATCATTCATATGCAAAGTCATTTTATTGCATTTCCCCTACTTACCGGAAGCGGGAAGATATGCACCGAAGCGGGAAGATGTGCACAGAAGCGGGAAATATGGAGGTTCTGGATATGGAAACCTCAAAATCAGAATACGGGATATATCTTACCAATTTATCTCCCTAAAACTCTACTTGGCATAGGATAAATCAGGGTAATGTACTAGGAGGTCTAGGATATGGGGTTTATCCAGAGGGAGAAATGTATATCTACCTGAGAGACACTAGAGACCGAAGGTAGATGTGCATATCTCACATGGGATAAACCCCATATCCAAACCGACCGTACACAACTGTACCCAGTAGAGTTTTATATTTTTTTCAATTTCTATTTTTTGGTTTTGTAAAATTATTTTTCTAAAAAAAATTTTCATATTTTTTTCAAAGCGGGAAGACATGCCCTGGAGCTGGAGATATGGAGGTTGAATCTTTAATCAATTCACTCTCCCATTATAGTATGTCATTACCCTGAGAGCAAAGGTTAGCTAAAAAACTAGTGAAGACAAAGCTATCTTTCAAGAAGCTAAGTGAATCGGTTGGAAAGGGAAGATTGTCATTATAGATAATAATATATACGTAATATAAATAATATAGAAAAGATTTGGGTCATGATTGATTATGTATATATTTCAATAATATGATAAAAAATGTGGCCTCTTACATACAAAATGAAAAAATATTTAAAAATATAATTGAATATTCAACCACACATTATGGGTCTTCTGGTTCATTTTGGATGCAATAGTATATTGCATTAGACCTTTGATACAAAACAACTTTCTGAAGCAAAATAAAAAATCTGTATTATGGCAAAGTGTACATTTAAATTCACAATACTGAATATACATACTTATCTGGAAAACAGCAGCAAGGTTAAATTAAAAAGTTATACATGTATGTCTAACTAAAATGATTATGTAATACCAGCTGCTTAATCCAGTCTAAGAGATACAATTAAAGTAGAAGACAAACAGTACTTATAGATAACATTTAATAAAGACACAAACACACGATTTCCATATAAAATAAAATGTTTTGAAATCTAATATATGTTTACAAATAACTGTCCAGTTGGCATGATTATCTGGAAATGACCATCTTTTTCTGTGTAATATACTATACTCATATAAGGTATATCAAGTTATTAATTGTCTACTTTACTCATAGATGTTGGCAAGATCGTTTTGTAGAAGAATGTCATACTGGCTCAAAGAATAATTCTATGCCTTTACTAATTCTGTAATTGTCTTATTCATCATGACACAATTTATCGTCAAGCAAGAATACATATTCTTAGCGTATTGTGTCTACCTACAATACATTTGCGTGTAATGCTATCATATATCATAAATTTTGTGACAGCATTAATGCATACATGAATGTATACCACTATGTTAAAGTCAGCACAGCTGTTCAGTCTTTCCTGTCTGTTATTTAAACAAAACCACATGAAAAATAATAGAGAAAACCTGTAGAATCCATGATTGATCAGGCATAAGATGAACATTTTTAGGCCTAAATAAAACAAGACATACATATCTTGGTATGAACAGATTCTCTGGATTTTTTGACAATACCTGTATTTGTGTGGCGCCTGCCAAGATGCAACACCCCAAAAATGCAGACACGCCAAGCGGCACAAGGCAAGAATATAGCCCTTTTCCAGTGATATGTGATATAAAAACACATAGAAATTTGATTCTCCAAAAAAAGTTAGTATGCATGACAGTTTGAAGTTTTTCCCAAAAAACAATACAAATGCACAAGGCATTAACATGCAAAATATTACTACCTGCCAATTGTTACAGATGCTGAACTCCAAACGAAGAACACCATCCATAAAATGTTGGAAATTTTAACAATATGTAACCACTTGAGGTGTTGACATTAAAGTCAAAAACAATTGGCCTTATATCTTATACCTCAATTTAAGTGATCTAGGATAATATTATATACATAATATATGTATGAATAATAAAAAGGAATGGTCATGATATATTGCCTATATGGCAGATTTCTAAATGGATATACATGTATCTAAATATGTATGTACATGTAGCTATATGCACATGAAAAGACTGATAGACTTTGACTGCAACAGTTCTTTCGGATTTTGAACAATCTTTAATTGCACTTTAGTTTTATCTCCTGCATTATACACACGGTATATGCAGTACTGGTCTCCGTCCTTGACACCCATTGCACATTGCAACTCTAGCACTGAAACAGGGAAGTTGGCTCTATTACCATGGATTGTGCTCTTCACCTCGATAAAAACATGTGAAACAATTCCATTTTCATCCATTCTCTTAAGCAAAATATCAAATGGAGTGGTGGTAACAGAGTCAATGTTCATCCATTTTATTTGCACTTTTCCCTGTTTGATTTCTTCCCGATGTTTAAACTGTAAATATTCATGGACCCAAGACTCGCCCCAGCGTCCAAAATCATCTGACTGAGGCCCTGCAATGTCAACACATCCTTGGAGATCAAGATCACGGATTTCAGTTGGGATTTCCTCAATTTCTATATCACTAATGTTGGTGTGATCAGCCAGCAGTGTCTCGTCCATAATGACAGGTCCCACTTCACCGTGGTAACGCTTCACAGGGCTTGGGGAACGGGATCTCATTGGTTGAGCAGGCAAGTCAGGGTTAAATCTAGGTGGAATATTACTTTCAACTATAGATGGTCCCATTGCTGGTAATGGATTGTCGACAATAGATGGCCCTTCAGTTCTCCTTGACATTTGACCTTGATTGTTTGAGAAATTGGCACTTTGTGAGGAATCCTCTCTGGGAATTTCTGATTGATCATGAGCTGCAAAAAAGTTATCCTACAATTTCATAACAAGGACAAACATGGTACTTATGTCACCACATGGTTGAAACTACAAAGGTGTGCCGATTTGTAATCATTCATGAAAATCAAAGTCATTTTTAAGTTGAATTAAGCCCAACTTATGTAGCAACACAATTTAATAAAACAAACTGTATCTTATTTTAAAGAATATACAGTTGTATCGCATGAATTAATTTCAACATGCTCAGGTATGAGGACAGGTTTTAAGAACGGCCTCAAAAAGTTGTCACATTTCTTAAATTTAAAGTGAAAGGATGAGTCTGGGAATGAGTCTGGGTATCGACTTAGAAAATATTGAAAATTGTAATGTCTGAAAAACCAACTCAATCACACATATTATTAAACTTCAATATCTTATCCTTCTTCTGAGATTACTAAAATATCAATTTGTATCACAATTGATGAAGAATATTGGCATCAAAGACAGTGCATATCACTTTGTCAGAATTGAAAAAAAATCAATGGCAAATATTAAATGAATTATTTATACAAAAAGTTTGAAACATATCCTCCAAAACATTGCTTATTTTCTTTGTATAGACATTTAATGGTATTTCTGGATAAGTGAATTTGTGTTTATCTGGGTAATCAAGGGATTACAGTCACTCAAAGTTACTGAGCATCCAGTTTTGAGACTTCAATTGTGTTGGTGAAGTTACACATATTTCAGTCAAATTCATGCTGAGCACAACATTTTGGTTTCAATTTTATAATCCCTATACATGACCCTGGTGATGAAGAGTCAGATTCAGTCAAAAAACCCAAACCGGAAAACTGTGCTCATTGTGAAAACTAAAAGTTAAGCAACTTTTTTTCTGATATTTCTTACATCAAATGGCAGCCATCTTGTTTTTCCCCCTTCAAATTAAACTGGCGGGAAATTCAAAAATTTGAAAAAATTTTTAATCCTTAAATATATTTCAAAAATATGATTTTCTTTTTAATTCTTCATGGGTCTTAAGTTATTTCTTCTTTGTATGTCATACATGTTGCCATTGGTGTTTTTTCTATGATAATGACTATTTTCTGTTTGTTAGGCTACTTATTCTGACTCTCAGCAGGGGGCTAATTATGCATCAAAACTCATGAAAAAGTAAATATACTTATCAAATATAACTAGGACAGTAATAAAAACCATATTTCACATACATTTGACTGAGGGACCAAAAGGGCATATACCCAGACACATCCTTTTAGAAACAGATTGTCAATATCTGACAAAAATGTTTGAACTTTCCAGACTTGGTGTACTCAGTTCTAATCTACATTATGTGGACGGATATTGGCTATAATATTAACCTAACCTATGTAACATGAGACAGAATAGATAAGATTAGATTGCATTAATCATAAAATACAAAGACATGTGTGTGGTAATTACGATAACATCAGAGGAACAGTGAATGGGATGGAAATGTATTCATCTCTGATCAGATGGATAAGCATTTACATCACCTTTATTACCTAATATTTACTGGGATATTTACTGTGTTCATTATATATTTATCAAAAGGTCTCTAATACTTCCCAATTTGTTCATTATTCTCATATCAGACAACACATGATCAACCATAATCAGGCCCGTAGCCAGGGGGGTTCGCAGGGTTCGGACGAACCCCCCCCCCTGGCCAAAAATTCTTTCAAAATCATGCAGTTTTTCACCATTTTGAGCACTTCTCAAGTGATTTTAGCCATATTTGGGCCAAAATTGTCAAAATTGTCAAATGTGTACCCCCCTTGGCAAATCCAGGCTACGGGCCTGATAATTAATCAAATTTATGAATCTTGGAATTTAATTTCCTCTGGAAATGATTCCCAGGATTTAATTCTCAAACACGTCCTCTTCCAAAAGACATTGTTCGCCAATAGTTTTGACCAAATCCTCATTGGTCCAAATGGCATTTCAAGCTCACACAATTATCCCAGAATAGCGACATATATTAGGGCCACAAGTTAGACCAAACACAATAATGCAGAAATGCCTTTGGCCCACCCTGTATAACATGTGAACTGAATGAAACATTTAACAAAGAACCCATTGTGATTTCATATAATGTTTCAGTTCTTACCTTTGGAATTCCTACTTTCATTTATATGCTGACTGTGTTCACCTTCAGCGTGTAACCTCATTGTTTGGTTAGACACAGGAGGTGCATCTCCTTGATGGGACATAGCCTCCTCTGGAGCAGGCCTTCCAACCAGACCAGAATTCTGTGAACCACTATACTGACTAGGACTCTGTTCACCAGAATAATGGTGGCCACTTTCAGAATGATGGGACGCAGACCTGTAATTTAGAAATGCCCATGTAATAAGTAGGGCAATTGCCCTTTTATACCCTGTCACCTTTCTATATTAAAGAAACTTTGATATATTGGCTAGATAGGTGATGTCATAGGTTGTGCTTTGCAAAATTAGCAATATGTTAATGCAGTCGGCCTAAGTTTATCCTATTTTTGATATTGTGACCTACCAATGACACAATTAATCCAGCAACTATATCACAGCTTGATCTGCCAAACAGTGGCACTTATGCCTGGGTCACATTTGCTCCGATCCATCAGCTGGCGCCTGGCCGATTGAGTGTTTTGTTCAATATTGTATTCAATTTTAAACACAATACTCAATCGGCGGGGCGCTGTAGAGAAAATCGGAGCAAATGTGACCGAGGCATTACTGTATAAAGTACTTGTAAACCTTTCAAATAATATTCAACATTATATTGCTTTATCAATGATTTTTTAAAATTGTGCAACCTCTTTTTTCAATATTAAGATTTTTTCATATTTCCCACTGAACTCCATGCACATTAGGTTGAAGGTTAAGTTTAATATTCTAGGGGCCATTAACAGAAACTTCATAAAGTTAAGAATTCGTAAAGTCCATTGTTCTCTAACTGTGACATCATTGTATCCATGGTTACAACAATTGATTTACGAATTCTTAACTTCACAAATTTTCTGTTAATGACCCCCTGATGATTAAAATAGGATTCATAGAAAGATTAAAAATTGCGACAAAAATGCCATATGAGCATTAATTGAAAGCAAGAATTATTGTTCATTTCACAAACATGTGACAGCGAAATTAGATATCAGTAACACATTTAATAAGAGCCATTTTAATAACATACATCTTATAACAGGAACTTGTAATAACTAAGATGCATGTAACAGAATCAATGACAGCAATTTTCTTATTCAGTAAGATATCATATATCATCACCTGATAGCTGACATCACTATAAATCACATGTGACAAGCAGCATGTGTGGGTAACAGCTTTTAGATAATTACTGATTACAGGAGAACCTGTGTAAGTGGAACACCATTGGGACCCCATTTGTTCCACTTATGAGGTGTTCCACTGATAGAGGTTCATTAACATGGAGTAAATGGGCCACGGGACTGTTCCACCTGTGAGGTGTTCCACTAAGCAGTTTCTACTGTATATAGGAGCATCTGGCCAAGATGAAAATATCTGAGGATGTGGGATCAGAAATAGAGTGTTTGATATATAAACTATAACAGTACAATGCAATGTAGACAGAGATGAATAACACAATAGATGCCCCCTACCTGTCAAAAGGAGGTCCAGCATACAACCCAGCTCCACTTATAGAGGACATTGGACTTGTGGCACCTCCTTCAACACGCTTGCCACCAGGCCTGCCATCTCCATGTACACCCTCTGGTGGGGCTGGTTTGGGGTACAGCTCATATACAGATTTCTCCTGGGAATCTAAATAATCCAATAAAAATAATAATAATGAGATTGAATAATTACATTATTTCAAAATGAATTTTTTTAAATGTGATTCCTTATTTGAATGCAATATGTACATTTCAGCAAGAGTGTTATTAATAAACATCATTATTCTTAAAAAATAAACTTAAAAAAAACAAGCAGTTGAAGAATCTAGCAATATTACTATGTAGAGCCTTCAGTAAAATTGTACAATTAGTAGAATATGATTATGACATTTGACAAAGGAGACACGTCCTACCTGAATTGTCTAAAGCTCGAGGCACATTGGGATTTGGCCTGGGTGGAGGCCAACTCATGAGGGAATCTACCCCCTTCTTCTTATTGGCATGTCTGGCCTCTGCAGGCTCCTCTTCCACTGTAATATGTTGAAAACACATATCATATGATTTCTAATATTCATTATTCAAATATGCCAAGTGAGTCTCAGCCAATCAGCTTAATTTCAGTGTATTTATAGGTGTATGGTCACCTAACCAGAGTGCATTATGTGTGCATAATGTTATGATCAGCAAAAGGGTATCGTCATCAAACAGTATACATATATTATGGTTGCATAAAGAACTGGACAATGTCATTTTTATGAAGGAGTGATAGTGTATTTGAATTGCAATAAATAACTTGGTCTGTATCATTCTTAATTGGAAAATTAAAAGCTTGAGTGGATGTTCTAACCCATCCCGAGAGATACTCAGGCTCTGCCCCTGTGCAATTTGTGTATTTTGATTTGAACATGGACTCATGTTTTTAAAGAGAATGATACAGAATGTTTCATCTATAGTGTTACATTAGCTATATGTATTCCACATTACCTGGTTCAGGGGTAGGTGGGGGTGGAGTTGGGGCTCTAGGGGCCTCTACATGCCACTTTTTCTCACTCTCAGGAACTTCAACTAGATCCCATTCCTTCACAAACTCTTCCTCTGACACATGCTGCTGACACAATGGCTGCTTTAACGCTCGACAAAATGATGTATATTCCCTCACCATTTTATCGCGATTTGGATCCGATTTAGGCAGAAGGATTTTCATAAGTCCTCCACAGATTTCCAAGTGAGATTCAATGTGATCCTTGTGAATGTAGAACTCAATTGGGCCTTCATCTTGCTTTACAGAGCAGTTTTCACTGACAGGTACACTCAGCTCTTCTGCCCCACACTGTACTCTGTATACAACCTCCAGTTTAGCTGCCTGGAAGAACTTCATGAGACTAAGTCGGAGATGTATTTTTTGATCACATAGATTTTTGTAGACCCCTGAGAAAATCTTTTGTGACATCATCATTCTTTGAAGGAACGGAACGACCCGGCTGATGTGGGATTGGGCAACAGGTGAGACCATAATGCTCTCAGGGACCACCTCAGTTTGAAGACACTCACTGAACTGCTTCACTTTGAACATCTTGAGAAAGCCTTGTGCATCCTCATTATCCTCTAAAATACACAATAAATAAAAAAAATTATAAATTATAATTGTACATTTATAATGTACAATATGTAATACTTAATCATAAATGCTTCTGAAATTCATTGAAATATCTTTTTGAGGAATATAGACCAGAATTTACATGTTTATTGGGGTAGCCTATATAATGGTGATTTGACAATTTTGATAAATAGCCTATATGACATATTGTCCACATCTTGTTTCAATTCAAAGATGATTTTTATAAATATCTTTTCAAAATTCATATTTATGATATACTTGAACAAGAAATTGCCCCTACAGTTGCTCGCAATCTAGTCCAACCAACACCAACCACAAGTGGTGGTGACATAAAAAACAGTAATATTGTAATGTACCTGGGAGAGGATGTATGAAGTTGACTTTGCCAGGATGATGTTTCTGGAAGAGTTGAACCATGTCTGGATTGTCTTGTATAAGAGGGTGCTCATCGATACTCACCCACTTCAGACCAACTGTGGGGAAGATCTACAAAGCAAAAATTAAGTACCATTAAGTTGAGGTCAAATATGTATAACATATTTATGATACTTTTCAAATGTGTAGAAAAAGTGGTATTTGTGGAAGAGGGAGAATACTCCACAGATATCACATTTTCAGTGGATTTGAAGACTCCTGTCTAAGTGACGTACATTGTTATGCAATGACTTTATGACGTCATGTGATGATTGAGTGAAAGAATGTTGTTTTGAAATGCTTGCTTTAGATCTAGTTTTATAAGTGAATGATGGGATAAATAGAACATCCTCTGAATTTTCTCGATATCAATTTAATGCACTCATTGAAATCAATATCTGCTCTCATTTGCTACGCTCATGTGTCCAGGTGTTGATATTAACTCGTAAATAAAAATGACATCACTCAAAATCATTGGATATCCTATACATATACTTATTTAAAACTTACCAAAATCAAGTCTATCATCATCAACTGACAAATTTAATTTTCCCAGGAATAAAACCTGCTATAACTGTAGGTTGAAAGACCCATTTCTATAATAATCCTGTTATATGCCATTCCTATTGTATTTCAGGCTTTTCACTCCAATTTTCAAAATAGCATACTAGACGCAGTATTTGCCAAAATTAGTACACCCTACGATTAATTACTATTAGTGCAGTATCATACAGTATCTTGGTGGAGTAAAACACATTGGTTAATTGATAATATTTTGTGCTCATTCTCTTGGTATCCATTTTTACCTGTTTGTCCTTAAGTACATTCATAACTTGGTTGACATTCTGTTGGTTGAGACCATCTCCACTCTTTCTTTCATGTACATGTATCTTGTTCACTCTTTGGCACTTCCTAGCCAAGCTTGCATATAATGTGAAGACATCATCTAGAATGCCTTTGTCATTGACACAGTTGCTTTCACATAGGTTTTCCAACAGAATACTGTATTCTAAGATTGTAGGGGTGTTGAACATATTCAGTCTGGTTAGAAACAACTGTTTGAACTCATAGCCTACAAACATAAAATGTATGAGTCAAAATGTGAAGTCTGCATTTAGAAATGTGTGCTTTCATAAAAGATGATTATGACTAAAAAGATTCAATGGCATAAAAATTACTTGATTTAAATGTAGCACATTACTGTACAGAGCCTTAATAATACACAAACTAGCCTATGCATACACTCAAAGGGCTATTAAATTTTGTGTAAAATTAAATGAATGTCAGTGTAACAAAAAAAGGAGTTTTGAAAAATATATCCTCACCTAAATATTCATAAAATTGTGACACTAATTTTCGCCTGTATTCTTCGACATCAGGACTTGAGAAAGATGGTGAATATTTCTCAAAAAGCCCTGTATCTTCTGCCCAACATAGATCCTTCAGCATGTAAAACTCTCCTTTCAGAACAGTGCACTCTGGACGTGTATAGCTTGACATGCTTGGCATTGGGACAGATGGCACAAAGATCACTGGATATTTTTGCATAAATGAGTTAAATTCCTGCTCTGGGAAGTGCCTCTCCAGGTGTTTGTATACTGTACATATATGGTGCATTGATGTGAAAAACTCCCTTGATTTTGCATCTTTGATGTCAACCTTAGCCCAAGATTTCAGCTGCGACTCCATATTTACAATGGTAATCAAATCCAAATCTTTGACAAATTGACTTTTTTCAATTTCAGCCATATCAAGAGGCGTAACCAGATATGGCACATGGTGGGAAAGTAATGTCTCTAGTTTATTGCTTCTAATGTACACTTGACTGGCAGGTAACAATTGAGGGATCTCATTGCGCTCAGTAGAGTGACACGCTGTTATCCAAGGCAATTGACGCAGGTTCTGATAGAATGTTGACTGGAATGATTTCAACGTGATGCCATCTGAGTCTAGGATAAGAGCCATTTTGTAACGATCATACAGCCCCCAGACCTGCATGTACAAGTGAAAATGATATATTATGAATAAATGCATCAGACATACTGAAAACAACCAGAGTAAGATATAAGTGCCTGTTCAGATGCCCAATACTAGTTAGTTATTAGTCACATCAGCTGATTTTTTTGGGGGGAAGGGAGTTTCAGGTATACATTATTTTTAAGTTTTGACATAAATGCACATATTTTTAAAATGGTTGTTTTGAGTTATTTTTAAAAACAAATTTCTTATAAAAAAGTAGTGTATGAAGAAAAAGTAGTTGTTTTGGAAAACTGTTTTATCACAAAACAATGGGTGTATTATCAATTATAGTTTCAATGCATTTAGATTGTACATTGATAACGAAGTGTGTAAACTGCAACCTGGCTCCCAGTGACCATGGCTCTTATTGGTTAAAATACAGAGTGGCTAGTTAATTGTGGCAACAAAAAGAGTTGGTTCCATTGATCTCAGGAGTCTGGTTGCTGTTTACACGGACCCAATTGATAATGTTACACACCTGATGGAATGTAGCGAAAAGCTTCATCATTGGACGATAGTCATTTGTAGAGTTTTTTACCAATGTTTCAAACTCCTCACATTCATAATCCTTTATGGAGATCTCATCTTGTCTTGGAACCAGCTCAGACATACTTTTCCATTTGGACTCCACCTAAAAATTATAATCAGCAAAATATATATTTACATGTATAACATACATACAAGATATCCAATGAAAAGTACAGAACATGTAAATCTCTCACATGAATATCATATATTTCATTTTTTCCAAGGTGCGCATAACAGATATGTGAATGCCAAAAACATTCAAACAATACAATGTAGAAGACCATCAAGGAATGAAGACCAAATAATAAATAGTACCGTGGTTACTAGGCTCACATGGTGTTGTTTTACTAGTTTCCTGGTTAAAAAGTCAAAAGTGTCCAAATGAGCGGAGCCAAAAAGCTCAAAATATTTAGCAAAATCAGTAAATTCCTATTACCAGTTCATCCCAGGTGAGCTTCACTTGGGTGGTTGTCACATTGAGGAATCTTTTCACACCAAGTCTCTCCAGGAACTGACACCAGTCCCTCTTCTCAGCCTCATACACTGCCCTGATCTCTGTCTTTACTGCATCAAGGTATGACTTGGACACTATGGTCCACTTGTAGCCTGGAATTAGATTTGTAACATATACAAGTAGCGTATGACATTACATATGGGCATTTTCCTTTGTTTGCCTTCAGTACTGATAAATTATCTAATAAATCTGATAAATTATCTAATGATTGGGTAGAGACAGGATTCTTATATCAAAGTAACATTTTATATGTCATTTGAGGAATGTAATCCTATTTTCTTTACTTTATTGCTATATTTACTGTTATTGAAAATAGTATATCAGATGTACGTTTGGCCCTAAAAGGGCATCAGTACTAATAAAATCCTATTCTGTACTGACATCACTGCACTTTTTAGTATTAAACACAGAATATGAACTTCAGATTATAGTTATAATCAAGGATGAATACAAAAAAATTCTGATTACAAAAAAGTAAAGCATTGAAAAACAAATAGGTTGACTCACCTGGGAAGTCTGTTGTAAGATCCACATCTGGAATATAATGTTTGCTGAAATGTACTCCCTCAGTTGCAGGATTACAGAAGTTCTTGTTGGTGAGCAGCTTGACACACTTTGAAAATCTCTCCATGTCACAACAACTATTGTTTTCTACCCACTGCTGCTTTACATATACGACATACGCAACTAGAGTCTCTTCCCCCTTGGCCTAAAATAATATATTATAATGACCAATGCTCTCTGTCCACTGCTGCTTCACATATACGACATACACAATTAGAGTCTCTTCCCCCTTGGCCTAAAATAATATATTATTATGACCATTGCTCTCTGTCCGCTGCTGCTGCTTTACATATACGACATACGCAACTAGAGTCTCTTCCCCCTTGGCCTAAAATAATATCTTATAATGACCATTGCTCTCTGTCCACAGCTGCTTCACATATACGACATACGCAACTAGAGTCTCTTCCCCCTTGGCCTAAAATAATATATTATAATGACCAATGCTCTCTGTCCACTGCTGCTTCACATATACGACATACACAATTAGAGTCTCTTCCCCCTTGGCCTAAAATAATATATTATTATGACCATTGCTCTCTGTCCGCTGCTGCTGCTTTACATATACGACATACGCAACTAGAGTCTCTTCCCCCTTGGCCTAAAATAATATCTTATAATGACCATTGCCCTCTGTCCACAGCTGCTTCACATATACGACATACGCAACTAGAGTCTCTTCCCCCTTGGCCTAAAATAATATATTATAATGACCATTGCTCTCTGTCCACTGCTGCTTCACATATATACGACATACGCAACTAGAGTCTCTTCCCCCTTGGCCTAAAATAATATATTATAATGACCATTGTTCTCTGCCCACTGCTGCTTAACATATACGACATACGCAACTAGAGTCTCTTCCCCCTTGGCCTAAAATAATATATTATAATGACCATTGTTCTCTGCCCACTGCTGCTTTTCATATACGACATACGCAACTAGAGTCTCTTCCCCCTTGGCCTAAAATAAATTAATATCTTATAATGACCATTGCTCTCTGTCCACAGCTGCTTCACATATATGACATATGCAACTAGAGTCTCTTCCCCCTTGGCATAAAATAATATATAGTAGCCTGGCCAGAACAAGTCATGCCTCTCTATTTTCTCAATAACTTTCTCAATTTTGAATATTTTTTCATGACATTTTCACAGTATAAACCTGAAAGAATTCCTAACATACAAGTTTTTTTAATATGGTAAATGACTCATTAATTTCATTGTTACAACCTTTTAAAAAATAATGTCATATTCTGTTGATGGGTCATTTTTGTCGCCATTTTTTCTAAAAAAATCTAAATTATGTTTTGTCCTAATATGGTCTACAAATTTGATTGCAGTCTTTGATAGGGGATCATTTATCTTTTTTAGTGTTCTAAATCCACCATACTATTTCAAGACCTCATGATCTCAAGCCTCTATACTGCTCGTCCCATAAAAGGCATTACTACTCGCCTATTGTCATACTTGATGTAGATAAAAGATGGCGACAAAAATGACCCATCAAGAGAATATGACATTATTTTTTAAAAGGTTGTTACAATGAAATTAATGAGGCATTTACCATATAAAAAAAATTGTATGTTAGGAATTCTTTAAAGTTTATTCTGTGAAAATTTCATGAAAAAATATTCAAAATTGAGAAAGTTATTGAGAAAATAGAGAGGCATGACTTGTTCTGGCCAGGCTACTATGTATTATGATCATTGCTCTCTGTCCACAGCTGCTTCACATACACTATACTAGTATACAACATAGGTACCAGAGTCTCTTCCCCCTTGGCCTAAAATAATATATTATAATGACCATTGCTCTCTGTCCACAGCTGCTTCACATATACGACATACGCAACTAGAGTCTCTTCCCCCTGGGCCTAAAATAATATATTATAATGACCATTGCCCTCTGTCCACTGCTGCTTCACATACTATACTGGTATGCAACTAGAATAAAATAATAATTTATCACAGAAACTATTTTTCTCTGTCTATTGCTGCTTCACAAATTTCATGTATGTGCCAGAATCTATTTACATTCTTCCGAAAATTGCTATACTAGTTTCCCTAGAACTTTAGCATATTTAAAGTCAATCTGGCATTCAGTTTTTGACAAATTCAGAATTTGGTGGCACATATAAAAATGGGTTTGCCAAGTAATTATATTGACATTATGACATTGTCTGAAAAGATTCAATACGAATTTCATTTATACTTACCAGCCAAGAAGTTGACTCAAGGGCTGGTATAATATGTTGTTCTATGACATCACTTGCAGTGATATGTTTTGCACCCAATCTCTCTAACTGGGACTTCACCTTGAAATAAAACATTCCAGAAGTTCACAATAATTCAATATTCTCAACACTTTAAACTGTACATGGATACTCTATTTTAGGTGACTGCTGTAACTTAAAAATAAGAATTATGAAAGACTACCAACGTTTTAATTAATACAGCTATGTTTATATGTACATGATTCAATTAAAGTTTTATGGAATTGTTTTAAATATCTGAATAAAACCACTGCGACATATATCGTCATATAACTGTCATAATCACCTGAGAATTTGAGACATCATCCAATGAAGTAATCAAGCTGGAGTCTAGAATATCCAGGTCTTTCTCCAAGGTTTTGTAAGCCTTTCCAGACTTCTTGGAACCTAAATAAGGCATAACATTAATTATTTTTCAATATATTGATAAAAATATAGCCTGATCAAGTAAAGGTAACTATGTGTAATAAAAGCATATTGCTCATTTTTGTGTGCAAATCTGAACAAACATCATAGAGACACTGAGCGACAGGGGCAATTTTGATACCCTTTGATAAATGTAAATTACCAATCGTATGAGATTTTAATTTATGATTTTATGAAATTTATGGAATAGCCTTATATAATACAATGTGCATTCATTCAGGAAAATTATTAAAGGGTGGAAAATATCTAACCTAACCAATGGGCTCCCTAAAATCTTTAATAATTACCTTTCTTTTCCAATGGGAAGAATACAGCAGTGGAGTCCAATGCCACACATCTGCCACTAAAGAGAGGGATTATGGGATAGCTTGAGATATGCTTCAAAAGATGGTGAGACTCAGGATCTTCAATGTCAACATGACGATAAAGACAGGACAACCACTGGGCTAGCTGCTTCACATCCACCTCTGTAAATAACACGTGTTACTGCCAATTGAATGGATTATCATCTAAAGCTTCACAATTGTGGATTGGACCATGTTTTAATATGAACAATTAAACATAATTACCCCTGTTGCATTATTTAGAATACTAGTACTTATAAGATATTGCTATTATTCAATGTATTCCATGTTGAATGTGATAAATAAAATATAATCCCTTAAAGTGCCTGATAAACTATAAAATGCGCATGCGTCCAGGTGTTGATAAACTATAAATAGCGTAAACCCAGGGTTTGTCATCACAAGGTAAGCCAGGACGTGTTGAGCGAACATCTAGTGTTGATATTGAATTTACATGTAGCCAGATAAGTTTCCTTATTGAAATTACATATAGTAATATTAGCAATACTTTGTAGGTGATAATTAATAAAATATGAGTATATATGAGAGAAATCTCGGCTACACCGGGGAATTTACTTCCATGTGTACGGACACAAATGTGGGGCTCCCCAAGAGGTACGCGAGAAGGTGACCTGGCATCAAATGTACGACTAAATGTAGATAAAAGAACGAATACGACAATAAGTTATTGCAAACGACAATTCCGAGCATTCATCTCACTGAAGTATTTTGAAGTGAAGAAAATATGATTTTTGTTTTGAAACATGGATTCAGATGAACGTAACTTCATTCTGACAACTAATCAAAACTGAACAAAATTGATTAAACGTAACAGACGATTTATCGTTTTACAATGTTTTGATCGGCTAAACGAATGAATCCAAGAAATTATGACATGTAAAATGGCAATTTTGAAATGTAAAATTTAAAAGTGACAAACACAACCTCCCTATCCACTCTTTATGAGGCCTAATATGTACATGCAGCAGTTGTAGTGTACAGCTTATTATCCCACTACTGGGCTTTGTATTCTAAAGCTTGTTGTTTTTAATAACACTGTTCACTCGACGTAAATGTTTTGTGTGTGCGCAGTCAACGATAATCATTGTTTTATCCCGGTTATATGACCTCGGCAAAACCGTACTAAACGAAAAAACGCAAATAAGAGAAAGCTTTCACACACATAAAAAATGAACTAGTCTAATCCGCCAGTATAAACTCTGTTATATACGTAGCCAGGTCGGGCGCACACTTTAAAAATAATAACGATTTCTTTTGGATCTTTTACAACTTATTGAGGTATATTGTATACCTGTATTAACCAATCTTTAGTCATTCAATGTGCTACCATTAATCAGACTTATATAAGTCAGTTTTATTTACCTTGTTGACCATTCTGCCATTGAGTAGCCACAGACTTGAAGACATCTACCACATGGTCTCGCCTCAGAGTCTGCACCCCTAGTGACTGGAGCAACATGGTATTGAGGCCAGAATTATCTGAGATATCCCTGTGTATGTAGTGTAGGTTGAGGTGCTGCTCTAGCAGGGCTGGTGTTATCACTTCATGGATCAGTTTATCATGACATAAAACTGCCTCAGAGGGTTTCTTCCATATGGCTTCCCCTGGGATGAAAGTTATTGTTAATTTACATGCATTAACATTACTAAATAGGACATATATGAACTTCATATACAGCGTAGATGCTTTATTGGATGTACATTTTGCAATTTCAATTAATTTTCACAAACAGTAATATACAATATTTACACAACAAAGTTACAACACAAAATGAGTTTCTTTTTCAAAATCATAAACTGCTTTCAAAAAATAAATAAATTTATAGGCCTACATGTGAATACTCTTTAATGATTAGCGTCTCTATCATAGAATATTTAGATATCCGCAAGTTTGTTACGAGACCACAACCATATACAAAACTGACAAGGTAACAAAGAATTACGTAAAATGACAAAATGTCACCATAAAGGCCACCACTTCTCATACCACAACCATAATGTGTGCACATGTACACTGTATTACTTAGTGGATAAACAAATGGAAGTAAAACCTCATCTAGATTAAAAGGATATTAATATTCCCTGGATACCTTGTTTATCTCCCTGCACCAACATGCATTCTTTAGCAGCAAGAAGACGAATAATAGAAGTTGCTACTGGTTGGAAAAATCCCTGGATCTCTGCTTCCAGAGGCACAAATCGTAAAAATGATTGCATAGCAATAACATCATCTCCACAGTGAGCCTGGAATTAAATGTTAATACTTGACAGATAATGTTACTCTAATCTTTATAATATGCCATCAGTGGATGTTACCTAACAGCAGGTACAGTATAACCCCATTGCAGTCATACATGTAAGGGTAAAATTACATTTCAACCAAAGCTGATGTGTTTAGACCACTTCTAGGTAAAGAATCCTACACATATAACCTTTACCATATGTTAAACCCTTACCAAAATAAAACACCATGCATGGAACACTAAGAACAGAAACACACTCCATATAAAAACAATATAATATGTTAAAATAGTCCAACCTCCTTGTATATACAGGGCGTTCAGTAAGTAAAGCTAATTTTGCTCTCAAACTTTTATTTCTTGTCTATCATCGTTCAGATTTTCAGTGGAGAAGCATCAGACACTTTACTAACCATCCTGAAAAAATGATCAAGATATACTGAATAACAGCAAAATGGTGGTTGTCATAGTACGCGAATACGGGTTCTGCGGAGCAATTTTATAAGTTCACAGCATAGTAGATTTTGTTAACGTTAGTTTCTGTCCTGTCTATATTTCAACCATAGTTCTGTGGCTACTCCACATTTCTACTTTCAAGTTAGCATTTTATTTCATGTTCAAAGTAGTTCCCCTTAGCTTTCACACACAGCTGATGTCGTTCTATCTACTTCTGATATATCATGTGGAAGCCATCTGGAAAGATGCTTCTCCACTGAAAATTTGAACGATGATAGACAAGAAATAAAAGTTTGAGAGCAAAATTAGCTTTACTTACTGAACCCCCTGTACATGTAATATATACTAGTATATAATACCTTAAAGTTTTGTAAGCTGTCTATGAACAGCTGCGGGAGTTCCTCTCTCAGCCACTGATTACGAGAACTGCTCTCAATCACATCCTGTCTGCTGGATGGAATCTCAAAGTCACCTGTGAATTCAATGTTTATTATACACCTTGGGTGTCTCTATCAAGACATACAAGATTTTGTATTTGTAAGAACTTTCTAAATAACACCAAACTGTTTTGACATCTTTAGAATCATGCTATACAATTACTATGTATTACTCTAAAAATAATTGATAGTAAAAAACAAGCCCCTATAAATAATTTACCAATATAAAACCCATTAATTTTTCTGACATAAAAATATAAAAGTCCATATACTGGGAGCTAGTTGAAAGTATAAAAGAATGGGTAAATGAATCTACACGTTTTGTACAAGCTAGGGGAATCATGTAGTAGAACATACACAGTAATTTGTGGAAGCACATTGTATATTATGCCTACCTTGTATTATGAAATTGAATCCAAAGTTTCGGAGGGGAAGGAAAGCAAACACACTTTGTTTTTCCAGCTGAAATAAAGCAATAAATTAAAAGTACCCAATAGTTATTAGTCACATTAAACCGTGCAAAGATATAGTCTTGCTTCAAGACCCTGAACCCCCCCCCCCATATCTTCTTTTCATCATGTAATGTGTTGGAGAAGTAGATAAGGGGGGGGGGGTCCACAGTCTTGAAGCAAGACTAGCAAAGACAGGAGCAATAGTATAATATCCCATACATAAAAATGTTAATATGAATGTGAATGTAAATTTGAACTGTGATATTTGTCATATTAGTACTTAATTATTTAGAAATATCATTCCAAACAAATGGGGTACAAATTAGGATTTAAACATGTACCTGTATATGTGCTTGCGTCTTGTCCTGTGCAAGGGGAAATGCCATTGCGATCTCTGTTGCAGCAATATTTGGGAGATTCAACTAGAATCAAATACACATGTCCAATAGCTACTGTATTGATGGCAATAAGCAAAAAGTATATTAACCGACACAAAGCAGGATTCCTGGATATTGTCCCCAGAGTAGCAAATCACACAGATCAAAGCTATTTTATCAAATTATTTACAAATGACAAAAATAACCACATACTAGATAGTACTGTCTCCTTTTTGTAAAATTTATACCCATCACATAACCCCATATTAGTTCTGAAGTTCCATTTCAAGTGGAGGTATATTATATTGATAATGTATTATCCAGGGAATTCATGTACCTAACCAGCACACATTTGCTGTTTTTTATATTTTTCATTTATTTTTCTCCTCTACAATCCTGAAAAGCGATTGAGGAGCAAATTTTGTAATATATTATACTGATACAAATAAAATGAGTAAATAATTGAAAAAAAAGTATTGTCCTTTAAAATCTGATACCATGCCCATTGGGCATCAGCATACAGAATTTGAAAAATCTGTCAACTTGTGGTTATCAAAATTAATATCTTTTACAAAACTGTGCCGATCATCTTGAAATTAGCATTACTGAATGTTTTGGATAACAAAACAATCAATAATGTACCTATTACAAAATAATGATCTAAACTATGTAAACTATAAGTCGTACTAATATAAATGTATGAGATACATGTAGTTGTATGTGATTTGCCAACCATATGTTTCCAAGCCATGTTTATATGATAAATAAATGAGGTTTCAGATTGGGTAATCTGATTTATTTCATTAAAAGTGCAATGAAATCTGAAAATCTAAACCAAAACAGTGAACCGAACCAAACCAAGAAATTTTGAGGATTTCAAACCCCCTTAGGGAGAACATTATGAAAAGATTGTTGACTATAAAATATTGTGTGCAAAAGTGAGTTTGACAATCTACCTTTTCGGGAACAGTCAAAGTCTTCCTAACTATCAGCCATCGGTCAGTCGATCGACCATGTTGGATCTCAATGACATCATCACCAATGTCAGATCTGTACATCACCTCTTTACTGTTAGTCACCTGTTAAGAAGACTTACTATATAACATTTTACATATTACAAGGTCAATTAATATTCGGAACATAAACTTTTACTGAGTCGCTAAGTACTTGGTTCATTTCATTGAATGATCATAATTACTTGATCAACTGTAACCAAGATAACATGAAACAGTCTTCAAATATACTCCTCAAAAAAAGTTAAGGACCAGTGGTTTTCCTCATAGGTTTACATGTTAACCCCCATATTTGTTTGAATGACTATTTTCTAAGCATGGAACAAAAGAAATCCCAATAAAGAAAATAAATCTTTATCTTGATTCTATTCCCTTTAAAGTCCACAACGTTTCAATGTTATGTCTCCATTACATTGGGTCAAAAGTTGATGTCAAAATTGATAAATTTCATGAAATTTAACAAAAATGGCAGATCCCATGTTAAACAAATGGGGAATGGTTGGGTTGCCATGAGTCATATGAGGAACAATCCATCCATCCGATTGCTCTCAAAATTGAAATTGTAAGAGACAATTAAAGGACGATTCTCGGTTTGGAGAACGAAGTTCATCAATCTAAATGAGCATTATCCCTGCTTCGGACAAATTTGATTTTTTTTTACATAATATAGATTTGAATGTCCTCTTTTGAATAGTCATAGTTTAATTTAGGTAATATTTCTACATTTTTCATGAAAAAAAGTATTAGCCCAGGAGACTGTTCTCCAAACCGAATATCGTTCTTTGCTAAATTGTCCACTCGACAAAAATATGATTTAATTGTCCAGGCTTAATAAAAGTTAATGGTTTCAAATTCAATATTTTTTTAATGATCCTCTTATTGAAATAACATAGGTGTTTCGGTGAGGTGGTCAAAATTACTTTAACGTTCCATATCGCTAATTTTAACAACATAAGCGAGACATTTAGCATGTAAAATGTAAAAACATTCAATTTTCTACTTAGAAAATATTTTTAATAAATGTTTTACTGAATAGATATTCCAAAATCTGAGTTGCCCCTAAGCCACCATTCCCCATTTGTTTAACATGGGATCTGCCATTTTTGTTAAATTTCATGAAATTCATCAATTTTGACATCAAATTTTGACCCAATGTAACGAAGATATAAGATTGAAACGTTGCGGACATTATAGGGAATAGAATCAAGATACAGATTTATTTTCTTTATTGGGATTTCTTTTGTTCCCCGTTTAGAAAATAGTCATTCAAACAAATATGGGGGTTTACATGTAAACCTATGGGGAAAACCACTGGTCCTTGACTTTTTTTGAGGAGTATAGCTCTTACTGCAGCAATACTTGAGTTATAATAGTGAGGTAAAGCTAAAATGAAATTATTTTTATGCCACTTCTCCTTATTTGTGCACAATATGCTACTTTTCTAAAATAGCATTTATCAACTTTACAATGGACATACAGTCAACATACATGACATGTATCACATTCTTTCAATTATCAACAGTTGGCAATAACTAAGTTTTGTTATGGGGTATATATATGATGGTGTCATTGTGAAGTGTTGATTTTTTCTAATATTGAACTGAAAGACAAATCCAACATTTCATTAAATGAGGTGAGGGGATCGAACCATAACAAAATCATTTTAGTTTTTCCACGACTAAATAATTGGACACCATCCTCAAGACAGGACTACTGGAGATTGCACTACTTACCTGATTGATCACAGATATACTCTTCAATCTGTGAAGGAACAGGAGAAGAGAAGGGTGAATATCATGGAATCCTGATGTTAAAGACATCCTTGTTGCAGCATCTTGGGTTTTTAGTGGTAAAACTATCCGTGTTGTCCACCTTAACATAAAAAAACACATAATGTACTGCTAGATGGACATTAGTTCAGTGGATTACAAAATATTAAATATTTTAAAAGTACACATAATGTACTGTTAGACGGACATTAGTTCAGTGGATTACATAATATTAAATATTTTAAAAGTACACTACACGATTCATCGATTTGTAATAGTTTGCATTGTACATTGTATTTGGAGGTTACAACTATTTTGGTGTTATGACAAATGTTTACATCCGCGTGCACATTGGTTCTACTCATAAATTTATTCAAATCAAGAACTCAAGAAAATCACGAATTATCAATAACTGTTTTGTAACATTTAGGCATTTCACCTTTCACTGTTGAGATCAACTCCTTTAATCTGAAGATCAAGAGTCGTTCTATTTTCTTCAGTTAGCCAATGAGGAAGGATATATCCTGTGCAGTCATCAGTTGCATCAAACTTAATATGGTAACCACGGGAGTGTATCTCTGGGGTGTCTGATACCTTAAAAACAGACTTGAATCCTATTCCTTTCTGACCTGAAAAGGCAAGAGTTGAAAACTGAATATAATTGTTTATGGTAATTTTTGTGTGCCTACAACCATAGGTTTGAGCATAGGCCAAGGCAAAAGTAGTATTAGCTCAATATGGAAGATCTTCTATACTGAAATTATATTACTTTTCCCTTGGACTATGGGTTTAAGTCTTTAACCCCAAAGTTGAACAGCTACATAAAATCAAAGGTTGATTTTACAATTATAATGCGTAAAATATATTGCATGAAACAATGTAAGCAAATGAGCGAACTAACTATTGTTATAAGAAAGTCCAAGTTAAAGCTGCGAGTAAACTGCCCATTGAATCGAAGGAAAATAATATTCATGACCTCTCACAAAATTTGTCCAATCATTTTCCTTAAGTTTGTTCTTACCTATATATCCTTTGGTATGTTTATCTCCCTTTGTTGACCTGCCAACATCACAAATTGCCCTAATGTTTCCCTCTTTGAAGCCACACTCATTGTTCACAAGTGTTATACGATCAGTGTCTATGATAAATATCAAAGCAGGTTGTTGTTTGGATTTTGCTGTCCACCTATGATAAAATGATATCAATAGTTGATGATTAAAATTTTTCATATTTCACACACAAACAGTAAATTTGTTGGTTACTGTATTGTATTGGTAATTTTAAATTAATGATTTATTCAAAACAATCACAAATAAGCATTCTGGACAATATTGTACCATGAAATTGTACACTGCAGTGTATTTCTTTTCCCTGATTTATGTTATTTCTCACTTTCTACATCTGATCACTAATGAGTACACAATTAACTAGTGGTGTCAATTAACCGCTTGAGCATTAACCGGTTAACCGGGGTTTTTTACCGGTTAAAGTCGGTTAACCGGCGGGAAATTTGAACTGATAATTTCAAATGAAATCTTCATCTTCGATCTTGAAAGTTGAAACAAATTGGAAAAATGATATATCGGCGTTTATTTTTTACGTTCGTCAAGCTTTACTCTATTCTATGTAAGTAAGCGCGGGAAAGCAATGTGGCAGGGATTAAAGTTGCTGATTGGATGTTTGTAAGGAATTATCGGACCTATCACATGTATGAGTAGCTCACATGAAACTGACGCTTCAAAAACAAACAGATTAAAATGAAAAGTAAGCGCGGGAATGCAATATGGCAGGGATTAAAGTTGCTGATTGAATGTTTGTAAGGAGTTATAGGACTTATGACATGTATGAGTAGCTTACGTGAAACTGACACCATAAAACCAAACGGATTAGCATGCAAAATAAGCGCGGGAAATCACAGAATTATACACGGTCAACTAACCGCCCATAAAAACACAGACCGGTCAAGGCATTATCGGCGGTTAACCGGTTAATACTTGACACCTCTACAATTAACTCACTTCTCTGGGTAGGAATTATCATCAGCATTCTGAATCAGTTCCAGGACAAAATGTGTATCTTTATTGTACAATTCCTTTGATAGTTTCTCCAGGCTTCTGCCCAATAGTTCCTTTAGACCCTGAGTGATCTTTTTGCCATCTTCATTCAGTTCAAGACCTATAGTATTGGTTTTGGTTTATGTCATTACAAGAACAAACAAAATAATGCAAATACTTATGAAATGCTTTGGTACAAACTAAGATTACCATTTGATTTGTGCTTGGTATTCTGAAAATTTGAGAGAAAAGATGTATACAAAAAGATTTCAGAGGCAATTGTTTTTCAAATGTATCTTTTGAGAGTAAAATGTATTCAAAATAGTATATTTTCAGAGGCAAATGTTTTTCATATGAAACATTTTAATCCAATGTGATACATCAATTATTTCTTAGAGATGCTGAACAGCGCAGCATTACTGTGACTATCATGATATGAATACCTATTCCAAACTTTGTTTGTCTGATTTCATTCACAACGTGTAGAGCCAACTCCTCTTCTGTCAAAGGTCTCTCTTCCTTGCCATTTTCTTCTAGTTCTTTCACTGTCCCAATCTTTCCTATATCTTCTTCTTTATCTATATTCTCTTGATCTGTTTCATGTGCATCATTTGCTGGATCTTTTGCTTCTGTTGCCTCTGTCACATCTGGTGTAGCTTCCTCATTTGCAGTGTTGGAGTCATTTTCCTCTATGGATTCATCTATTGTTTTAATACTGAACCCAACATCCTCATCTGCATCAAATAGAACATATTGAATGAAAAAATGAAAGAATTACCTGCAAATGGTTGAATGACACTGACTTTGATCACAAAACTGAATGTAAAGCAGTATTTCATGTCTTAGTGGTGACATAACAATAATAGATGAATCCAAACTAGTATTCCATAACTATCATAGTGTTCACAATCAGTATCCAGTTACAAGTATAAATGCCATATAAAATGCCATGTATAAATAACTAAACAGAATATTATTCTTATTGCTTTACCTAACTCATCACTTATATCATCATCATCATCATCACTCTCATTGTCTTCCTCGGGATTATTGTCACCAATAACATCCTGCAATTATGTGAAAACTTTAGATGACGCCATTAGTACTGATAATGATTGGTCTGATTTGTTGGGTGTTGTCTTCCAACTTGGCCCTTTTGTTGCCAGTAGGGTTTGGCAATTATTTTTACATGTTAACAGTACTCAATATCATTATTCAAGATGACTGCAATATATATGTAATAAAAGTATGGGCAAAAGGGAAAGCAAAGAGAAGGAGAAACATATTTGTTATAATCATTTTAATCAGTTTCTTAGTTTTGCTAAAGTAAAGAAGGGAAGCAAATTATTATCCCTAGCTTTCTGTAAAGGTAATAAACAGTTTTATCTTAGAAAATAGATGATGAAAAATGTGAAACCTCTAGACTAATGAAATCATCCATTAGGCGTGGAACCTGTGTCTTTTCATCAAACTGTCTTGTCCACTCATTTATGCCCAGAAGGAGGCCAAGCTTTTGTAACTTCAATGTTTCTTCAAGTGAACTGCAGCTCTGGAGGAGTTGGCTTTCACAGTTGGATTTCCCAAGAATTGAGGCTAATGGTTCAAGGAAGACCTGTAAATCATAATGACTTGTTTGTTAACAGTATCATTTTGTCATAGTTGGCATATAGAAATGAGAAAGAAATATCCGGGTACCAGTAAACTGTAAAGTAGCGTTTTTAAGAATTCAAGAAAAATGTATATTGCAAATTGGATACTTTTAATAAGTGATTCCCATATAAAAACTGAATATATCATTGCTCACCTTCCTGGTGATGTCTTTTGCTATGACAAGTGGTAACTTGATTATGCATTGCAGTACAAAGCTCTGACAAGTGAAAGCTGAATTGCCTCCAGTTGGCAATGTCATCAGGTGACCTTTCACATCACTTGCCAGTAATGCCAATGATGCCTTGGCTGTGCCACCTTCTCTTACAATGATTGAAACAAGGCGCCCAATAGTTTCATTGATACTGTTCTTTTCCATACTTTTGGAGAACTGGTCCCTGCTGGTATCCTGTGTTATGTGATACAGTAACCCTTGTTCATCCTCCAGGGCATACAGATCATTGGTACAGTTTGGAATAGCCTTTTCTGAAAAAGCCAATCATATAAATCAATATATCCAATCCTGTATCAAGTCCCAGATGTGTTCCATTTATTCCAAATTCCTTGATGCTTCTGTTTGTGCTTTCAACTAGTGTCACTTTAGTGGTTTCTACAGCCAACCAACATTCTAAATTATTAATCAAAAACTATAGCTAAAGTTTATCACAAAATTAAAAAAAATATATCATTAATCAACTAGATATAGTTCAACTATAAATATTCTTTGCTCTGACAAAAATATTTATTCCTTAATTGATATAGTGAATAATGAATTAAAAACTGTAGATGATTGGTTCTGTGCTAATAAACTCTCATTGAACATTGATAAAACCAACTTTATGGTCTTTACAACTTCACAAAATAGGGTACCAGATAATATTTCAATCAAAATTAGAGACTCTTACATTATTCGTGTTTTTTCAACAAAGTTTCTTGGCGTTATAATTGACCAAAATTTAAATTGGAAAGAACATATTCGGAAAATTGCACTAAAAATTTCAAAAACCATAGGTACTCTTTTTCGAATAAAACACAAACTCAGTATCAAATCATTATTGAATATCTATTACTCACTTATTTATTCACACTTACAATATTGCATCCCAGCTTGGGGTGGGACAGGAAAAACACATATTGATATCTTATTAAAGCTGCAGAAAAGATTTGCCCGCTTAGTTACTAATAGTGAATATAATAAAGCACCATCATCACCTTTATTTCAACAACTAAATATACTGAAAATAAATGATATTTATAAACTCAATGTTCTTATCTTTACTTACAAATGCATCAAACGTCCATACAATTTTCCGAATGACTTATTTTGCAATTATTTTCAAGCAAATCAGCAGGTACAATGCCACAATACAAGACAGACTGACAATCTTCATATTTCCAAATTTAGAACCAACTATGGCAAACGAAGTATTAAAACTCAAGAGGGAATAATCTGGAATTCAACTCCAGATGTAATCAAAAATTCAAAAACCATTTTTATTTTTAAGCGAGCCTTCAAAAGACTTGTAATTAGTCTCTATGACTAGTACCCTGTACAAATTTTTAACAGTTGCACCTTTTTCCATTTAGCTATTCTACATCATTAAAATGTTTTATTACATCTTTTATAATGTACATCATTTTTATTTTTATTTGTTTCCCAGTTTGGCTTACATAATTTATACTTTGAGACACTTTGTAATATCAATAATAAATGTAACTAACAATATGCCATTTTGATAAGACATACACCCACTAGGGTGTCATTATCACTTATATGTATATATGTTTATATGATTTTAATAAATAAAAAAAAAATAAAAAAAAAAATAAAAAACTACCTTGGCTTATCATGCCCGCTGCAATGCTGTTCCTTTGGAGAAAGGACTTTAGATCTCCAAACTGTGGTTGAAACACTAAGTCCCACTGTGACCAGGTAGCAAGATCAGCCATTAGAGGGCACCTCATCAGGCATAGCAGGGCTTGTTCCTTGGTTTTATGACCAAGAAGCCCAACATTACCGGCTTCATGTTTATTTTCTCTGTAAAATTTGAAATCTCAAATGATTGGAATGAGCAGATGTGCCATGATTATTTCAATCTGATCATTCTTATAGTTAGAAGTTCCATAGTAAATCTTTCCTTTTATACTTTTTTATTATACTTGGATAGGAGTTTCAAACCTTCTCTGACAGACCTTGTAACCCCAAATAAAACAGAACGATATATCACTCTGTGTTATACATAGTCAAAATGTCCTGCAACTTGATCAACATAATATATTCATCTTTCATTTGACTCTTCAAATTTGTTGATTTTGGGAAATCTGCCAATTATAGGCATTTATTAAATTTGGTGGTTTTTCAAGGGGATAAATCTCACATCCATATCTTTCATATACACTCCCATCTTATCCGATTTAATTTATGTAAATGGAAACAGTTTAAATGCTCTAAATTAAAAAAAAAATTTAAATGGCCAGGCCAACTAACCACCGGAAGTTCAGCTAATGAAAAACAAGTTGAATTCTTGGGGATTTTGGTGACTATTTAATTGGACATTTTTTTGATTCGCCAAAGCCCAATTAAAATGCTCGACAAATTAGACAAATACATTACAAGGAGAAAAAGGGCATCAAAAAGAATGAATTATAGCATCCCCTCTAAACCATTATTAAAGCAACAAAATAAATGAGTTATATTACCTTGCCAAATGTGAATATGATGAACTGTAATATATCGCATGATTGGACAACTTGTGAGCATCATTTTGGGACTGGTCTAATAAACGTTGCAAAGAGCCAACTCCAAGTTCTGACACATCCTTTACTCTATATTGACTGCATAGAACATTCTTTAGCTGGGCAAGCTGCAAAATAAAACATATGGTTCACCATGGAAACAATAAAGAACATTTGAAGAAAGACAAGATTGATAGGACGAGGAATGACTTTAAAAAATATTGGTAACAAAATCATTTCAGTACTAATTGCCTAGACCCAGTACTTACTGCCTCAGGACCAGAATTTGTGAAACCACATTGATTTATTATTTCCAACACTTGCTGCTTGGAAACAGTTGCCATTACAACACTGCTATGGTCACCAACTATAATCTGAGGAATCCCCATATCTTGAACCATCTGGAAAATATGGCATGTAAACTAATGTAGTAGAATGCCTCTGAACAATCTGATATAACATCATTCTATCTTGCTTAGTGAATGGGAGGTTATAATAATTTTAATTGTCATTCTTACACAAATAACGTGTTATAAAATTCTGGAATAAACTACCTGTTTCTGATGATGCAGAAACTGAAGAAATGTCCCAAGTCCAAGTTCAGTAAACTTTTGGAACTTGAACTCTTTTGTTATAGATGTTTCCACATGCGACAGTGTTTCCATGGTTATATTTCCACTACTTTTTTCAAGCTTTCTTCTCAAACTTGCAATAACCATTTCTGAAATAAGAGCAAATTGTTTAATTTTGCATTCATTTAAAGCATGACCTTGATTTGCATTGAAAAGTAAAGTACATGTATAAGTATTAGCATCGGCCAAGCCTTGCTATCATGTCATAAATTTTCTCAATGTCCAAGTTTGTTTATTGTTGGCGCTGACATTCTGGTTTACATCAAATATTGGAATGAATATATGGACTACTAAATTTAAATGAATAGAAGTCAATACTATACTTAACCTTTGGATGGTTTGGGAATTTCAACATGTGTGTCAGTTGACTGTTCTACAGGAGTAGCATGTGCATCAGTCTTCACAAGATCACTGGGAACTTCATGTGTACCAACACAGAGAGCCAATTGAAACATCTTCCTGAAATACATAAGCAATGATAAGTTCTATTTTTTGTATTCTGACAGTATGCTATGAATTTAGTTAAGATGCTGCATCCTCAGAAATGCTTGCTGCTGAAGTACACACATGTAAATCATTTTATTCAATTAAATCTTTAAAAATTGTGTTATTCTTTTCATGAATTAGACTTAGTAATAATTTTCTGTTTGTCCATGGTTTATTGAGTTTTCAAAGAAGTATTTTATCCAACTCATTCAAATATACTGGCAAACACAATACACTAAAACACCATCAATTGCCAATTTGAATCTAAGTTATCTTGATTATCACAGAAGGTGCCTTGTGGAGCTTAATAGAAATGACGTTGTTTGGTGAAATCCCCATGTTTTGCTAATAACTGCATTTACCTGTTTACAAGTTACCAACAATTTGGTAAGACTTTTTTGTATATGTTTGAAATTTTCTTGTTTGGAATTTCAACATTTTTGTTATAATTGCCCGCCACAATTTAACATCGCTTAGAATTAGCAGTCACAAGCTTGAAGTCGAGGTGGGTAGATATAAAAGACCACATCTTCCACCCGAACTCAGAATTTGTAGAACCCATGTAATAAATTAGGATAACTCAATAGAATTCATATGGTCATCATCAGTATGTGAGTTACATCGCAAAATTTTGACAAACATGTAGAACCCCAAAAGAAAGATTAGTTCAGACAAATGGATGTTATCATTTGTCCAAAAAATGACAGACAAATAATTGGGCAAATCCATAGTCATCAGGTGAGTCAAAAATGATAAATAAACAAACCTAGCTAATGGAGTGTCTGTGATTGATTGTATGAACTTCTTGAATGTTCTCTTTATAGACGACTCTGTGAACAGCTCTTCTATGATTCCAAATAAATCAATGACTACATCTATAGCCTCCATGTTTGAATATCGTTGTCTAGTTGCAATGGAAACACTCAGGGTTGAGGTATCTTGATCTTTGAGGCTGGTCTTGAAGTGATTTCTGATTTTATTTATTTTAGTCTCAGCCTCGACCTCCATCTCAGCTATCAAGTCCTCCTTTGCTTTGGTCATAACCCTTTTCTGACATGACTGGACAGCTTTGACAACCTAAAAGTGATCAGATTACTGAACATACATATTTACACACATAAGGATATTATGCGAATTTTATTGAAAACAAGGCATTAACATGACAAAATATCACCACCTACGTAGCATCCTCCGATCACAGGGCTTCAAAATCCAGAATTTCTTCTTTCTTTTTACACCCTGCTATAAGCAGTTAGCAATACCCCGATTAAGAACTCGCAATCTGATTGGCTGTCGCAACACTGCGACAGAAATCATGTATAAGTCATTGCGCAATATTAGATCACGTGATTCAGTTAAATCGGGCGCGTCCAAATTGGTTATAGCAGGGGGAAGGAGGTACGGATTCTGGACACCTGCTTAGGAGGATGCCTACGTAGTTGCTCATAATATTATGAGTTCAATCTTAAGTCAGCTTTGAATTTCTGAGAACTTGTAGATGATTTTGGAAAATTTGAGGTAAGTTGAAAAAATACCTTTTGACCTTGAGAAGGTAATTGAAGGTCAAATTCTCAATCTAAAACTCAGATTTGAATTTCTTTGAGCTTGTAAATGATTTTGAAAAAAAGATGGTGAATTTGAAGCATGCAAGTTGAAAAAAAAACGTTTTGACCTTTTTGACCTTGAGAAGGTCATTGAATTTCAAATCTCAAATATAAAGTCAGATTTGAGCTTCTGATAACTTATAGATGATTTAAAAAATTGAAGTCAGTCTAAACAGTATTTGTTAAGTTATTTGAAGTTGTAAGAATTTGTTACAGCACCGAGCCCTCATTATCCGGTCAGCGCTAAATTAGCGTTGCGATTTGCGTTGCGCTTGCGAATCAACATTATTCGCAAGCGCAAATCATGGTTTGCGTCGTATTACGCACTTCACGCAAACGCAGACGCAACGCAGACGCAACAGTATGCTAATCGCAAATAAATTGGAAATGCGGGAAATTTAAACTTAGAGCTCAAAATAGATTTATCGATTTTTTAATGTCTATGTATATGTTTACGCCAGTGCGGATGTGTCAATCAATGTTATCTATTTCAACTGGACTCAAGGAGGATTGGAAGCCCTCGGTAAATACAATACATCAACCCTCGGTCCCTACGGTCCCTCGGGTTGATATATTGTATTTCCCTCAGATATACCCTGTATCAAAAACCTCCCATTAAATAACCTCTATATATTTTCATCAGCGGTCAGATATAGCTATACGTATAGTATATCTGCCCGCTGACGTCATAATCGCCGTTCGCATATTGGTTCATTTTTGTAACATGCGCATAATTACTGTAAACGTTAATGGAGAAAAGGCAGACAATCGCGATCTGTTTGAAGGAAGGAAATGAGCGTATCCCTGTTAAACAAGGATTTCAGAAATAAATGTGGATGAATATCTGAAAATCAGGCTATTCTAAATGAATTCTTACGGTTCGTTGGACATTTTCTGAACTCCGGCCAATTGAACAGCGTGAACAAAATGACCAAGATTGGTATGGGATAAACAGATCATCCTATAGTCGGTTCATGATATTGGGATTAAATAAATGTGGATGAATATCTGAAAATCAGGCTATTCTAAATGAATTCTTACGGTTTGTTGGACATTTTCTGAACTCCGGCCAATTGAACAGCGTGAACAAAATGACCAAGATTGGTATGGGATAAACAGATCATCCTATAGTTCAATATCCTGAACCTCATATAGGATTAATCTCTATTTATCCCATGATACTACTAATTCCCGATGAATAACCGGGAATATTTTTGATATTGAGAAAAAATCATATTGAAAATTTTTGCCAAACAAAGCTTCCTCTTTCAATCAGTTGGGTCGATATAGCATGCTAAAGTGATGTTCTTATGTGAAAAACGAATTCCAGTTTTATCATCATCGCTCTGACACAGACAAAAATGCTTACGTATTGCTGAATGTTTTGATGTTGATGTGTTTATGTTACACATGTACAATAATTTTTTTATATTTAAAAATATCATAAAGCTAAGTCATATTTTCTTGATTAAATATACCATTTTTTCATAGAAAAATCTAACTAATGATTTTATGAAGACAGTTATGAATATCATTGAATAAAAAGCTAATTTACTGGTCGGGATTAAATATGGGTTTATTCCTCATGACAATTTGATATTTCACATATTGTGAGGGACAATTTGGTATTTCCCTCTGACCCTCCGGGCTCTCGGTAAATATCATATTGTCCATCATAATAAAACCCATATTGAATCCCTCCCATTACATAACCTATATATATCTTGCGAAAATCTAGATCTGTCACTGGAAGGCAGCCCATCTTGAAAACAAGACACGGTGTCTTTGTAATTAGTCCGACTGATATAGCCTACCTAGAGAAAACCGCCGATACCTCAGCAACAATGTTCGAAACAGTAGGTTGGGATACCCCGAATATATCTCCATTTATCAATGTATACAACCTGTAGCATAAAATCGTAATGAAATGAATACTTTTAGCTGACATGGAATTGCCTGAGGATTCCTTGTTCTTGACGCTAGATCCCCATCTAATATATTAATCAACTCAAGAATGAGTGGCCTCGGCATGCGATATCTGTTTAATATCTCATCGTCAGTCATCTCTAACGGCTGACTCCTGTCTCTGAATAAGCGTAAACCTCTTCTATTGTGAACATCCTGGAATAATATGCGCCACATTTTCCAGCTTGATCGAACCCTAATATTTTAATTTTAGCAGACGATATTTGCGAAATGGAATTGCGATATTTATTATAGATTTCACAAAACCAAGGTAGCATAATCGTGCACTTTTAGACTTGATTTTGATAAGTTTTGGTTATTTGTGTCTCTAATGTTTTTCAACCTATTTTTAGTTGGATGTCTCAAAGGGCACTTCCTAGATTTCTACAACGATAATGTTAATTTAAATAGGAAAACTATCAAGATTCTTGATGATATGTTTGCGATTTATATTGCGGAAGGGTCAGGGATGCCGCAAATAAAGTGGAGTTTGCGACATAAAAATCAACTGATTTACGTGGACGCAACTGTGCGATGACTGCATAACACCAATTTGCGTGCGATTAGCAGTGTATTTGCGATGCGAAATGAAAATAGTGATGCGTCTACCGTGTAATAAGAAAACTGTGATTTGCGCTAAAGACGCAAAACGGCAATGAATTTGCGCTAGAGTGCCTTTGAGATGACCTCATAATATCGTTTTGCGCAAAACGGCAATGAATTTGCGCTAGAGTGCCTTTGAGATGACCTCATAATATCGTTTTGCGTACGATTCGCTAAATATTTACGTTGCGATTGCAATTTGCAATGAAAATAGCGATGCGTCTACCGTGTAATAAGAAAACTGCGATTTGCGCTAAAGACGCAAAACGGCAATGAATTTGCGCTAGAGTGCCTTTGAGATGACCTCATAATATCGTTTTGCGTACGATTCGCTAAATATTTACGTTGCGATTGCAATTTGCGGTGCGTCGACCGGATAATGAGGTCTCCGATCACCAACCACAAACCACAATCTTACAAATAGAAATCCTCAGATATTTGAAATTATGAATCTCATAAATTCATAATAATAAGAAATTCTAATTTTGTGTTGACTTACTGCAATGCCAAGTCCCAAGCTGCCTATCCGCACCCCTAGTTCCCATGGGTCATCTACGTTATATTCATCCTTCAGGTACTCCATGAAGTCCATCAGTTTTACTTTGCTTCTCCACAGATCATTTTCACTCATATACGCTTTCAGATGCTGAAGTATATCTTTAATCTCAATACAAGGAAACTCAGTCTCATCTGGAGGGTACGAGAACAGCTTGTAAATTACACCTTGTTTGACAAGGGGTCCAAGCTGAAGATCATCAAAACTAGTTATCTGTGGTTTCTTTTCCTTTTCAAAGTCTCTATTAAAAATATTGATCAGCCCTTGTTCTAAATCATATAGTGTACCAATGCTTTGATACAATTCATATGCCACACAGAACAATTTGAATTTGGATTGTTTCCAAGCAAGATCACTGATACATCTGATGTCCTTTAGTCTTCGTACTCCCAACTGTGAAATATCTTCCACTTGGTAAGATGCACAGATATATTCAGTGACTCCTTCAATCGACACAACTTTGTCTAATTCAGCAGTAGCTTCAATGTATTTCATACCAATTGCATCAAGCTTATTAGTAGATATATGCTGTATGTTAGCCTGTTGTGACTGACTATGTGATTGTTTGTTCGATCCTTGGTGATGTCTTGGATCACCTAATAAACTTCCCTGACTCTGTTGATATCCATAGTGTTGATTTCTGGACCTGTTAACATTGGATGTTGATTGGTGCTGCTGTGCAGCATTAGACATATTGGTTGATTCAGTATTAAACACAACATCGACATCATACTTCTTGAAGGTTTTCTTTCCAGTGGGTGTTCTTGTTTTCACTTCATTAGTCGCCTTCTTCTCACTCTGAACCACTTTTGCCTCCCCCAAACTAGGGAAGTCATTTCCTGTATTAACCCTTGCCATCCCAGCTGGTTCAATTTTTCCTTTACCTGGGTTGCTTTTAGCTCTAGCACCGCCTTGGTTGGTCCATACTTGTGGTTGGCTCTTCTTTCTTTGTGACTGTTGCTGATTGTGAACAGCTACATCTGAAGCATTTGAAACATTTGCATTAACATTGTCATCATGGGTTGATGATACATCACATAGATCATCTTCAGGTTTGTTATGGTTAGAGTTAGTGTTAATATCAGCATGCAGGGATTTAGTGTCAGTGACCACATTGATGTCAATGTCTGGGTATTCATTGATCTCTCCAAATGACTGCATCTTACCAATTGCATCATCAGGAATGCCTTTCTCTTTCATTTGTTCACCTTTATTTTCACCAGTGCTTTGAGTTTCTTCCCAATTTTTAGGCTCTATTTTACCCATCCCTTGATTTACATTGGTTGAGAGAATATGGGGCATGGGTTGGGCTATTTGGACTTGCATGGGATTTACAACCCCCATTGCTGGAACAAATGGTACTCCCATATAGTGGCCAAAAACATAGGGCTTAAGAATCTCAATTTGTTGTTGGAGATGTTGAAACACGGGCGTAAACTTTTGATTTAGTAAACTCAATGCCAGTTCTATGCTTGGTTTTTCTACAGTTGTTGCTCCATTGAGCTTGCTTGTGAGCATCTGAAACTGATTCATGTAACTCAGTTTATTTTGTTCATAGTTGACATTAAGCAGATTGTATTGTGATATCATATCAATTGGCATTTGGGGTGGCAATTCTTCATGTCTTTTATGTGGTGACTCTGAAGCACTTTTGGCTGCCAATTTTGTATGTACTTCGGTTGGTGAATCTGTCTGTACTTGTGCCAAGTCTTCTTTACATTGGGGTGGCAATTCTGTACATATTTGGTGTGGTGATTCTGTAATACCTTGTGTTGGCAATTCTGTATGATATACCTGTACATCTGATTGTAGGTCTGCATTTATTTGTGGTGACAATTCTTCATGAACCCCTGACAATAATTCCTTTTTAACTTGAGTCGGTGACTGATCAAGTAATTCAGGTGCGCACTCTCCATGATTTTTATTTTCACCTACAACATTATTCATAATCATAGACACATATGAAAGAAATGTATGGGAATCACTTGAAACTGGTCTTTTGGAAAAGGTAGATTGGAAAATAATTATCCATAACTAATAATTTGAGAGCTCGTAAATTCCATATCGATTGAATAATATGATTTTCAGTTGGTCATTACCATAGTGCAAAAATCTGGTTACCAGATTTCAGATGGCCAGCAAAATATATATCAGCTTTTTTAGTTTTACAATGAGTTATATTTCTTAGCTTAATGTTGGCTATATAACAACAATACAATACAAGACAATGAAGTCAGTGGAAGTTTTTCTTGGTCGTGGAAAGAATAAAATAAAACATTATTTCATTCAAAGCTATAAAAGAAAGACAAGCTAAAGATGAGCTAAGTGCAATGACACATACTGTAGTAATGTACATCTTGTGGCTTACCTTGTTGCAAATGCAGAAAATAGAAGAGCACAGAGTGATTGGTTCCGGATTTACAGCCCCAGTGTTCACACAGTGAATTGTTAAAACTGACATAAATTTTGTACAGGAAAAAATAAAGTTTAGTTTAGTTTAAAATATTTTATTTAAGTGTCACTGGTATGATACAATTAATACATATATAAGAACATAGTTAAAATACCACCAGCCGATGTCGGCTTATGAGACACTGGTCACTAACTTCCAAATTATTATCGCAAGAACATTAAGCATATACTGTCAGACTGTAGACAATGCGTATCAGTAATGTATAATAAAACAATTTATCCCAAGTATTGCACAGGTTTGATAATTATAAATTCATATACATAATAAATAGAAAGAGTTAACATGTAACATATTGCCTCTTTAAATTGACTAGAGTTAAATTATAGTATAAAAGTAATGAGGCACTCAATCGAATGAATATGGTGAAACATACATTAGGACATTACAAATAATTATGTTTCAGTCAGCCTTTCAAGGTCAAATTGTCTCTTTACAAACATGTTATGCAAGAGAGCAGCCCATTGCCTTTGAATTGATTTTGAATGCATGAGACTAATAAATAGAAGTAAATCATTGTCAGTATTTGTTTTTATATGTGGCGTCAAAATGTTTGTAACAGTTTCATAAAAGTGTGATCTGAGGCTGGAGTAATGTTTACATTGAATGGCAAAGTGCAATTCATCTTCAATAGTGTTACTATCACATAATTTACAAGTTCGATCTTGCAATGCTATGTTTGACCATCTACCAGTCTCAATGTTAAGTGGGAGACTACCTGTTCTCAGTTTGGCAAGCATACTTCTATGATGTCTTGGAATATAATCAGATACATAAGATTCAGTTACAACTCCATATTTGAACATTCTATAAGTTCGAAGCTTATTTCCATTTTGCACATTATTTTTATCGTTCCAGATGTTTTTCAAGAAAGGATCTTTCGAATTGAAACAGTTCTTTAAAAGTTTTATTGTTGTTTTTACATGTAAGGAAATATTATTATCAGTGGAAATACCATTGTTTGACAACATTGTTTTAGTATGATAGTCCCAACTTCTTTTTTGTTTTAATGACCAAACATGCACTTTATAGTTCAATCTACTATGGTCCATATTGTGTAATCTCAGGTACTGGCGGGCACATTCCAATCTTGTTTTATCCACCAGAGGGCTCCACCCAAGGTCACCGCGAACTGCTTCATTGTTGGTTTTTGGACTTACACCAAGGAATGATTTACCAGCTCGATTTTGTATATTATTCAGGCATCTATGCTCCCTAAGGCCAACAACAGCACTGCCGTAGTTGATCACTGGTTGTACTAGGGAGTCATATAGATTGTTAAACACTTTGAAGTCCATTCCACCAGTATCTTTTGCTTTAGTTGTAATTACTCCCAGGGCTCTTGAAGCTGATTTGGCAATTTCACTTGCGATGATTTTGGCATCTAAGTGTTCCTCTAGCCATATACCCAGATATTTATATTTTGGAGCATATTCAATGGTATCTTGGCCACATGTAAAAATGTAGACTGATTGAGGGTGGGAGGGGGGCCTATAATGCACTATTTTTGTTTTGCTCAGGTTCATAGAGAGTCTCCATTTCCTGCACCATTCATTCACCTTATTTAGCATGCGTTGTAAGTCTTGAGGGGTTGGTGCTATTAATGCGATATCATCTGCATAAAGTAATATACCTACATTGGTATCATCAACATGGACTCCACACCTCAATTGTTTCACATCAGATGCTAAATCGTTTATATACATGGCGAACAGGGTCGGAGAAAGCAAACAGCCCTCCTTACATCCATTAGATACCTTGAATTTAGGGGTCAGCAAGCCATTAATCCTCACTGAGCAGGTTACATCATGATACAGGGATTGAACAGCCTTAAAGATTTTTCCTTTTATTCCTATTCTATTGAGTTTGAACCATAGGCAATCTCGATTTATACTGCAGAAGGCTTTCGTCATATCGATATAACAAACATATGTGTCCATTTTTGCTAGCTTGCGATTGTTAACAATAGAGTACAGAGTGTGGATCTGGTCACGACAGCTCCTCTTTTCTCGAAAGCCATTTTGCTCGTCCACTAAGAGGGAGTTTTTTTCAAGGAAATTTGTAAGTCTTTTGTTCAATACATCACAATATATTTTACTTGGCACTGATACTAGGGTGATAGCTCTGTAGTGAAGTGGGTTCCTTGTATCCCCATCTTTGAAAATAGGGTTAATTATTCCTTCCATCCATTGATCAGGCACCATGCCAGATTCAAAACATTCCTGTATTATGTTGTGCAGTAGGGCAATACAGTGGGGATTTTTAAGTGTTTCTGCAGGGATCAAGTCAATCCCAGCTGCTTTACGGAGCTTTGCTCTTGCTACAGCTTCTGCAACTTCTTGGATGGATATGTTGCCATTAAGGGTCTCCTCACTATTGGCCGCCTCTGTGTTATTTGTACGTGTATTGTTTTCTTGGATGATTTTTAGGTGATTGTCATCATATTTATTATTGTTGTCAGTTTGAACTGAATAGAGTTTTTGGTATGAGTCAGCCCAATGTCGCAAGACTTGTTGCTTATCAGTATGGATAACTCCTGCTTCATCAACACATTCCCATGGGATAAATTGCTTTCTGTCATTTGACATACCAAGTTTGCCAATATGACGCCAGAAGTCCCTTGAATTTACTTCATTATGTAGGTCTAGCAGGTGTTGCTGCTCCTGTTTTTGATAAGCCCGCTTGAATCGCCTGTGTAACTTGTCAAAGTGCCTACGTTCAATACAGTACACTTCTTTGAGATTTCTTTTCTGATTTGTATCCTTACAATTTAACCAAAGTTTCTCAGCTTTGTCAGCTATATTACATTGTGTTTGTAGGGTTTCATTCCAATAGGGCTTTTTAAAGGATTTCCCTCTTTTAAGGTTAGATGATTTTACTGATATTTTGTCAAATACACGATTCATTTCACTGTTTATCACATTGACAAATTCACCATAAATAGTGTTAATACGCTGCTTTTTATTTGCATTCACTTCCATACTTTTGATGGTGTCCATGACCTTATTAAAGAGACTTTCATCTTGCATGAAGTCATCAGGGGTAGGCTTCACCTTAAATTGACTATTATTTCCAGATTGACCTGAAGTATCACATGGAATGATTTCTGAGCCAATATCGAGAGTGCACTTTAAGATAGAATGGTCAGGGATGCTTTGGGGTCTGTTCATGTTTAATTCTCGGATAATATCTGACAATAACAATACATCAAAATTTCTGGCATTATGAAGCCCTTCATGCGTGGTAACGATGTAGTCCACAATGGACCTGCCCTTATGTGAGATACAAGTCCAGTCATCATGACCTGGAGTTCTTCCATTTAATACACACATGTTTGTGTCCACCATAAAATTCATAAAAAGATCCCCATAGGCATTGGTTGTACTATCTTTGCTCGCTCGATGAGGTATATTGTCAACCCCCTCTATGAAATCATTTAAGGATCCGAGACGTGCATTGAAGTCCCCTAGTATATACAACTGGCCATAGTTTTGGTAGGAGTAAACCCCCTGAGTAAGGTCGGAGAAAAAAGTCTCTGGAGCCATGTTAGTTGTGGTCCTGGAGATGGGAGGAAGATAACAGCTGCACAATATAAATGTCAAATCTGACCTTTTAGATGATAGTTCAATCCACAAAATATCCTGAGTTGAGCTGTCAAGTATTGAACAGTTAAAACTTTGGAGCACCGACTCTTTCACTAAGAATCCAACTCCGCCAGAGCCACGTCTCGCATTTGTGTGATTAGTGGTTCTATTATTTCCAAACCATTTATAATGATCAACTCTCAATTGTTCATTATTTCTAAGAAATGTTTCATTCAAACTTAAAACATCGAAATCAAGATTCGCAATAATGGCCTTCCTAAATATGGAATTATCCGTAAAGTCTTTCAACGAAAATCCATTTAAATTCCAATGTCCCAATTTTAACCGACATCGGCTGAGTTCCTATTGTTTGGCGTCCTTCTTTACAAACATACCATTTCTAAGAACAAACTCGGTGTCTTTACCTGCTGCTTTGAGTACAGTCCTTAGATTTGAGTTCATTTTTCTGACTTCTGGGGTAACAAAATTTTCAATATACGTATTTCTATATCTGGGATTGTTTTTCAGATTACGTTTTGATTTTAGAACTTCTTCTTTTGAGGCTTTATCTTTAAAAACAACAGTCACGATACCAGGGTACTTGGCACCTTGACGTTTTTCCTTTCTTGAGACATGCTCGACAGGAATGTCTTTGAGACCCAGGCCTTGAATTAGGTCATTTACCTGAATTGGGTCAGACTTATTTGTATCCTCAAGGTTTTTGACAATGATAGAGCGAAATTCTTCAGCAACACTATCGCTTTTGGAAATGTTTTGTTCAATAGATGCTATACGGTCTTGGAGAGCAGCTGTTGATGATACTAATTCCGATCTAAGATCAGTTTGGATTGTTTGTACCTTTTCATCCATTTTGCGTAGAATTCGTGTTTCCTGGGCGACCATTTCATGACGTATATTTGCAACATCACTCTGTATATCTCTTATAGAGTCCTTGATGAAGGAAAACATATCACGGAACTCAGTAGCTGGGATAACTTGGGCATGCTGTTGTGAGCTGGGAAAAAAATAAAGTCTACGTCTTTCTTAATTGTAAAAGTATGAGTAAATGTCACCAGTTGTTGACATCATATATGGCTATGAAATGCTCAGAGGTTATGCCTACAGCTACTGATAAGCTAATGTTATAAAGTTCTGTATAGCATATATTAATGAAAATAATATAAATAATAAACAATAAAATAATATATATTATTAACATATTTGAGTGGTTATTTTGAACACATGTGGGAATTTTGAATTTTCCAAAGCACAAATATAAGAGATAATATGTGTGATTTGATTTGCATTAACAGCAACGAATTCTGGAAATATCGCAATTGCAAAAACTCTAGCATCTGATGTTCATTTATGATTTGCTGAAAATACAATCTACTCTTGGCACTTGAATAACTTCCATGCATAAGAGTTGCCAACATTCAAAAAATCTTTAATCAAAGTGTACTTCACTATTTGAAATGCAATGTAAAATCTAAAGGATTTATGATGTTTTATCAAATAGATTTCTAACATCAAGTTATTTATTAAATTCCCATCTTTTAATTTGAACTTGCAAGGGGTGATCCAAAAAGAAGGTCACTGAATATGCCATTTCAACATTTTTAACCAAATAACCATTTGCTATAAATCTAATAACTAATACACCTGGAAACCTATTTGTAGTTGTAAACTGGTCTGTGTAAGCTAGATTTGACAGAAAGCTAGATTTCAGAGATAACTAGAGAATACTAGGCACTTTAAACAGTTAGAATCACCCATTTACAAATCTTACCTGCACCAGCTGAAGCTTGCTTTATCCTGGTGGCAACATTTGGCAAAGGATGATTCATTAAAGGTGTGGTCGGCCTTTCATTCTTTTCAGAATGCCCAATGGTCATTTGCATCTGTGGAGTTCTTGGATTCTCTGTTGCTACTTTCATAATCTGATCTGGAGTTATGGTTTTATCCCTGTTTGTAGTTGGAGCAACATAAAGGTCTTTAATTTGTTCAAGTTGGGATTTGGAGGCATTTTGATTGGTGTCATCTCCCTTACTGATACATTCCTCAGCAGACGCTCCTTTCTTTTTCTTTTTACCTCGCGGCATCTATAAAACATACAAGTTGTCACACCTTCAGCTTACTTCTAAGAAGTCAAATAAAATAGATACCTTAATACATATGTATGACAGTCATCATGTTTACAAGAATGATCAAGTACTTCCTGTTTCAAATCCGACACATGGATTCTGAGAATGTTGATTTCTGTCAATAGGGGTAAAGCTTCACATTTCAAAAAGAACTTAAATGTAAATATGTAAACTTTAAAACCCCAAAAAAGTAAATACTCTGAAGTAGAGAGGTAAACCCTAAAAGAGCATAACCCTCCACATTCACATACAACTTCTGTATACACAAAGGGAGTGGGTTAGTGCAAGACATGGCAAAGTGCCATGAAAGCGTGCTAATGAAGAGTGCCATGGCCCCAGGGGGTTCACAGTATATAAACCTTGATGGGGATCCTCTGCTCACGTGGGAAACATTTTTTGACAATTTGTATGACAATGGACCCATAAAACAGGGACCCTGTACAATAAAGCAATGCACCTACAGAAAGGCATTTTAGTTTTGCTTTTAGTGGAACAAGTTGAAGAAAAAGGATGCAGTATGAGGTTCACAATCCTTGATTTTCAAAAACCTGGTAGGTTTAAAAATTCAAATTCCCCGAGTAGTTGGGTCCACATGGTTATGGGTTATGTTAGTCTCATATGTCTGAGCCAGCTTTTTTGCTTCTAAAAATGTATGAAGTTACATTAATAGCTAAACTCTAGTTCATCATAAATTTTATTCTACCTTAGCCTTTATACATACAGCGCGTCGTGCGTGAACTGAGGGAAGCGAGACCCCTCAGAAATCTTTTGAAATTTAGACTCTCTCTATAGTGCAATCTGAGCATTGAGCATGATACAGCACCATTGAATTCCTAGTAAATGTTTTACACACCTGATAATTGAATTAAGAACATACATACAAAGCTTAATAGGTACAATAATCCATGGCCGTCAGATGGGGGGGGGATGCGATAGGTGCGACCGCACCCCCCTCTGACACCCCCCAAAAACCAATTCCATTGACTCATACACTTTGAAAGTGCCCAGAAAGCACCAAATAGCATCTCAAAAATTTAAAATTTTCTAGGGGGGGGGGCACTCCTCACACCCCCACATAACAATTGGGAATGTTTGGAAGTTGCATTTGTTAATTTTAAACACTTTAAAAGTGCCCAGAAATCACCAAGTGACATAATGAAATCATCAATAATTCTGATAATCCCAAAAACTAAAGCATTCATTTACTCAAACACATTAAAAATGCTCAGAATTAACCAGACAGCATCTTGAATTAGTAAAATTGTCCTGTGCTGACCACTCACTCCTCTTCGAAGAAAAAGATTAAAAAATAAGAATTTTTTTAAATAGATTCTATTGCCATCTCGCACATCCTCCCTATTCCAATGTTTCTCCAAATTGCTCATAAATATTTAGTCTAAAAACAATATGAAAACAATATACTACAAAATAGGCTGAGTGGCCTCATTATAGAGAGTAACTGCCCCCTCCCCCCTGACTAACGCGATTTGATTTACGCGGAAAAAATGACAATTTTATTTTCTCTTTATTAAAAACCGCACCCCCCTTAGAGAAAAGTGTCTTACTGGCCTGTAATCGCCATTTTTATCGCCCATCCTGCTTCATAAAGTTCAAGAACTATTGAGGAATAACCAAGTATTAACAAATACATCAGAAAAATTGAATTTCAAAAGAAATCAAGTGGGCACTAATAGAGTACTTTATCATATTTACTCTAAAATATGGTAAAAGAGTGACACATTTTGTGATTCGCTGTATAAGCCCGCCCCCCCCGATTAATATCTATCATTCGATGCTTTCCACACATTACTAAGCTAACATTATCTCAAAACATTCAATAATGAATGAAGGAAATGTTCATGTTAAAATGTTTCTTGGCATTTCACCAAAAAAGCTAGTACAGGTTTTCTGCACACATCAATCTCTCATTTCTTTTTATCCTTATTCCCACAACTTTTACACGAAAAATTATGATCTTTAAGGTATACTTTAGCCTAGGTTGATATCCAACAATCTCAAGTGCATGCAGTGGAAATAATGAAGGTATTCGCTCAAATCAATATGGGCTCCTCTGGAAACTGAGTTGAGAGTATACAAAATGTAAAATACTGTAAAACTGGTAATTTTGACACCAGGAAATTTTAGCGATTTTTCAATTTTAGGGGGTTTTAGTGCGGGAAATTTTAGCGAAATGAAGATTAATCTTTAAAAAATCAAATTAGCGAAATGCATTAGAAATATTATCATTGGTTGTTGAACCGTGTTCAATTAACACCTTTTATCTTTATATTTACTACTAATACTATTTGACTGATGGATGGCTATTTATTCTTCAGATATTGAAAGAAACATACGATTTAAAGATCTAATAGCAAAGGTTTTGCAAAAATAAATCAATGTAGTATAAAACAAATGTATGTATAATGAAGAAATAAATATATAATGAAAAAAATAGATATCTGTTTGTAATATTGGTATAAACTTAAGATTAAAAAGTGTCACTATCTCTTTCACTTTTCACATCAATGAATCATTTACTACGACTACTATATTCATTACGGACGCGTGTAAAGTTAACCAATCAGAAAGACAATTGTTCCACATATGGCAGTTCATTAACATATTCAGTGTTTACTACTGCTTTTTGCGTCATGACAACACGAGTAGTAACCAATCAAGATGCCGTATTTTATCACGTGAGTTCAGAGTGAGTTCAGAGTGACACGCACGCGACATGTTGTCTGAGGTGATCGCGATGTTGAACAATTTCTTCTCGGAATTTGTCCAGAGAAATCAGCGATTCTAAATTAAGGTAGGATCTGCCATTTTTTCCTGTACAAGTTATAACTTATCTCTATCGAATCCTAAAGTTTTGGAAGAAGATATGAAGCGTAGGTTTAAAAACGAAGCGATTAATTTGACGATCTGATTTTGCAATTTGCAATGGCCAATTTACTGCAAGTCCAGTGCATGTATTTGACAAGAGATAGCGCCAAGTCTTGTATCTAAATGCTTGTTAAGCCACTCAAAAACAAGATCCATATTTTCTAAATTTGATAACTTTGCAGAAAACCTGTTTTCATAATCTGTTTTCCGCGTCTAGATTCAAACTGAGTATGATAATAGGATCGCTGGAATCTTCAATGGCAACGGGTCTTCATTCCAGAACTCACATTTTTAGTTGATTCTCCGTCATAGTTCTTGTCTAAAGTCCCCATATCTGCTCTCTTACTGCCATACTTGCACACATTTCCCCTCCTTAAATTGGCTTCATTCAAATTACACCCTCTCGCCGATTTATATAGCCATTTCCCAGAACCCGGGAATCAGAATCGCTGATGTTTGCCATATTGAACATATTATATGTACTGTAATATCTGTACATTGCCTGCTACGCGTAATGGTCACGTGACTAGCGCGATACAGGAAAAATGGGGAATTTCGAAACAACAATTTTTGGGCACTTTTATTGCAAATTTCAGGTATTTATAAAGTGTTTGTGGTATAAAATATAATCCACAGACATAAATGAACATCCAAACTACATATTTCATTAAGTTTTGGAGCCTTTTTTGCTCTTAAATTAACATCTTTAAAAATATTTACCTTTTTCAAATTACAAACCGGAAGTCGAGCACTGAACGAAAAGCTCCTTAAATACTAGTATTCATGTAGTTTCCCAGGAATTTGCCAATTTTAGCGCCCGGTTTATTTTAATCCTGGTTTATTTTAGCGAATTGAATTTTTAGCGAAACTACAGCGATCGCTAACAATCGCTAACAATTACCCCTCGCTAACAATACCCGTTTTACAGTATACAAATTACAAAACTTAAGGGATGTGTATACATTATTTAAGAAATATAGACCGAAAAGCAGGGGTAATATTACCCCGCAGGACTAGGCACAAACGTTTTCTGGGTTCGAAAACTTTTGTGCCTAGCCCTAAGGGGTGTATTCGACGATATTACCCCTGCTCTGAGGTCTATATTACAATTCGAATATGAAAACTCACCAAAATGTTTCGATGGTCCGCCATTACTACGACCCACCGTTATGATGTCACATATTACCAGGGGTATTGATCGCGAACATTCCCCGGGTGAAATGTTGACTTTGTTTACAGTTTATAGAAGGCGTGAAAACAGCCATATTCGAATGGAAAGTATGGTCTCAAATCACCTCAAATCGACCATGGTCTGGGTGATAGAAAATCAAGATCTGGGCACTTTAGATCTAAATAAATTGAAATGAAAATAAAGTAGACGACATACTGTAGATTGTAACAGATCTAGAAGATTTTATATACTTACACTTAGCTTGATGTCTGTGGGTATGAGATGATCACGTTAAGTTACATTTTATTGCTCAAATTACAGTAAATATCTAAAGAATGAACTACTTCTGCGAACTTCTAAACTTGGATTTCCCGGACATATGACGTCATTTTGAAAGTGAGGCTGACCTAATTGATAAAATCCTTTTCTTCATCCTGATATATCAAACAACACTTCACATTAAATCTGTGGATCAGATTTCATTATTTCATACCGTGTATCAAACTGTAAAAGAACGTTTTCGTAATTTTACATTGAATTCCGGGATTGAATCAGGGTTGAATCTAGCAGGTCTCGATTGATATTTCGTGAATCTGTTTACTCCACCTGATATCAATTATCACCCATGCTGAAAAATAAGTTCCAGACTCAAAAAGTTTCAGTTTTTTCTTAAAACTGCTATTACCAAGAGTTGAATTATTCGTAAATCGGCTGAGGTATGTATAAACTAGTGTTACCTCAACCAGGCAAGTGTTCAGATCTAGATTCGGCTACTTTGCTAGAGACTTGAGTAAACCTCTGCCATCAGTAAAATTTTGTTTGGAACTAGACTAGAGTCCATTTCACTGTTTAACTGCGTCAGTAAAAGCTAAAAAATAAGAAATCAAAATATCATTTTGCAATAATATATGGAAAAATATATTCCTATTGTACATGAATGACATTTGTATATCTTGGATTGCTTCTAGTTTGGCTTATAAAGTGTGTGGCCTCTTGTATTTGGATGTTTCTCTGCCATGTTATTTTCAATAAGATTAACATGGCTGAAATTCTTCAAATTACAAGACGGCAGAGGCGTATTGCACAAAAAACTAAAAAATCTGAAATATACAAATGTCATTCATGTACATTATGAATATACTTTTCCATATATTATTGCACAATGGTCTCCCAATTTCTTATTTTTGCCGTTCTACTGGCGCAATGAAGCAGTGAAATGGACTCTAGCCTAGACTCTGTCTACTTTGAATTTAAAAAATACGTAAAGGCTAGAGTACCGACAATTGTCGGTACTCTAGACTCTGATGTGGTGGCACGCTAGAGGACCGACAAATAAATTGTCGGTACGGGAGATATGCTGTTACACACTAGAGGACTGACAAATATTGATTTTCGAATTTTCTGGCGCATGCGCAATGCGCGGGGGGATATTTCAGATATCATACGGATATTTTGGGAACAAGTGCAAAACCCGGGGAGGGCATTAGCCCTAGACTGTATCCTTCGTCTGAATAAATTCAGACTGTAAGTCACCTATTGTAAAATGTGGTGTTGTATAAATGTTACAAATAAGTTTGTTTAAAAAATGATTACCTTATAAAGAACTTACAATATTATTTTTTCGTCTATTGTCCTCTTACTGAAGATATTCATAAAATGTACAGACGCTTCTTGTAGCGAAGCCATTGATTAGGTCAAGCCATTTTGGCAATGCCAATTCTCACGATAAACGAGATTTAGCCAGTGACGTCAGTCTATTTGTAAACAAATAACACGTGGAGCGGACGGAGCAACATACGGAAGCGTATTGATAAATTCCATTTGTGCGGGAATTTATTAGATCTAGTCATTTATTCGATTAATTTTCGTCATTTATAGTAAATAGAGCGGAAATATTCATGAAGAAGGCCGAGGTAATCAAGTGGTCATGTGTTGTCAAAGTTCAAAAATTTGCATATCTCGTTTGGATCTCGTTAACTCAAACGTCCTTGACATTGATTTCGCGATCTACTTATGAACATATCCTGAAGTTTTGGTGAGTCTGAACATTTCATTATTTTATATCAACTTGTACCCGCCTTATACAAATATTTTTGCTTCTAGTTTAAGATGAACATCTCTTCAACATATTCGCCAATTTTCAAGGTGAACATTCTTGTAATAAACGAGAAATTTATGTACAAAAAATATCACCGCGATTTCCACAGGAAATATATCAATCATAACAGACCGAATATTATATTCGGTCTGTTGGATACATACTAGCATTAGCCCCAGTTACCCGGAGATTACCAAACCCAGTCAAAAAATGGTAGCACGGGAACAGGGAATGGTAGTAAAAGTTGAAAACCCAATAAAAAACATGAACAAGTAAGACGTTAGCAGAGCTGTCAAGTGTCCCGCGAATGGCGGGATTATCCCGCGAATTTGATCAAAATTAGGCTAATTCGCGTGTCCCGCAATGTCCCGCGAAGTCCCGCAAATGTGGCTTTGACCTCCGCGAATTTCCGAAATTGTTGCAATCCCCTATATTGTGATTATCTTATCTTTTATAAGAAGCTAAGTTTTTGCACTTTTGAGGAGTAAAGTTTACCTAATTTTAAGTACCTAGCATGCTGTTGTTTGGTATCAAAATAAAGGGGAAAGGTTCAACTTTCATTTTTTTAATTACGAAAATAGGGATGTAGGTCACAAATAGTTCCAACGTTGGCCTTTTTACTACCCGTGTGGCCTTCATCTCAGAACTGAGCAAATATTAGCAAACGCGAGTTACAATAAATGGACGCTGATATCTAGAAAAGGTTTGTAGAAAAACACGGGTACCGGGTAGTAAATCCTACATGCTGGGTTCAAACTTGGTACCCGGTACCCGGTCAAAAAAACGGGAACCCAAAAAACGAAAAATACAAATATATAACATAATAGATTATGAGAAAACGTGTAAGATTTGTTTTGAATTTACAAAAATGTATATAACATCCTTCAAAATTGAGCTAGAAGCTTCAAATAAAAGGCATATTTTAAGGCTCTTTTCTTCCTCTATCGTCATGGCCATATTTTCATTGGTTATGGGGGGGGTGCGATCGCACCATCGCACGCCTATGACATTGTAAGACATAACAATTTACAATTCAGTGGACATTTTGTTGAAAATTGGGATAACTTAAATTATGATTAATAATCAAAATCTTACACGTTGCATCATTTAAATTAACACACGTCACCTCTCTGCTAATTTAGGTGGATGTCCCGCGAAATCCCGCAAATTTAGCGCACTTTGTCTAAAAAATCTTTCCCTCTATGAAGTTTTTGGTGGTACCCCTGTTAACTGTCCCGCAATTAGGGTGTTTGTCCCTCGAATGGTCCCGCGAAATCCCGCGAATTTGATAAAAAAAATTGGCCTATTAGCTCAATCACGCAAATCCCTTAAATGTCCCGCGAAATCCCGCGAATTTAGTAGATGTCCCGCAAAATCCTGCAAATTTTGGGCACTGGGTCTAAAAAATCTGTCCCGCAAGAAAATCTTTAAGGGTTGACAGTACTGCGTTAGAGAGCTATTAATGCAGAGTAAACGGCTATATATATTCTAAACAGACAGGATATTTCTCCTGAGCCGATCAGACGTAGAAAGGGGCGTTTGCTACCCATTAGACAGAAGAAAATAGCGATAATGTTTTTTATTTGAAGCTTATGGTATGAGGTTCCATATCCATCCGCCAAAAGGTATGACCCGTATATAGTCCATTTAAAAACCTGTGGTATCGTATCGTATTCTAAATAACCCATAGTTGGCTTCTAGGGTACCTAGTATGCCACTATTTGGTATCAAAATAAAGAGGAGTTCAACTTCATTTGAATTATGAAAATAGCGATGTAGGTCAAAATAGTTCCGAACGTGAGCATGTTTACTACGCGTTTGCCCTTCTTATCAGAATTGAGAAAGTGGTAGCAAGCGCGAGTTACAATAAACGGACGCTGATATCTCAAAAAGAAACCTGACTCCCTATAATTTGATGTAGGTCAATCGAACCCCTATATGGACAGGTGCATTTTGATATATAACACTATGGGGGGTAAGCGTTTCATAGTTGGTCACGAATGCCATATGTGCAAAGTATTGTTATGAATTTTCGAATTTGGTGTTGGATTACAGTACTCATACCTTATAGCACAATTTTTGATGGAAGTTGCATTTGGCTCCCTTAGTTAATGGCCACGATTCCATCTCGCATGAGAGAGCTACCAAACGCAAAGTAAACAGTGATATATTCCAAATGAGATATTTCTCCTGTGCCATGGCGTAGTAAGTGTAGAGAGCGAAGGGGGCGAAAGCATCCCCTCTCCTAACTGTATATATCGACCCATTAGATAGAACAAGAAAAGAGCTTTAAAATGTTTTTTTAATTAAAGCTTGTAGGACAATTTTGATGGAAGTTGAATCAATTTTTGTCGAAATAAATTATGGCTCACTACAAGTTAATGCCTGTACGATTCCATACTTCAAAAGAAAAAAGTAGGTCCTGCCGGGATTCGAACTCGAGACCGAATGTGTTCGAGTCGTGCTCGCTAACCACTAGGCTACCAGTGATGAGGTTATTTCTAAAAGTAAAAGTAGTGGATTTATTTATGAAATTGTCAGCTCTCTAGCAAAAACACGTAGCAGCCACTTGCGTACCGACAATTGTCGGTTCTCTATCTGGCACTACTAGGTGACGATAGAGTGACGACAATTGTCGGTACCCCAGCAAATACCCCTGGACAGTCTCCATTACCGACAATTGTCGGTCCTGGAGCCACTCCGTAAAACATAAGCAATCAAGGGACCATATTGAAACAGTATATGTAAAAGTAGAAACTTATACACATGTCCTAACTTTTGTATATTTTATATTCTCATCTGACATGTCTTATGGCCTTGGCTAGGATTCACCTCCATGATTATTTTGCCTTTGATGCGTTAATTAAATCGTTCCGCAGGTTTTCGACAAGCGGAACTAATTTAATCCCGATTTAATCTTGAAAACATGGAAATATTACATCACTTTGTGTTTGATTTGAATTTTTTGGTTAGGTAATAAGACCAAAACTTGCTATTCAAATTTTGAAGTGAGAAATACCAACCAACTCCAGGACTGATGTTAGCTTTTTTTGAGAGTATCAATATTGCATTCTGGCTACCATAGGGTGTCCCAAAAAATCACTTTTTTGGAGTTGAGCTTAGCACAGTTGGGGTTTGGTTCCTTTTGGGGAGTTTATTAAGTGTGTAAAATATTATAGAGACAGATGGATGTTTCAGTTGTTGGAATTAGACCTAAAAATGTAACGTTTTTGGCAAAAATCGCACTTTTTGACCAGATTTACTGAAGAATAATGGAAACCTACCTCACCTTCTGTTCATAAAAATGAAGGCTAAATGAAAGGTTGTGCACCACATTACCACTCTAAGTAAGAATACTGCTGAGATTTGGGTATATACCCTCCAAAAAGACTCTGAAATGAGGCTAAAAATGACATATTTTAAGATTGAAATCAATGGGTAACATTCATACGTATTACAAATGTTTTATTTAGCTATAGATATGCAGATCACATAAGTAAGTTCAGATCAGTTCTTCAGGTCAGTTCTTCAGATAAAATTGTCCATATTGTCCATTTGTTGTTTGTTAAGGTTTTTAAAATCAAGAAGCTGGCGGTGATGGTTAACCACCATCTGAACACGATCGCGGCGATCCACACCCTTACCGTAGTTTGCGAACTCGGTAACATCCTTGATTGCCCGTTCTGCACAATCGTTAACTACTTCCATGGAAGTAACGAGCTCCTTAAATCTAATATACTCTGGAAACTGATCCCAGTTGTCGGGATTAAATTCCATCCAGTGTACATCTACTTGAAAGAGGTCAAAAATTAACCATGACCTTTCCCCACCAAAGTTTTCAAGCGTGACGTCCCCTGGTCTTGTTAACAAGTGATCTTTCATTTGTGTTTTCTGTGGAGGAAAGTTCTGGGGACGACCTGCATCTATCATTACTCTGATGATCTCAGATTTCTTCTCACCCTTGATGTTGTTGTCACATAGTGACAGAGGTAACAGTTCCTCAGAGAGGTACCACATATGCCGTTTAATGGATACAAGTACCTTGTTGACGAGTTCAGGATCAGATGCCTAAAAGCCAGATGTTGGTTATTGTTTAGATTGCACATTATGATTTTGAATCTTGATTTTTCATTGTTCAATATTTTACATGACGAAAAAGAAGAATTGTTACCTGAAACTGAAGAGTATTCTCCCAGAACTCTAAATCCGACCAGGGGGCAACTGCAGGAATCATGGCCTGAAGGAAGAACTTGCCGTATAAGAAGAGAGTAAACCTTGCAATTCTAACCACTTGTTGCAATTCTCTAGGAGTAACAATGTGTGGAGGAAGCTGGTGCCTAGTCATCAATATTTTGATGAGATATATTGCCTTTGACATAAACCGCGCATGGCTAACTGCACCTGGTCTTTTCATACGCCACTGGTAGCTGTAAATGTTACCACCCAAACCTCGTCTTTGGACCTACATACCAAGATATCTCTCAAATTAAAATCAAGATGACAAGTACTGCGCATATTACTCAATAATTATAGTAATTGTACACTATGTAAAATATTGAACAATGAAAAATCAAGATTCAAAATCATAATGTGCAATCTGAACAATAACCAACATCTGGCTTTTAGGCATCTGATCCTGAACTCGTCAACAAGGTACTTGTATCCATTAAACGGCATATGTGGTACCTCTCTGAGGAACTGTTACCTCTGTCACTATGTGACAACAACATCAAGGGTGAGAAGAAATCTGAGATCATCAGAGTAATGATAGATGCAGGTCGTCCCCAGAACTTTCCTCCACAGAAAACACAAATGAAAGATCACTTGTTAACAAGACCAGTGGACGTCACGCTTGAAAACTTTGGTGGGGAAAGGTCATGGTTAATTTTTGACCTCTTTCAAGTAGATGTACGCTGGATGGAATTTAATCCCGACAACTGGGATCAGTTTCCAGAGTATATTAGATTTAAGGAGCTCGTTACTTCCATGGAAGTAGTTAACGATTGTGCAGAACGGGCAATCAAGGATGTTACCGAGTTCGCAAACTACGGTAAGGGTGTGGATCGCCGCGATCGTGTTCAGATGGTGGTTTACCATCACCGCCAGCTTCTTGATTTTAAAAACCTTAACAAACAACAAATGGACAATATGGACAATTTTATCTGAAGAACTGACCTGAAGAACTGATCTGAACTTACTTATGTGATCTGCATATCTATAGCTAAATAAAACATTTGTAATACGTATGAATGTTACCCATTGATTTCAATCTTAAAATATGTCATTTTTAGCCTCATTTCAGAGTCTTTTTGGAGGGTATATACCCAAATCTCAGCAGTATTCTTACTTAGAGTGGTAATGTGGTGCACAACCTTTCATTTAGCCTTCATTTTTATGAACAGAAGGTGAGGTAGGTTTCCATTATTCTTCAGTAAATCTGGTCAAAAAGTGCGATTTTTGCCAAAAACGTTACATTTTTAGGTCTAATTCCAACAACTGAAACATCGATCTGTCTCTATAATATTTTACACACTTAATAAACTCCCCAAAAGGAACCAAACCCCAACTGTGCTAAGCTCAACTCCAAAAAAGTGATTTTTTGGGACACCCTAGGCTACCAGTCCTGCTTGCCTCTATTCTAATCGCTCATACATGCGTCTCCATCACTAAAAATTGTTGTGCATTATTTTTTGTCCCTATGCGAGGGTAAGACATTAAACCATACTATCATATACATGTACATGTACTCAAATTATATTCCTAAGTGTTGTTCTTCTTTCAGATGATGTAGACTGAACACTGAATGATGAAACCAACAGATGCCAATTTTACTTGCCTCTAGTGTTCGCTGTATCATAGTATATAGATATAGTTCACAACAACTATGGGAGTTAAAGGACTAACCACGTTCATTGATACAAATCAAGAACTTTTAGAGGACACGAAATTGTGCAAAACCAAGTTGATACTTGATGGTAATAATGTCTACCACTTTGTCTACTACAACTACAGGGTGGCTCATGCATATGGTGGTGATTACCTTCAATACAGGAACAGTGTTGATTCTTTCTTCAAGTCTCTCCTAACATGTGACATTGAGCCATATGTCATATTTGACGGTGGCTATGAAAAAGATGATCGGAAATTGCAGACCATATTAGGAAGAGCGAGGAGCAGGATTAGCTCTTCCAATCAAATTGTCGCTGGAAATGGAAGCCCTAGAATAATGCCAATTCTTGCATATGAGGTGTTCTGTGAGGTCATAAAAGAACTCGGAATTCAACATAGAACATGTGACTATGAGGCTGATGGGGAAATTGCCTCTCTTGCGAACTATTTCAACTGCCCAGTGTTGAGCAATGACAGTGATTTCTGTGTATTTGACCTCACTGCTGGCTACATACCTTTAGATTATGTCAACTTTAAACCTGCAAAATCTCAAGAATCTACCACTGATTTACACCTCAATTGCCAGTTGTTTAAGCTGTCTAATCTCACTCAAGAATTTGCTAATGTTTCCAATACCCACATGCCCCTGTTTGCAACTCTCCTTGGGAATGATCTAATTGGAACAGATGTCTTCGAAGCATTCTTCAATAATATCAAATTACCAAAATTAAAATCAAAAAGAATATTTGTGTCAAAGCGAAACAGCAAAATGCTTGGTGTGTTGTCATGGTTACAGGCGTATGATGATGTAGATGAGGCATGTGAAGTTGTTGTCTCACACTTAAAGAAAAATGAACGAGACAATGTTTTAAAAATGATGAAGCAATCTATTGAAGCCTATAAAATTCCAGTATGTACACTTCACAGTGTGTTTGAGTCTGAACAAGGGAATCCAACTGAAATATCATACACTGGTTGTGTTTTGCCAGCATGGTTTATTGGAGCTATAAGACGGTGTGAGCTACCAGTGTTCCTCCTGAATGCCCTCACTCTACATCGTGTCATCCTCTTGGCTCAGATTGAGGACCACAATTTGCCAAGCTCCTGGAAGTGCGCGCTAAACATACGCAGATCCATATATGGTATGTTGCTAGGTGACGAGGCACAGGGAAAGATCTGTGAATATGATAGGGAGAAGAAAAGTTTACGTCAAACAAATGAAGAGCCTTTGTATAGTGTTATGTCTTATGGCAGGCTACCATCTCTTAACCAGATTCCTAATCTGAGTGAAGAAGAAAGAAAGGACATATTTCTCAATACGCTAGGCCTGACAGAATCCACCTTGAGTGGAGTACACAGGGAACATTGGTTCACAACTGCTGTCCTGGCTTATTGGATCCAGAATACAGAGCCAAGGTTAATGAAATGGCATTTATTTGCTATCATTGTGTGCCTGATTACACTGAATGTTTGTGATACTGAGGAAGTTGAAGCCACACAAGACTCCTCAGAGAGATATGAAAGCCAGACCCTTCCACCTTGGTCATGTATAAAACAGTGTACGACCAGTGATGAAAAAGCACATCTGAACAATAACCTTACTAGGATCCTAACGACTCATTCAAACAAAACAAAACATCATCAAAACACTAATATCTCAATTGTACACATGTTTTCCCAACTGCAGACTTGCATCCAGGCTGCTCTCTATCTCAACCAGTTGTTGCTCTCTCCTATCCCTAATCCAAGCCCCAGTCTTATCTATGATGGCACCCTATGCTGTAAACTAGCCTCCTCTCTTGAGACCAGACCAGACCCTGAATTATATACACAGGAAATTCTTGGAAGAAAATCTAAAATGGTCGAGTTTTTTCAGGATTTTCAAACTGTGATTTTGTCCCTAATTGATGCAACTTCCGAGGAAATGTTTAGACTCAATGAAAAGACTTCAAAGAAAACCTCAAAGAAAAAGAAAAAAGCGAAAAAACAAGACCAGAAGCAGGATAGTAGTGAAATGATAACTGACAAAAGTGAAAATTCTGAATCAGTAGCTCAGGATCTGATTATATGTGACTTATCTAACAGATTCCATGGCTTAGCAGACGATTGATTGAATCTGCAGAACTTCTGGATCAATCCTCGTACATGATACTTTGTAGATGTAAAACACTAACTGCTTAATGATCAGTTAAATGGACCATATCTATTATCTGTTCAGTAATTATAATAACATACATTTATCACACTGGTGATCCACTCAATTACGCTGGTTAGGGAACCGTTTCAGTTACAAAATGTCGGAACGTGGAAGGTGCGATTTTTCTTTTTTCCTTATTTCACACGTTGTAGGCAGAATTCCCACGACATTTTTATCACAAACGTACATGTATATCAGTATCATATGTTTAAGAAAGTGTACATATTTGCGAACAAATAGTTCAGAAGACAGCAGAATCGTCGATTTAATTCCTCACTTAAGTTACAGAAACGATATTTCAAAAAATAGTCAACCCATTTTTAACCCATACCGTTTCTGTAACTTAAGTGAGGAATTAAATCGACGATTCTGTAGTCTTCTGAGCTATTTTTTCGCAAACATACTGTTGGCACTCGGTCCTTCTCGTAATCCCAAATATGACTGTAAATAGGTTGTGGTCTAGCCCTGCTTTTGCGGCATCGTGTTGAAGGGGAATTTTGGAGACCATCTTATACCTTGGTCACATTTGCTCCGATTTTCACTACGGCGCCCGGCCGATTGAGTATTTTGTTCAGAAATGTATTCAATTTTGAACAAAATACTCAATCGGCCGGGCGCCGGCCGACGAATCACAGCAAATGTCACGAGGGGAAAGTGTACCCGTGTATATACAACCTACCGCCGAGCAAGACACGCATATACCGCCTATCAAATGTTTGGTTAACTACATCTCATAGTAAAATGGACAATAAAGGTAATATTGGACCTCTATCAATTCCCTTGGATGGTTAGAATCGTTACTAAGATGTTCTAGCAGGCGGAATTGGCCTAGAATTATAGTTGAAATATATTTGTTATGTCCAAATTAAGAGATAAGTTTAACGTATAATGGTTTTCGATTTGTTTTTCTCATTCATACTCGCTTTAATTGATAATGAGCCATACATAAGACATACTTGGGCCGGTAAATGTATGTCATATGCATAATATATTAAGTGTCAAAATATTAGGTCAAAATAGCACTTTTGAACAGCAAAATCTTCACATAAACTTTGTCCTAAAAGATCCGATGTTATCGGACATCGGACCCGATGTGATCGACGAGTAATATTATAAAGATCCGAAAATATCTTGAGTAAATGATCTCAGAATCCGAACATTACTTGAGTAAAATCTGTTGAGATCCGATTATATCGTCGAGTCTATGACATACTGATGATGAAATAGTGTTAGTGTTACTTTTGGGAGTTTTCGAACCTTGATTAAATTGCCTTTATTAGAAGGGTTACTCGTTATTAATACTATTGTAACATTTTGACCCAGACTGACACAACAGAAATTAGGCTATCAACATTGGAGGATAGGAAAAGCGCGGAATTGCGTTTAAATCAATTATGAATATGATCTTTCTTCATTTTAGGAGCCGTTGTACTGATGTTTTAGTCAAACTTGAGAGCGAATGAATTGCATTTAAATAAATTATTATCCATATTTATGGATAAAAATGAATATGTGTCACGTTCCTAATCTCTACTGGTCAATCTTTTTTCATTTTAGTAGCCTTTCTACTGATATCTTATTTTGTTCAATATTGAGATCGAATGAGCATAACGGGTAAACTTTGCACATTTTAGACCAATCAAAATATATAACTATTTTTCATATGTTTACCGTCTTGGTAGATACAAAATAACACGTACCAAACTCATTAGATTATGAGCATAGTCAGATAGAAGTGGTGATATCATCAACAATGAAAACTATGGTGATTCGAGTGAAAGCATGAATTCAATGTTTTAAAGAACTTCGCGGGACACAGACGTTGACGTATACCCTTAAGAAAAAACGCTTGTTTTCTCTTCATGTGGTTAAAAGATGACCTTTTTTAACCACATTTTTACCACTCAAGATATGTATAAGTGTGGTTGTGGTCACCTGTTTTGACACTCATAAAAGTGTGGTCCCCACTGGTATTTCTTCCACAATTCCAAGAAATATCTCCCCATAGTTTCTTCTCATAATGAGAAAGTGTGGTTAAGGTGTTCCTGAAACTATGGAGGAGCAGGACATTAACTTTAATATGATTTAAGGTTACCATATTGTTAATAGGGGTTAAAAGGGTTAATGCTTGTTAAAAATATTTTTTATTATTTACCGTATATGATAAGTCTGTTATACCTGTTATTCTGGTATCTAAATTGTTTTATGCATCTTCTTTGAAATATTCCATTACGCATGTGGCAACTATGAGAATGTTGTATGATTGAAGCATAGGGAGATGGGTTAATTTGATCACATGTACATTTTATACTCTGACTGAGGTTAAACGGTTTAATCTTTGCAAAATATTTCAGTAAAATGACATAAGGGTTAGAGTCAAATGAATGATCAGTGGTTTCAGTAACTTTGTGTACAAGGGGCAGATGAAAAATACAAGAGGCGGCATTCAAAATAACCAATTTTACGCTCCAGACAATGCAAATTCTTGTTATTTTAGAGTCCATGGACTGAAAGAAAGATGTCCAAGGTTTGTCAAAGTCATTTCCATTTTGCGCATTTACCCATTTGATAACATATTGTGGATCTTATCTTAATTTGTTAATGTGAATTCGCACCTTCATTTGCATGGAAGACTTTGATAAAATCCTTTTTTGATGATTTTTGTTAGAAAGCTGATGTTTGGCTAAGCTTCGAAATTCCAAATTGAACAGTCTACTAAGCATACCATGTTGTAAATATTGTTTTCTTTATAATATGTCGAGCTAGGACTGCTCAAACAAATTCGCTTTTTGTAGCTACATGTACAAGTATTTAATTTCAATAGATGATAAACTTCTCAATATAAGAAATATACCCTCATAAGACATTGTTGCAAGGTGTGTTGCAATGAATGTGGCACCCCGCATTCCCGGACCCGCATTATGTATTCTCGAAAAAAGCCATCATGATAAACCATGACATCTCATTTCTTCTCAGCCCTGTGTTTCAAGTGAAACAGAAAGATACCATGAGTATCAGAATGGAAGAAAGCATATATTTGCATTGATGGTGTATAGATAGTTATTTTATATAGTGTTTTAGTTGTACGTGGAAACCGATTCTAACCAGGAAGGATATTGCAACTTTTTTCAAGATCCTAAAGTTGCAATTCTCGTTATTGTGTTTCATTGTAAAGACGCACCTATGAAAGTGTGTCTCTGATACAAAGGCGTAGTTCTACATTAATTTAAGATACACATTTTTTAAACTTGTATGTGAACATGTAGAATTATGGACCTCTTATTACCTCTTTAAGTTAATTTTAAATAAATTCACGATATTTTTAACAAAAAGTCCTTCAAAAACATTTTTTGAAATTAATAAAAAGTTTCACATTTCACGCTTTGATAACATTGGATAAGACAAAAATATAAGCCAAAGTGGTTTAAACTTTATATGGGGCCTTTAACTGATTAATAGTACAATAACGTCATTTCTAAGGGGAATATAGTGAAATGACGTTATAAGTATTATTACCACCGTTAACGACCAGGGCTGAAATAGCAAGAAAATCTTACGCACTGAGCGATATCTAATTTCCCGGGGGAAAATTGCCGGTCCAGAATATATTCTAGACCGGTCCATATGGACCACCACTATGACGTCACACATTTCTCAGGTCGATATAGTAAATTGAATGCCTTCTAATTTAGCACTAAAACCCCCTAGAACTGGCCCGGCAAGGTGGTAATAATACAATTTTACACCCATTGGGAAGACTGTACTGTGACTGGTTGTACAGAGTTATATCAATCATACATGTAACTGCATGTCCAGTGGAAAATAGCCAACTCTGATTATACCAAAGGTTGGAATTTGAATTATCATGCACATGATAGTGGTTAGATAGTGATCTAAAATGCATAGCCCAAACGGGTACAAAATTGGACGGTGTTTACTACTATAATGAGATCAAGTGATCTTTACGATTATACAGTGAGTTCCATTGCAGTTCGAAACTGAGGTACAAATCATAGACAAGGAAGTGCAAAACAAGATCGCTGAATAAAATAAAGGATAGTCTATAGAAGACTTTTATTTTCCCTCGAAACTATATTCGACTTCTAACAGCGATTTCGGACACTCGCCCCCTGCTATTGAAAGTCCAGATGATGCTTGAATTTTCTATTTAGGGAGATCAGAAGTTTGCATGAATATAAAACAAAGTATTAGTTATTCTAAAGGGACGCTTATTTTGACTGAACTGACTAATCTTATTATAAGACTAATTAAAGAATAACAGGATGTCTGCTGTACAAATACATGTTATCAATGTTAAAGTATAGTCCAGACATGATTTTATTATTTCTTAGACATCAAAGACTTGTAGTCACGAGAATAAAAGTTGTACCTGTAGTTGGTGAATTTATTTGAATTATATCAATGTTAATTTTAATAATAAGATTATAATTGTAATCAACAGTCTAAATCTAATGATTAAATAAGAAAAGGATGTTAGTAGATAGAAAACTGAGGGCATCAGAACGCCACGGGCCGCCACGGGCCCGGGGCTTTCAAAATCTCTGAAGATGAGCAGGAGATATTGATGAGCAGGAGATAAATTAATTGAATGGGGATTAGGAGATAAATTAATTGGATGGGGCTTTCATCTTAAATGGGTGAGAGATAAGATACGCATGACATCATTGTTATCTTAAATGGGTGAGAGATAAGATGCGCATGACATCATTGTTATCTTAAATGGGTGAGAAATGTATTTCTTGGACTGAATAGTAAAGTACAAAATAAATCCCTTTAATATTATTTTAAATTTGGTATAATCCATTAACAGTGTTTACAATTCTACTTTCAATATTAACCCAACATTGAAAAGAATCAATAATCCTATTGAGCTGGTCAAACAAATACTGTTGGCATAAAAGGAAAGAGAACTGGATTTTGGATTAAATATGAGTACAGATGAAAAGGTTTATTTATTTAAGTCCTATATTGAATTGACCGTTGAAAAGGTTTATTTATTTAAGTTCTATATTGAATTGACCATTTGATCTTACTCTACTTGATTTCAACAATAATGGTCTTTTAATGTAATAATTGAATGTTGACATTTAACTGTGTCATCACAATCTTAATCCTTCATATTCTAGAACATCTTTTGTTTAATGTGTTAATCCTTTTTTCTAGAATGATCTAGAGTATATGATATCATCATTTTATGACCTAAGTTTCTTAAAAAATACATGACATCATGCCCTAAAATAGAATTTGACATCATTTTTACCATATAAAAATCTCCAAAAAGTGTGTGGACCATTTATGAACATGGTAGTAAACAACTGGTGATTTAGACATATCTGTATGCTTGTTTAAGGTAAGTCCTAAATATTCTGTACATGATATTCAATAACACAACATCTAAATGCAGTAGGATCATATATGTTCCAATTTCTTTGATAAGTTGTTATATATGAATTGTATTTTATGTAAATAATTTCGTAGAAATTGAGCGAATTGTATTTTATGTAAATAATTTCATTGAAATTGAGGGTAAATAATTTAGTAGAAATTGAGAGAATTTAGCATTGTGACATGGTCGAATACTTTAATTATCATGTACAAATATTCACTGATGTTCACAAGTATTGTTCACAAATGTTCACTGATGTTCACAAATGTTCACTAGTATTGTTCACAAATGTTCACTAGTATTGTTCACAAATGTTCACTAGTATTGTTCACAAATGTCCACTGATGTTCACAAATGTTATCTAGTATTGTTCACAAATGTTCACTGATGTTCACAAATGTTCACTAGTTTTATTCACAAATGTTCACTAGTATTGTTCACAAATGTTCACTGATGTTCACAAATGTTCACTAGTATTGTTCACAAATGTTCACTGATGTTCACAAATGTTCACTAGTATTGTTCACAAATGTTCACTGATGTTCACAAATGTTCACTAGTATTGTTCACAAATGTTCACTAGTATTGTTCATAAATGTTCACAAATGTTCACAAATGTTCACTAGTAATGTTCACAAATGTTCACTAGTATTGTTCACAAATGTTCACTGATGTTCACAAATGTTCACAAATGCTCACTAATGTTCACAAATGTTCACTATTATAGTTCACAAATGTTCACTAGTATTGTTCACAAATGTTCACTAGTATTGTTCATAAATGTTCACAAATGTTCACTAGTAATGTTCACAAAGGTTCACTGATGTTCACAAATGTTCACTGATGTTCACTAGTATTGTTCACAAATGTTCACTGATGTTCACAAATGTTCACTAGTTTTATTCACAAATGTTCACTAGTATTGTTCACAAATGTTCACTGATGTTCACAAATGTTCACTAGTATTGTTCACAAATGTTCACTGATGTTCACAAATGTTCACTAGTATTGTTCACAAATGTTCACTGATGTTCACAAATGTTCACAAATGTTCACTGATGTTCACAAATCCTCCTCCTCCTCCTCCTCCTCATTCCCTCCTAATCCTCCTCCTCATTCCCTCCTAATCCTCCTCCTCATTCCATCCTCCTCATTCCCTCCTCCTCTTCACTGATGTTCACAAATCCTCCTCCTCCTCCTCCTCCTCCTCCTCATTCCCTCCTAATCCTCCTCCTCATTCCCTCCTTATCCTCCTCCTCATTCCATCCTCCTCATTCCCTCCTCCTCACCCCCTCCTCCTCCTCCTCCTCATTCCCTGTGAACATTTGTGAACATCAGTGAACATTTGTGAACATTTGTGAACATCAGTGAACATTTGTGAACAATACTAGTGAACATTTGTGAACATCAGTGAACATTTGTGAACATCAGTGAACATTTGTGAACAATACTAGTGAACATCAGTGAACATTTGTGAACAATACTAGTGAACATTTGTGAACATCAGTGAACATTTGTGAACAATACTAGTGAACATTTGTGAACATCAGTGAACATTTGTGAACAATACTAGTGAACATTTGTGAATAAAACTAGTGAACATTTGTGAACATCAGTGAACATTTGTGAACAATACTAGATAACATTTGTGAACATCAGTGGACATTTGTGAACAATACTAGTGAACATTTGTGAACAATACTAGTGAACATTTGTGAACAATACTAGTGAACATTTGTGAACATCAGTGAACATTTGTGAACAATACTTGTGAACATCAGTGAATATTTGTACATGATAATTAAAGTATTCGACCATGTCACAATGCTAAATTCTCTCAATTTCTACTAAATTATTTACCCTCAATTTCAATGAAATTATTTACATAAAATACAATTCGCTCAATTTCTACGAAATTATTTACATAAAATACAATTCATATATAACAACTTATCAAAGAAATTGGAACATATATGATCCTACTGCATTTAGATGTTGTGTTATTGAATATCATGTACAGAATATTTAGGACTTACCTTAAACAAGCATACAGATATGTCTAAATCACCAGTTGTTTACTACCATGTTCATAAATGGTCCACACACTTTTTGGAGATTTTTATATGGTAAAAATGATGTCAAATTCTATTTTAGGGCATGATGTCATGTATTTTTTAAGAAACTTAGGTCATAAAATGATGATATCATATACTCTAGATCATTCTAGAAAAAAGGATTAACACATTAAACAAAAGATGTTCTAGAATATGAAGGATTAAGATTGTGATGACACAGTTAAATGTCAACATTCAATTATTACATTAAAAGACCATTATTGTTGAAATCAAGTAGAGTAAGATCAAATGGTCAATTCAATATAGAACTTAAATAAATAAACCTTTTCAACGGTCAATTCAATATAGGACTTAAATAAATAAACCTTTTCATCTGTACTCATATTTAATCCAAAATCCAGTTCTCTTTCCTTTTATGCCAACAGTATTTGTTTGACCAGCTCAATAGGATTATTGATTCTTTTCAATGTTGGGTTAATATTGAAAGTAGAATTGTAAACACTGTTAATGGATTATACCAAATTTAAAATAATATTAAAGGGATTTATTTTGTACTTTACTATTCAGTCCAAGAAATACATTTCTCACCCATTTAAGATAACAATGATGTCATGCGCATCTTATCTCTCACCCATTTAAGATAACAATGATGTCATGCGTATCTTATCTCTCACCCATTTAAGATGAAAGCCCCATCCAATTAATTTATCTCCTAATCCCCATTCAATTAATTTATCTCCTGCTCATCAATATCTCCTGCTCATCTTCAGAGATTTTGAAAGCCCCGGGCCCGTGGCGGCCCGTGGCGTTCTGATGCCCTCAGTTTTCTATCTACTGATGTTGCTGATATGTTTATAAAAACAATAGTTCAATAAGTCTGTTAACTTGTTATTACACATTCCTGAATGTGCTTTGTGGACAAGTTGAGTCCTAAATATCTTTTCAAAAACCCTAAATTCATGCGAATGAGGAAACCTAGCAATGTGATTTTTATTTAACTTTAATTTCAGTATATTTTCCATGACATATTTTGTACTTTAAATCACCCTTAAAGCTACAGTTATATGGACAGATTATTAAAAGCAGTTTTAGTGAAGACTGTGAGATTCTGAAAAACACATCTTAAGTTGATACCAAAGGTTGATATTAGGTTGTTCTATAGCAACAACCCAAGTTGATGCATTTTGTGGGAGATATTTATATTCATAATCATGTGATCTTTTTTCGTGAACTGGTCACAGTTTATTTTTCTTCAATTATTATCATTTTCAGTGAAGGTCTTACATATCTTTCCTTTATAGTAAACATTTGTAATGTACATTATTGTGCTTAGGGACCATATTCCAGATTTGTAAGGAGGTTAACTGATAATTCAATTCATCTACAGAGCTTTAAATGATACTTTTCTGTATCTATCTAGATGGCATGTTCTGATTGCCTCTGTATGTTCAGTTCAGGCTCCTCACTTCAATGTGTCCATTTTAATTAATAATTATTTGATAATAATTAATCATTTGATTAATAATTATAAGTTTAAATATGGATCTTGGATGCTTATTTTCATTAAATCTATATCTGAGCTAGATCTGAGTAAACTCATTTTGTCCTAGCTGTGGAACTGAACATTGTTGTTATAACTTATGTAAACAATTTTGGATTTGTTGACTTAAAGACCACACTTTTCCCACATTTTTAGACCACACTTTTTATTCATATTATATATCACCCATACCTGTACTGCTCTTATACCATCTCCAAACCACACTCATACCACACCCGACCCACACCTTTGAATCTTATGGTCAGTGGTTTTTATATATAATGGAATTCTTTTAATTCTATTTAGTTTTTACACTGCTTAAAATTGTTAGATTTCTCATAATAGAACAACCCACCCTACTTCGGCAATAGACTCAATCTTAACCTTGGTATGAATAGCAAATACTCATTTTATTTACTGTTATTAATCTTCGGAGCTTACACTTTTTGTATATTTTACAAAGTTTATTGCAGAATTGTCATTGGTTACAGTCAGGCGAAAGGTGCCAAGCAGCCTTCAATGAACGTTGAATAGTCATATTCAAACATCATCCTCTCTGATAGCTGAGACTAACATAAAAAATTTTATGATGGTGGCATGGTCTCAGTTGATAGTGAATAAAAATTGAGGTTGATTTTGATTGTTTCCCAGATATTTGGTCTTATATTTAGACAATTAGTTTGCTATTTGGTCCCTATTTGACATTTGATATGGCTTTGTGGTGTAATACTATTGTACAAATTAATTGGTATGGGAGCATATTGAAATTTAATTGATTGGTATTGTCAACAGTTCACTTTCATAGGTCACCAGTTTCCACAAATTGAGGCGTTTCACTGAAATATCCTGTAGAGATTAAACTCTGGGATAATCAAAGATTAAAATATACACCAATAAATCAATTATAATTGAGACAAATAAATCATGCTTCAAAATAAAATATTTGTTTGATGATGAAAAAGATGCATGAAACAATTTAGATACCAGAATAACAGGTATAACAGACTTATCATGTACAATAAATCCAAAAATATATTTAACAAGCATTAACCCTTTTAACCCCTATTAACAATATGGTAACCTTAAATCATATTTAAGTTGATGTCCTGCTCACCCATAGTTTCAGGAACACCTTAACCACACTTTCTCATTATGAGGAGAAACTATGGGGAGATATTTCTTGGAATTGTGGAAGAAATACCAGCAGAGCCCACACTTTTATGAATGTCAAAACAGGTGACCACAACCACACTTATACATATCTTAAGTGGTAAAAATGTGGTTAAAAAAAGGTCATCTTTTAACCACATGAGGAGAAAACAAGCGTTTTTTCTTAAGGGTAGTGCTGCGGGAATTATATCATATTAACAGGAATATTTGTGATATACTTCATGTTATTATTATGATCATTCGAAAGCTTACTCACTACCTCATCGGGGTTTACTCACGGTATAATCGGAATACTCAGGCGGTAGCATCGGGTCCTATTGAATCGTACTCGTGGTATAATCGGGTCTTTCATTTTCAACTTTCACCGGTGATTTCAATGATATGCAACGTATGGCAGTGAAACAAATGCACCTATTGTATCTTTGAATCAAATGGAGTAAATATAGCCATGGTTCTTACTTATTTAAGATGTAAAACATCATTCTAATATTTGGAAGTTGAATTTAGCGATTTGATAGTAAATATTGCATAAGTACTCATTATTCTCTAAACATGAGTGCCTGGAACAACAATTATATCGGTTACAAACAATTCTGTGTTTTATCTATTTCTCATACCCGTTTACCCAACTTGTTATTACGATCAAGAGCTTCGTATACGAACGCAGTAAATCATTAATTATTTCTACTTATATTAATACTCGTTGTCAGAACTTATTGAGCGACTATAGTGTATGTTGCCGTGGCATTGTCACTCTGCCGATAATTCTATGTGCAAAAAATGCAATGCTTTGAAGAAAAAATATAAGCTACATATATAGCTCACTGACTGTGTAATTTGGACACACCGGAAGTAAATGTAGTCAAGGGAATAGACTCAAGAGGATATTGAAAAAAAAAAAAAACAATCCTGAGAATTTCGCAGATAGTAACTACGTACGGAGGTGCGATGCTTTCAAAGTTTGGGATACAAGTCATAATTGTGTTTATATTATTTCAAATTATAATTGTAGGGCTACATGTATACTCAACCTTGTACATTCCTTTGTTAAAATATGCTCATAAAAAGAGAAGCTCTGGCCATATACAGATTGGATGTAATGATTCAAATACAAAGTTTCTGACGATTTTTACAACATTTTCAGAAAGGGAACTCTCGCGTTTTCGAATTCAGAATAATACACTTTGCAACTATGAAAAGTTTCCGAAATATTTGACCGAGCGAGCTATTTTTGCAAGTGACGGCTCCCACTTACGAAGAGATGGAAAATGTTGGTTGGAAACAGTTAAATCAAATAAGAATGCCTCGGACTGGAACGTTATCAAACTGGAACCTCATATGACTGCAGCTGGTAGACCCGTCCTGAGACAAATGTTCATTGAGACCCAAAAAAGATTCAAAACAGACCTCTACATGTATTCCAACGGTGATATATTATTTCATGTTGAGAAACTGATCACTTCACTTGAAGAAATCAAAAGATTCACGAGAGCTCACAACATCAGGAGGTTTATAGTGTTCGGGGCAAGGCACGAGGCAAACTTCTATAATTCAACAAGTAATGGGACTGTTCAACTCATGTCTGGATTAGATGATGAAATCACCCAACGTGGCCAAGGTACCAAACTCGGCCGACCAGATGCACAGGATTACTTCATCACAAGTAAAACCAGTTTCCCATGGGATGCCGTACCCGATTACGTTGTGAGCCTTCCTGCCTTTGACAACTGGCTACTGATGTTTAGCAACAGAGCAAACATTTCAACATTCGACATTACTGCCACTAACCTTGCAGTTCACCAAGCAGGGGCCCCAAAATTCGAAGACGATAATTACAGGAAGTCTATGTCAAGTAATAGGAAATTATGGAATGAATCAATTATTTCATATGTTGCTGGTACCTTTTTAAATTGTTGCAAGTGGAAAACTGTACATAAGGAAGGTAAAGTTATAATAGTGAAAAATCCAACATTCAATAACAAATGTATTGCAAAATTAAAAATCCCTGTTGTAAACCTTTTGGATGAGAAAACTTTTGAGGGTTAACACGATTTCATAATTCACTCCCACAAATACAGATTTTGGACTCAAATGGTACCTTAAATTGACAGTTGTCTCATTCGAAAAATAACAAGAAATACTAAGAAACATTGAAATAAATTAGTTGCAGATATGCGTAAAACCAAATAAAAAGAAATTATGAAAAGGCGATTCCAGTAATTTTTTATAAACACCTCAAAGGAATATTGTATTTACCGACTCCAGTAATATTCGATAATTTTAGTCTCTTCTAAGGGGAAATTCCAAGGTAGCTTCCAAATTTTAAGAATTCAAGAATTAATGTTTTCAGTTGAGACAATCATATGGCCTGGTCATATGGTAAGTTAAAGGCAGAATCAGATCTAGCAGAGACATGCAACTTGTATAAAACAGCAATTACTTTTGTTACTTTGGCGCTTCATCTTGACGAAATTTCAGAATAATTTGGGCTCACATCATTCGTTATGTCTATTTTTTTAAATATCCCAAGTGTATATCACGCGGTGCCAACTACGACCCCCTTTCTTCAAATTTGTTCCATTAAAAGCAAAATAAAATTTGAGTCTCATAATCCTTGATTTTCAAACATCTGGTTTGTCTAAAATTCAAATTAACGGTTGTTTTCGTGTATAGTTCGACCCCTGTGATATATTTCATCTGAGGAAAACTAAAGATTTTTACAATAATGCAATCACATATGTCTATAAGAATGGTTATCATTCTTATTATTTGGCAGGATTTTAATTTTTATCCCTAATTTTTGCACTTTCGGAATCTTTAATAATTTCACCAATTGATAACATATCACGGATCTTTTGGAAGATATTAGAGAGGTTAAGCAAGACGATTTTTTATGACGTGAACCGCAAACGTAAACCTTTACGTTCCCGTTTACGTACTATGAACAAAAGTGCTTTAAGCTGAGCACTTATTTAGACGTAACGTAAACGCAAACCTCAAAATGATTTTTTTCTTTTTCTTAAGGGCGTTTCGTTTTATTTTCTACTTAAAAAGTATAAAAAAAACATTACTTTATTGACAATTTGATGAAAGTGTTTAACAAAGGAGATGTTTCACAGCCTGGCGGTGTTCTATGGCATCATGAATCTTAAAAAATACAACAGGACCCAATAACATCTTTAATGTCTTAAAAGCATTCATAGTTTTATTACTATGGTGTCACAATATGTATAATATAATTTAGATGAGTTGGCATGTTGGTAATTGCCATGCATGTAATCTCATCAGATTATGAAATGGTCGCCTCAACATTCAAGTTATATTTTCATTTGTTGGACACAAATGATCTCGATTTATACACAGATCTGTGTCAAACATTTCATGCATTCGACCTATATCATATTTATTTCGATCGAACTTGATAAAGTACGAAAAATCCTTTACGGAACGACCTACCTAGACTTTGAATTTTCACGTTTGGATGCACGTAAACCGGGAAATAAGTAGAACAATATGACGTCACATCCTGAGAAAAACCTGCGTGCGCCTTCCCGTTCGCGGTTTACGTTATAAAAAGTAATTGTACATATTGCTTGCAATTTTGTCACTCCCAATGGATCTGATTCTACCTTTAGGTATCTTATCTTACGGGTAAATTGGGTCACTTATTTTTTTATCTAGGTCAATTGCATCAGCTAGGTCAAGCAATTTATTTTCACTATTTTTCCTTTCATTTCGCCATTCTTAATATTTTTTATCAATTTTATAAACACTGTATTTCCACCTACCCTGTTGTCATGTTGCTATGGTAACAATACACCTATGTTGCTGGTCAGATTTATTGTTTCTTTTTACACAAAATGAAACTACTATATATGGGGTGATTATATTTTGCTTATTCGTATTTAACCAGTAATCACTCTCCAAGGATGCCACTCACCAAATAGAGTTTGGGATATTGGGATTAAAATAGCAAGATGATCTGAAGAAGAATATTGAAAAGTATACTTATAGGATATCTCTGATCTCACATGGGGAGAAGTAGTCGCGATACCGCGAAAAAAGTAGTCACAATACCTCTAAAAATCCGGGGTTTAAAAATTTCCTGGTGAGAACCCTGAATACAATACTTAGTTTGCAGAAGTACCCTGCGCGCAGAGTCTAGTTATGCCTTGGTCACATTTGCTCCGATTTTCACTGCGGCGCCCGGCCGATTGAGTATTTTTTTCAAAATTGAATACAATACTGAACAAAACACTCAATCGGCCGGGCGCCGGCCGATGAATCGCAGCAAATGTGACCCGGGCATTACAAACTACCTGAAGACGAAGCTCTCTTTCAAGAAGTGAAGTCGAACGAATGCAAAGGGCATTGCAGAAGTTCCTCATGGGAAAAATATTGTAGGAAACGCCCACACATCATTCCTGAAATTCTATTCGATCGCGCACACATCATTTTCCGAGACACAAAAGTGCGAGACCTGGTGGACGACCGTCTGTCCGTTGCAATCCTACACACTCCAGTGATTTATTATATGTTTTTAACTTTCTAGAGGGGGGCCAATAATGCTATGTAGCCTCGGCCCCTCACAATCTATGTAAATAATTATGTTGAATTATATAGAAATAAATAACAATAACCTATAAAAAGTCTTAAGAACATTTTAATTGTTTACCATATTGGATTTATGTTTCTCTGTTACAATGTTTCAAGTGTTTTTTCAGTTATTTATGCATTTATAAAGTGAATATACATGACGCACAGACCTCCGCGGTTTTTAATGTGGATTGGATTTTATTTTATTTCCGCACGCGGTCCTAACTTCGACCGTTAATTTGAATTTTTGACCTACCAGGTGCTTGAAAATCAAGGATTGCGAGTCTCATACTGCACCGTTTTTCTTCAAACTTATACCATTAAAAGCAGAACAAAATTGCCTTTCTGTCGGTGCATTACTTTATTGTAAAGAGTCCCTCGTTCTAGCAGCGTTTTGGTCCCCAGCTGTTAGAAGGCCTTCTTACAGCTGGGGACCAAAATGCCGCTGGATATTCGATACGTAGGGATCACTTGAAAGATACGAAATCACTTACAGAAGAACATATTTTCAAGGAAACCTTTTTCAAGGGTCAAGCTAGCAACACAATCGAACACAAACCAATAATAAACCAAAACAATCAACAAACAAAACAAAACACAATCCATCGTTTAATTAATACAACACATCACACCAAACCATAAAAACACAATCAGGCGCAATCAATGGAAACACAACCAAACTGTTATACCAATAATACAATTGTTTTTTACAACCAAGGACAGCATTATTACACAACACGACTAAATGATATTACAGTATAATATTTTGATTCACAAAGTTGTATGACATTTCATAAGTGTAAAAGTTGCTTTTGAAGCAATTTTTATAGCCATTTTGTAGGAAAAAATGATGAAAAAAATGTATAATCTTTGAATTTGAAGTATGACCTGAATCGATTGCAAACTTCATATTTGCACATCTGATGTGATATACCATTTTTTAAAATCATTTTATTTAGCCTAGGGTTTACAGTTTACACTATTATATCCCCTGGGGGTCTCCATATATAATTTTGAGATGTCATGCAATAGCTTAGACAGTTTTATATGGTTATAAAAATCTCTGAGTGTCTTTGATGAATGTCTGGACATGGCTAAATAGAGTGCAGCTTGTCAATGAATGAAGAATCTTTGTTTCCATGAATTATACGATTGATAAGATTTTGTCTCTTGGTTATGGCTATGTTCCCTAATTCCCTGAAGTACCAGTATCATTTGTGTCATATTGGGAAATTATTTAATTTGCAATCGATTCAGGTCATAGCGTATTTTAGATACGTTTGTGAAAATCAATAGAAACCAATGGCCTCCATTGGAATCTGATGATATCCACATGTTAAGTCAATGGACAACATCCAATGTCAAGTCAATTCACCCTTGCTGAACTTAATGACCTCAACCTCAGCCCATGTGGGTCCAAACGCTTAATATCCAAAGTATTATTTCATTATTTGACAATGTATTCTTCATGTTACACCTAAAATGATTCAGAAATTCGAAGCCATCGAATATCACTTTTGAAACAATCGAATATCACATTTGAAAATCTAATATCACTTTTTAAGAATTGATATTCAATAGTTTAAAAGTGATATTCGATGGTTTGAATTTTTTTACTAAAATATAATATCTTGATCCACATATCAAATATATCTTCACGTGAAATTCGATCTATATCCTTGTAACCATGGATTAACTTATACTTTAGTGAGTTCAGATTATTTCACCACTTTGGTAAGAGATAAATGACATGGCGGGGACTCCAGAGACAAAATATTAATTTTGGCTAGTGTGTTTTATGTTGTTCATTTGGTCCAAATGCTGGATTTTATGTAAATCTATCATTTTTATCTCAATCATTTAGAAAAATAGACCTCATGATATTACAACATGCTGTACATGTATTTTAGGGGTCTATCTCATAGCTTTGCCCCCATCCCACTATCTACTTCGCCAACACAACACACTTTTGTTAAAGTAGATAAGGGGCCGGGTCCAGGGTCTTGAAGCAAGACTGGGGTGCATCCAGGGGCCTCTATGGAAGCGACCTATAAATTAGCACAGATTGACTGACCTGCCCTTTATATTGAAAAATTATTCCTATATCGCCCTTTAGCACCAGTGATATCGTAGTTTAGTACCCTTTGCATTCGTTCGACTTCACTTCTTGAAAGAGAGCTTCAATTCGTCTTCACTCTTTCAGTTTACCATTACCATAAATCTCTGATCTCACCGATAGGAGCTAATCAGAGTTTGTAGTCGAAATACGGCTTTTAATTTGGGCTAGAGTTCCATTCACTTACTAATGCTAAAATCTTGGAAAAGTGGCTTAATTTCATGATTTATCAAAGTGTGTTAGTTATTTCTGTATCGCATGTAAAACTACCCTGCGTGCAGAGTCTAGTTAAACTACACTCTGCCTAGTAGATACCATATTACAGTTTAGTAGCCCCGCCCTCACGACGGGTACCGGTGACAGTTTGGGTAATAAATCACTATTGACCTACGCGCTGACCTTTCTTCCACCAATCAGCGAGCTTTAAGAAACATACGCCAAATGCGTTCTAATTAAATATGTGCATGTCATTGGTCAATTCCGGGCTCAACAATGACGTCAGAAAGAATGACCATATATAGAACGTCGATCAAATTTGGCCGACGAACACTGATTGGCGCGGTGAGTTCACAGGTTTATTTTAGTTTGAAAGAGTGAAGACGAAGCTCTCTTTTAAGAAGTGAAGTCAAACGAATGCAAAGGGTAATGTAAAACTTGACTATACCACATGATGACCCTGTTTATGTACATGTTGTGATTAAACATGATGTTGATTGACACACAAATAATCCAAGGTTTTAAGCATCTATGGATATTTGGCCCAAGTTATTTTAAATTATCATAGAAAATTATTTGAAATACATAACTGTGTAAATCAAAGCTATTATAGGAGAAAACATTTCACTGAATTCAAATATGCCATTTAAAAGAAGGTAATGTAATTCATTAGAGGTCTAATATGCACGTCTCTTAAATCTCACGAAAAACGCCTTCGGGACGCCACCTGGAAAATATTTAAAAATTCACTTGATCCTGCAATGCAATCTAGCATTCCTGACTCATACAGAGTATACATACAGGTACATATGAACGTAAATCAATTCCTAAAGTCAAACGAATGCAAAGGGTAATGTAAAACTTGACTATACCACATGATGACCCTGTTTATGTACATGTTGTGATTAAACATGATGTTGATTGACACACAAATAATCCAAGGTTTTAAGCATCTATGGATATTTGGCCCTTCTGATTGGAATGTGGTCGATGGTCAATCAAACCATAGGTTTCGGGCCGATATAAAGATGGCAGCACCGGAAGAATCCAATCTTTTTCTATATACAAAAGTAAGTAGTAAAAGACAGAATTTGCTAAACTTGCAATAAGAGGGAAGTGGAAGATGAAAAGCATTTCCTTCTTTTATGCGATGGTTATAAAGATTGCCGATATGAATTTTTAACAATAGCCTATAAGTTTTATTGATTCATTTAAGAATATGTCGGTTGAAGAAAAATTTAAGTTTTTCAGTAATGATTTCAGATGATTATGAAATTGTAGACGACTTGATACATTTTATAAATAAACTTTTCGATCAACGTCGGGAGCTATTTGAAAAAGAAATAAACTAGTTTGTAAGATAGTTATATATTTAAATATTTGTTTAACAATGCATTTAACTGTATAAATATGTCTTGTAATTGATTTTGTTAGGAAGTCCATTGTTTTGGCTTGAAACACAATAAAAATCACAGATAAACACAGATTGATTACCTAACCTTCTAGCTCAAAGGATGGGTATCGATATGGCGAACTTTTTGAACACACTTCTCTTAAACCAGTCATAAAAAATTCGGAAAATTTTACACTTTCAATTTAATGGTCATCTTTTGAAGGGTAACAATATCATTTGAAATAGGTATGTATACTTTTCTCTATATTGTTTTAGAAAACACATCGGACTTTCTTTTGTTCTTGGTATCATATGTTCGGAATGAAATGACATGAAATTAAATGCTTATCCTAGTTTTTATCTATTTTGGGGGGTTTTGTTTTAATTTTTTGAATACTTTTTGTTAAATCAACCAGAATTTCCTTTGTACAACTATAATATTGGGAAGTCTAAGAAAATGTTGTATATGCTACTTTGTTCAAACAAGCTTCGGAAAGATATTTTATTTCATTCTCTAGAAATGGTAATAAGGAACAAAAACAATTGCACTAAAAAACAAAAATGTTAACAAAAATAATTATATAAAAATACATATATATCAATTATTTTCGCATTAAATTGTTGTCAATCAGTCAACATTACATAAAGGACCGTGTTTTACAGAATGTTTTCAATAATTGGTTTTTAATTGTTGAATTAAGTTCTCCATATCGATACCAATCCTTCGAAGGAAGCTGCATCAATTTTTGTAAAATTCAAGATAAATCTTCATTTTTTGGCTTGTTTAGGCCACAATCGCACCCCACCTCACTGAAAACCCCCCCCCCCTGACGGAAAGCTGGCTACGCCGCCTCTGAAGATATGAAAAGTCGCATGGACATTCAGGTGTAATTTCAATGTAGTCATTGGATGCATGGACTTCAAATGATTAGATGTCAATGGTTGATGTCATCCTTGGTCCAAGGGTATTTCACTTCTTTCCATGAATTTAAGCATAAATGAAGTCCTTTGAAGAAGGATGAGTGCCAGATGTTAGAATACAATACTTTTATTACATGGATGGTGTATGGGCTATATCTGTCTACTAGTTTAACTTGGTAATTAGCACAGGACTCTTACAGGTTGTGATACTGGTGATCAGATCTGACAGCACACCGTGGCGCAAAAGTGACGATCCCCAAAAATGTCACGTATAACGGTCCCCAGGGCCCTCCCGGAATTCAGGCCTGCCAAGATTCTTGATATTACCTTTAATTCATTGAACTCAATTTAGCAGGCAATACAACTTAATAGATATGATATCAAGACCCTTTATAGTGGCAATGCCAACTGGTGTTGTTGATTGTGCTGGGAATTATGATTGTGCCCTTGTGGGTTGTGCCACCGGATTTAGCGGGGACTATTTAGACTATGTTGTGTCTCTTCCTGAGTACCCACTTTCTACAATGTAATTAATACCAAATTGTCGTGTTTTTTTTATTCCGCAACTGAGAATTGTAAAGTTGTAAATCAATCAAAGAAATATTGCAACTGTACAAGCACATCATTGCTCTTTTTGTATTCCATTGTTTATTTCGTTTTTTACTTTCCATGAAAACCTTGTGTGCATTCTAGTATTGCGCATGCGCAGAAGCACATTCAGCAACATGGCAAGGTGAAATTCCCGATCTGTAGCGGTCAAAAACACCATGGCATTCAAAAACGAGGTAAATGTAACCCCTTTGTTTCTATTTCCCACAGACCCTTGATTACTTCGAAGCCTTTGGTCCTCCCTTTGTCTTATTCGACCGACGTTTTTACCAGAAATCTTAATTTGAAAACGAACTTTGGTGATTCATTTCAGTTCAGTTCTCCATTTTTTCTCTTCACTCAAAGTCACGTGTATAAGTGTGTTGCGTTTGTGAAATGATCGTTGTTATTATTGTATGCAATAACATTTCGGTATTCACCGAATTCCCAAGGTGGTGTACGACATTAGGGATTCGGGATCTTGATGTCTAACTCCTAAATATATCGTAATTTGTTTCAACTAAACTGAGAAATGACTTCAGTTTTCTTTTCTCGTTGAGATGTGACTGTCCCAGGCTGTCAGACCTGGCCCACACATCTTGCGAGACTTACCAAGGTTTACACATACGTTTTGTTTTTTAACACTTTAGTTCAGATTTTGAACACCATTACTGAATTTCAACACCTTCAATTTCCACGCTCGCTTCAACACCTTATGGTTCAATTCATCCCATACCAGGACTATAGTTCCAAGAACGTCCCTGCAATTGGGGATTCAACTACATAAAAATAATGCAAAAATACTCAGCAATTTATCGAGGTACAGTGCTGATATATAATAATAAAGGGTGCATTTTCAAACTAAACAGAGTGCTCCTACCAAGATGAATTTGCCACCATACCCCTGAAACTCTTATCTGATAGATAGAATGCACAAATAAAACAAAAGTTTTGCTATTATAGGTAAAAAGTTCTCTTGAAATTTCGAAGTGATTTTACCTGTTAATTCTGTCCATGGTCCGCCATTTTTGCGGAAATGCAAACTCCATGAAACGAAACGAAAATCACTAGAAAAAAACATGGCACACATTGTGCGCATGTGCAGCAAAGTTTAGACCAATCAGATTATTTGGTTATTTTGCGCACATGAATTATTTGCTTCTGAGCACTTACAAGCTTACCACAATAAACAAACCTGGCAGAGACTACCCTTAGCCTACTTCATTTTGGCGGAATTTCAGCTCAAACTCGTGACAAACGCATTATGCATACGCTGGTGTGAAGCCCTGGAGACACTAATTTTGGTAAATATGATTTATGGGGTATATCTTTCTGCTGTTTGTGGGAGTTTGGGACATTAGATGTTAAAATTCAAGAAAATGTGCCAATTAAACGACTGATCAATTAATATATACCAGCACTGTAGGTCATTTAGTTTCTTAGGCATGGCAAATTCTCCCGTGTTGTAATCAGACGGACAAGTTATAGGGATGTCACACGTGTGCATGCCTGAATAAGTTAAACCACTCAGATTATTTGATATTTCACGGACTTGAATTATTCACTCCTGAGCACCTACCATACATCTTCATCAATAATCTGCAAAATGCTAATTCACCCATTAAAAGCAGATAGTTTAACAGGTATCAAACCACAATGAACTAACCTGGTGGAGATTTCCCCTCCTTCATTTTATTCAAATTGTGAACCCAAAACTCCTGAGAAATGCATTACTAATGATCTACTAGTGATACTATCTGACTGTAGATGTCTTATTTCAATGCAGGAATTATCCATCATCAGGTAGGACATTGGTAAATTATGGCTATAAACCTCGTTGGTGAAAGGGACCAAATTCATCACCAAAGAATTTGGTAAAGTCTATAGAAATGTACAAATTCGCAAATGTGGATCCAAAATGGTATTCCGTAACGGTAAGGTATTGAATCGCGTTAATACCATCACCAGTTTTCACTACTGTTTTGAGCCATGGAGACATTCATTTTATTTTGGTAAATATAATTCACAGGGCATATTTTTCAGCAGTTTGGGACATTAAATGTTAAAATTCAAGAAAACATACCAAATAAACAATTCTTCAATTATTTTTTCATCAGCACTTAATACTTAAAGCTCAATAAAATGTGAAAAGAGGGAAACAACTTCTAAAAATGAGTCCTTGCCAAAAATTATATTGTTTGTTTCCTAGAATCAAACACTGCCAAAATTGTACGATTCTGTTGATATTCATCCCAGACAAAATTATACATCTTGCTTGTGACATACGTATCTTGTTTCAGTTTTAAAAAGTTTGTGAGTTTGGACAAATTTTTTGCTTTTTTACATGTTTCAAAATATGGCAGACCTGTCTCTGTTGATATTCATCCCAGACTCGTGGCATATCTTTTTACCTTTCTCACAAATTTTTTGAATAATAAAATTAATATACTCATTGCATTAAGTTTTCTTGAATACAAAATAAAGCTTATGTACCCAGCTCTAGCCTTGGCTAGAGATTGGAGTTGTTTTCTACTTTCTCAACATAAGGAGTGTCACAGGATAAAAAAGTAGGGAAGGAATTTAAATTATATAATATATCATAATGAAATATAATTTTACTATTTACCAAGGAACATATTGCTTAAGTTTGTTTTTTATGTCACCACCAAAAAGTGGTGATATATTGATATGGTCTCCGTTTTTTGTGATGGTGGTTGGCGATCGGTGGCTGGCGATCTGCTCCTGTCACAATATTGTAAAAAACTAGGTGGTGGCATTTTGTCATGTTAATGCCTTGTTTACCTTTTCAAAATGTACCATTCATATTTTTTAGGATGTTATAACATTCTTTGATGTTACTGGTTGCAATGATGAGACAGAATCACTCCTCCATGAAATTTTATATAAAAGAAAAGATGACCAGTTAGAAGTAAGTAACAAGGCCATGATATAAAGGAGCATGGAAAGTATCGCAACAGATTTCAGACTGTCATATTTTATTCCTTTAAAGGGGTTAGCTGTGTGTCAAAACACAACATATTTATGCAACAAAAATTGAAAAAGCAGGGGCAGAAGGGGTTGAAAATCAGAACATTTCCAAAAAAACATGTGGGTGAGTTGTTTGCACTTTCCCTGTCTCTAAGTTGAAACTATTTTATCATCTCTCTGAGTACTTTTCCTGGAGGAAATGCATTTGCCTACACCTGTTTGAATCCTCAGAAAATATCAAAAATCCAACATAATTATTATGAGTGTCCGAAATCTGTTGCAATGCTTTCCGTCCTTCCAAATGCCATAAAGCCTGTCATAAGCAAGATGTAGTGCTATTTTTAGAAAAATGAAAGAACTTGTCTGTGTGAATGATTTTTAAATAAAATTTGACTTACTATCATCAATTGCATAAACCACTTGTAAATAATTATTCCTTTCTTTTAGTTCCCATTTGAACTTAAGAAGGACGATAGAGGTGTTCATGTAGCAGGTAAGCAGCCATACTTAGTCATATGATATTTACTGGCATTTTTTATTATTTTTTCAGTACCCAAACTGGTCTTAAAAGTAAAATGTGAATGAATCTGTGAGCTTTCTGTACGTAAACTATAAATGCAAATGTTTACTTCTAAGACATTTGAATAATCTTAATCTGATCCACAAATTTTGGCAGTTTTAGGAACATTTCTCTAAATGACTGAATGAGTGAAACAAAATTTTCACAATTCTATTCATTGTTGGTCAAAACATATCAACTTATAATTTTTTCATAATTTTCAAAATTGTCAAATGGGTGTAGAGCCCATTTAAGATTTATAGTTTTCTTATTTTCAAGAAATGATGTAAATATAATTTGGAGTCTTCTGGGCATGAAATGAGATTTCAGTGTGTTTGAGGTACAGAATTCTGCAAAGGTAAATCTACACCATTTCTTGTGTCATTTATAGGTGACATAGCAAAGGGTTAATTTGTTTCAGGGGATGCACCACTCATTGAAAACATCAAAGTAAAATCTGATACTGAGTCTAAAAGCAAAGTGAAGCAAGACCGTCCCCAGACATCTGCCAAATCCTCATGTTCAAACTGTAGGGGAACAGAGCAGCAAGGAAAGGATGTGCATTCTAGTACAGAACAGGTGCATACTAGTACAGAACAGGTGCATTTTAGTGCAGAGAATGTGCATTCTAACACTGACAATCTCCCAGCAAATGACTCTCAACCAATGTACAAATCATCAGATCAATTTGTGTCTAAAGTCACACTGAAAGAAACTGAAAAAACAGTATCACATGAACCAATTCCTGACTCATTAAAAATGGCTAATAGTAAAGAGGTGTCCAATGACAAAAAATATGAGCCAGCAAAGGAAGGCACCACACCCGATAATGTTGATCAACAAAGTAGTGATTCTAGCGAAAATACGTCAAAATTAAACCCTGTTAAAACCTACGAAAGACGTAATAAAAAGAAACGTCCTGCGAATTATTATGATTCTCAAGAAAATGATTCAGCTTCAGTCCCTCCAAAGGATGTTTCCCCAGTGAATATTGAAGATTTTGTTGGCGCCCCAGTACAAAGCATGGACATGTCAGGAGGGACTTCCAGTATAGCATTAAATGTACCACATCATATGATGGGTCAGATACAGGGGTACTCTTCCCATGGTTCATTATCCCATATGGGTCCAATGGTCACTCCAGTGTACAGTAACCTAACACCAGTTTCCACTGGTATGACAATAAGTGGTGGGACCAGACCTCATCACCTAGCAACTAAAAACAACACTGGTGTATATGAGGGAACAATTGGGAACCCAGCATCAGTTAACAATAGTGGCAATATGAACAATTCCAGCTCTGTATATATGAATATGTCAAGTCATCCAGCTGCACACATCAGCACTGCCAATCACATGGGGCCATATATGAATCCTATCCCTAGCAATATAAACATGAATATGAACGCTGCACATATGAACTCTGTGAGCAATATGAACAATGGAGGACATATGAACATTAGTGGAGGGAACATGAACCATCAAATGATGCAAGCAGCCCAAAACCAGTATACTCCAAATTTAATGAACCCTGCACAGAATTTTGTAAACCCTGGAGTGTTACCCATGATAAACACCCAACTTGCCATGCAGACCCGAGGCCTCCTCCCCAACCCTAATGTCCCTCATCAGGCCCAGGGCCTTGTTCAACATATGACACAGATGAATCTAAGCCCCAACCTCCATGGTTACCAAGATGTCGCCCAACCTCGGTCAAGTGTACAAAGTATTCCAAGTCCTAGGAACATAAGTCCTGCCATGGTGCCAGGAGGATTTGTCCCCATGGGCCCAAGAGGTGCAACAAGTCCTGTAGTGCTTGCTGGCAACATGAACCAGCCACGTTTTCCAATGAACCAGAATGTGTCCCCCCGACCTTCAACCCAACAGGAAACCATAAACACTTCCGTCAGTAGAAAATATAGTGACCCAAAAGAACCAAGTAAAAAGGATGATAATATCCATCCATTGGCTGTAATACAGAACATAAGTGATAATGACAATAAAGCTAAATCTATTGGCCAAAATCCCCAACAAACTCAAAGGTTTACAAAACCTCGCCCACATAATTCTAGAAGTCCTGGAGCACCTGCGAATGCAAACTTCCGGCAGACACGGCCCACAGGACCACATTATCGTGCTACCCATCCTTATGCCCACCAGTCGTACCCTCCAACTCGCAACCATTTCCCTAACCAGAAATTTAATAGCAATAGGAACTTTTATGAACCGCAGCCTCCCAGACATCAAGCCCCAGCAGAGTTCTATGGCAATGGTGAGCGAAGGACACAAAGCTCTAATGGCAGTAGAATCCATGATAGGTCAACAGACTCTGGTAGATATAGGGATGCCAATCCTAGAAAAGGCAGATCTCCACATAGTGAAGGGGGTCCCATCAAAAATAAACCATTATCACAACAAGGCATGTCTCAAAAACCATATTCAAAATCAGTGAGTCCTGCACCGAACAATAACCCAAAACAAAACAATGCTATTAGCTGTGATCCTAAAATTGTACAGAAAGATGTTGTTCAGAATTCAGTGGATAATAATTCTGAAAAAAATTCAAAAATTCCTCAAGAGTTAGAAGATAGCTTACAAGTTGAGGATACAGGTGCCTTAGAAGAACCTGGTGCCTTTGTAACCGATGTAAGTGTTGACCCTAGTGCAGGGAGCCCAGTGAAAACTCCAACTGCAGCAGCATTAGGGGCACATGCCTCAAACATAATGAAACAAGATGCAGTAATTGTAAATACTAATAAAGACAATACAACATATAAAGATGATGCTAAGTCACATAAACAACAACACAAGCATACAGAACCAAGCCATCAAGTGCCTGTTGATGTAGAGGAGGTCCATACGCATACACAGACTCCAGTATCTGATAACAGGAGTCCATCTCTGAATGAGCCAGCGCAAGGAGCCCAACCTGACTCTGAGAATATTCCAAGTTGTACAACATCCATGTCATATAATGACACCATGGTAACAGTAGAGAAAACAGTAGAATCTGACAATTTGGTCAAGGAGGAACCACGCAGTCATGTAAATAATGATTCCCAAACTGTACATAATAATGACAATGTTATCAAAGATAACAATAAATTAGAAAAGAACAGTAGTGCTGAGACTATGCCTAATTTTGCCTCTGATTTCCCACCTGTTACAACAACTACACCAAGTGTTGCCACAACAACCCAAAGTGTTTCCACAGCAACACCAAGTATTGGCTCAACAGCCCCTGGTGTTGCCACAACCATGTCTGGCGTTACCACAACAACTGCATTATCAACAACCATACCAGTAACAGTGACAACTTCGGTGTCTATTCCAAGCTCCACTGAAACCACGCCCACTTCTACACAAGCCACACCCTCTTCTTCACAAACCACACCTACTCAATCCCCTTCCTCTCAAGTGACAGTGGCAGCCCCAGCTAAACCCTCATCATGGGCAGGTCTCTTCAAAGCAAAACCTGCTACTATTCAGCCTATGAATCCTGCAATGCTAAATTCCAACAATAGTGCAATTCCAGATGGCAAAAATGAAGGTGCAAAACCAAAAATGTCTGCAGTATTGAATAACTCCTCACCAAAGGTAGTAGCCCAATCTGGTAAACCAGGTTCAACGCTTCACCAACTAGGAGGTATGTAATGTGTTTATCCTCACGAGGAAATATTTATCGTTTATATGTGTTTTTGTATAAGTTTTCATATTTCAAGATCATCTGGTCCCTTACCTTGGAGTCTTGGACAATATATGGGTGATCTATGGTCACTTAATTTATATCATTTCCTTAAACATTTAATTATATTTCAAAACTTTTAAATTATTCAGTCCTGACCCAGTATCTTTTACAGTTTGTCTATATAAGAAATTATTTCTTTGTTATGTCAAACCAAATTAAAATGCACACAGATCATATAATAGAAAATATGAGTACTAATCCCACGGCCTTATATAACTAATATTTTGGGGGTTTTAGAGATCCTGGACAGCTTTAAGGCCAACCACAAGGTTGTTCCCCTTCAACCAAGAGGCTTGATAAACAGAGGCAACTGGTGCTATATCAATGCAACCCTACAGGCACTGTTGGCATGTCCACCATTCTATCATCTCATTAAAGCGATTCCCTTTTACCCTGCACTCAATCACAGCGAATCTAGCAGTTCTCCCATCATAGATTGCATGTAAGTACATAGTATTCCTAATCTTGGTTATTGTTTTTTTGTAAATGTAAGTCTAGCTGTTTTCTTAGTCTCTCAATCAATCAAGTCAACACACACTATTATATCTCTATCACATTGAAACATTCTCGCAGTGATATTGATAGAGAATGGGGGATTGATATAAGTACAGGCTACACATAAATGTTTCCAAATCACAAGAATTTTGTCTGCCAAATGATTTCAGTATGTTGGTTTCAAACAGCTATGATTTTATTTTAAACAAATTATACATGTATATTTTTGTATTGCAGAGTTAACTTTATGGATAATTTCACTCCCCATCATGTGAACAAGTCTCTCACTAAGAATAAGCGGACACAAGACTTGTTGTCTGGCTCGTCCTTTGAACCTACTCAAGTCTACAAGATGTTGCAGTGCTTAGAGTCCAACAATGTATTCAAGGTAAGAACTTTACAAATTAAAACTGGGTACTCTCAACCCCCCCCCTAATTGGCTAACTGTGTTGTCATTCTGGGACTTCATGTTACATGGGACTTCAGAGTTTACATGTATATTGGATCAGTTATTGCTCCCATGGCAGGGGAATTGACTTACTAGGTTGCTTATTGGGTTGGGCATTGGAAAACCTCATTTTTATGTCAAAATAAATACCACTTTCTGATTGGGGGTCTTATGCCAACCGTTTATTGGTGCAATACTGCAATATGACCAAATGTATTACACATCACCACTGTAACTCTGTCTGGTTATAATATTTTGTATGGCTGGCTGTTGTTTGTGAAAACTAATTTCTTTATGATCTGTATTGTAGCATGGAAAACAGGAGGATGCTGAAGAATTCCTCAGCCTCATTCTTAATGGTCTCCATGACGAAATGGTTGCGGCTCTTAAAATTTTCCACGGGGAAGATGACACTGAAAAGGAAAGTAAGTAATCTTTGTGTCCCAAAGAAAATTGTGCCGAGATAAACATGAAAGAACTCTGTAATTGATGAAGGATTATTCTCTAAATTTTGTCAACTTCACTAAGTGATTTTATTTAGGTTTATAGAAAAGATATGTTTTAGGACCACCACCTACATTTCAATGTTGTACCAAAACACATGGAGTAACTCTGAGCAATGAAGAAATATTCTTGCAACTCAGTCATCTGACAATTTAATTGTCATAAATATCTGAAAGTGTCTTCGGCTAACTCAGTTAAGTTTTAACTAAGATAGACTGCTGTAAAACATTCTTAATGTATAATGTACTAGTCATGATAAAACAATTTTGTACATATCTTGAACATGATATAATCATGTATTTTAAAACATATTTATATACAGTGATGTTCCCAGCATTAAAGCAAGTGGGCGCAGTACCCATCTGAGATTTTGAAAATAGGCTTGCACCCATCTGAAAATCCATTTGCACCCACTTGATAATTAGAAAATCATGAAAACTTGGCATATTTTGACCAATTTTGGTCTGATTTGTGAAAATGAGAATTTTGCACCCACCTGGGAAAAGATCCTGGGGAGATAACTGATATATTTTGTACATTTCTTACACATAATATAATCATGTATTTTAGTCAAGTACAGAGGCTGGCAAGTCAATTAAGGCTTGGTTGTACATTTATATATACAGTAGGATGTAAGGCTTGTAGGGCTGCTTAAGTGTAAAAGCCTTTAGTCAGAGCCTGGAAAATGATACTCATCATCGGCATAGTGGTGACAAAAATTGACCTTCTCTGTTTTCAGCCAAAGTGACAAATGGTGATGTTGCAGATGAGGCAGAAGATGACGAGGACGGATGGGAACAAGTGGGGCCCAAAAACAAGAGTGTTGTCACGAGAGTGGTAAGTAGAGATTTTGCCTTTCATGAGTTTTTCTGTTGTCTTTGCTCTTGTGTAACAAATGAGGCTTAAAAATAAAAGTTTAACGTTATGATATTTGAATGGTGGTCTTTTTCAACTTGCTTCAAATTGACATTTTTTTCAAAATCATCTACAAGTTATCCGAAGTTCAAATCTCACTTTAGTATTGAGATTTTACCTTCAATGACCTTCTCAAGGTCAAAAAGGTATTTTCAACTTTCTTTAAATCTAATCAAAGTTCAAATCTGACGATAGATTTGACCTTCAATGATATTCTCAAGGTCCAAAAAATATTTGACCTTCAATGTCCTTCTCAAGGTCAAAAAGGTCTTATTTTTTTACTTGCTACAAATTGACCATTTTTTCAAAATCATCTACAAGTTCTCAGAAGTTCAAATCTGACTTTAGATTTGAGATTCCACCTTCAATGACCTTTTCAGGGTAAAAAAAGTCTTTTTAACTTGCTTCAAATTGACCATTTTTTCAAAATCATCTACAATAATATTCAAGCAACTAGGTGGTGACATTTTGTCATGTTAATGCCTTGTTATGTATTCCGATTCAAACATAAAAATGAAATCATTGTTCAGAGAATTGGGAATTGAGGTCCATGAAATAACCAAACTAGCTGTTGTTTCACTATTCAAATGTGTGACATCACAATATGACACAATAGAATTGGTTTTCTGCATTCTGATTTGTTGAGAAACTCAATTAGAAATGGTCATGTTTGAATTTCATTTATTGAATGGTTTATATTTAGTTGTTATTTCAATGTAGATGATTAAATATTCATAGATTACTGACTTTTGTGTTTGTCATCACCTCTTTTTATATTTTGATGTGTTTTTTAGTATATATATTTTTTTTAAATTACGTAGCAAAGCGTGAGAAAAATACATAAAAATATGACAGGGTTTAATTCCTTGAATATACTACTATTATGTGACCTCTTTATAATATAGCACAGAGCCATCTTTCAGCAGTGCTGGAATATCTGATATTCTTAATTTACAGGTTGACCTCTAATTTATGTCATCTTATACACATTGAAATGCACTACAGAAATCGTTTGAAGTTTTATCCAATCATCTATAATGGGACTCTGTGTCTATACATATAGATCAATAACATGGCTTCTTATAGTCAGGCCATTCACTTGGCTTTGCCGTGCCATCTTCTACGAATTGCTGTAGAACTGTAAGAGTGTATTCCAATTGTTCCTTTGTCAGCGCATCAGTAATAGTCCATCTTAACAATGAACGATCTCTTGGGGCAACAGGGAATACAAACGGTGCGGCATATATACCCTTTGATTTCAGAGCCCTGTCTAATCTAATTGTGTTGTCATAATCACCAGTACACAGTCCAAATAGTTGGGTTGGTTGATTAAGATAATAACCCAAGTAGCCTAATTTTCGCAACTCTTGTTTAAAGGTTGTGAATTTTATTTGAAGGGACTTTCTTTTGTCATTGGCTTGTTTAACAGTTTCTAAGGCTTTAATGAGTCGCACTGCTTCATGGTCTTCAACAGCATGGCTGAATATACACTTGGTAGTGCCTCCCCGGAATAATCCAACAAATTCTCGTCTCCCTATAAATATTCCACCATTGCAGGCTAATCCTTTTGTAAGGGCTGCTGTTCTAAATTGCACCCTATCCTCTAAGCCTAACTGACACACAATCCCATTCCCCTCATGACCATGTACACCAAGAGCATGACTTTCATCAACAATCAAGGCAGACCCATACTTCTCTGCCAAGTCACACATGTCTTTCAATGGTGCTATGGTTCCCAATGAACTGGTTATACTGTCTGCAATTATGAACCCTGGCCCTCTTTTGGTCATTTTAGCCTCAAGGTCCTCAAGATCATTGTGCTTGAACACAATCATATCCCCTTTCATAGCTCTTATGCCATAACGGAATGTGGTATGAGCCAGGAAATCTAAATACACAGGAATGTTATTATTATTGTATTGTAGTAGAATTTCTATCAGACTACAGTTTGCATCCATTCCACTCTTGGTGAGCACGACAGCATCAGCTTTTAACCACTCTGCAGCTTTTTCTTGAAACTCGATCATTGGGGATTCGCGTGAACGAGGCCAGATTCCTGTCTTACCCCATGCAGCTTTGCCATCATTTATCTCAGAGATGATATAATCTGCCTGTGACTTATTTATAGCTTGATCATGCCCAAGAGCCAGAAAGTCACAGCTAGAGAAGTCAATCTCTCCCTTATGATAATCAGCCCAGTTAGGTCCAAAAGCCACATTTATCGCTCTGGCATAACGTTGTGTACGTGCAGGAATGGCAATCTTCGATGTTATCTCTAATTTTGTGATGTTTTCAGTCACTGCATTGTATGTAATTCTCCTCTTGATCAGTTTTACAGGTGATTGTATCCAGTGTCTGCAAGCCATTTCTAAAGGCACAGATGTTTGTTGTTTAATGACTAGGAATTAACTAAGAATTAATTGTTTTTATTTATATTTAATATTCTCTGTACAATTTATCACTTACCTCTATGATAAATCATATACAGAACTTTTAAATTCACAGTTTTATAGTTCATATCTTAAATGTCGCATATTTTTAATCGTCCTGCTCTATACGCTTGAAATGTTATCTATGGGTAATTGGTACTCTTTTTTCTCACTGCATTTATACAGTCTGTAAGTTATGTTTAGCATACGTACAGTTAAAGTGCTTGATAAACATTCAAGCTTCATCCCATGTCACATGTGAGGACATCATATCACGTACACATCAGATTTCAAGAAAGGCCACAGTGGTAAGAGGGGTCACAAAAATTGCTTTATAATCATATTTTTATATTTTTTGTATTTGTAGACGGAATCTGTACCATCCCCCATCATGGAGGTATTTGGGGGTCAGCTACGGTCTGTGTTCCACCAACAAGGGTGTAAAGAGTCTGCAACCTTACAGCCTTTCTTCACTCTGCCTCTTGACATACAGGTGATAATACATTTTGAGATGCCCCCTGGAGCAAACATTTTGAAATGCCCCTTGGAGCACTGTACATTTTGCAATGCCCTCTGGAGCATACATTTTGAAACGCCCCTGCATTTGAGATGCCCCAGGGAGCATACATTTTGAAATGCCCCTGGAGCATGCTTTGCTTCACTTAGCAAGAAAATATAACTTTTAAAATCACTTTTAAATCTGACTTTTACATATTAGATTTGACCTTCAATGACCTTTTCAAGGTCAAAAAAGGTATTTTTTCAACCTGTTCTCAAAAGTTCAAATTCAAATCTGATTATAGATTTGACCTTCAATGGCATTCCCAAGGTCAAAAAAGATTTGACCTTCAATGATCTTCTCAAGATCAAAAAGGTCTTTTTTTCAACTTGCTTCAAATTGACCAATTTTTTTTAAAAATCATCCACAAGTTCTCAGAAGTTTAAATCTGACTTCATATTTGAGATTTTACCTTCAATGAGCTTCTCAGGGTCAAAAAACTTGCTTCAAATTGACCAGTTTTTTTTTCAAAATCACATACAGAGTTCTCAGAAATTCAAATCTGACTTATCATGTGAGCTAATGATATTGTGAACAACTAGGTGGTGACATTTTGTCATGTTAATGCTTTGTGTAAATGAGTTTTGTGATGTTTTAAGATTGTTATAGTTAATTATGGAATTAAGATTAAATAAGTCCAGAATTAAAACGAAGAACACTGTTAAATTGTTAATGATGTTAAATGTTCTTTTCATTTAGCCCGAGAAAGTGCTGACCTTGAAAGATGCAATAGAGAATGTTATGACAAAGGAAGTCATCCATGGATATACAAACTCAAAAACTAAAAAAGAGGTACATGCAAGATACACACAGTTACCTTGCTTAACATTCTTACATATTTGTGTTGACATCTATTGATCTTCAGGCTGTACGAAAATCAGTAATATGAGTCTTAAAATTCTCATAATATCACTTTTGATATAAGATATTTAGTAACCGAAATAGATAATTAGTTGCCATAGTAACCAAAGGTCGATGAACCTGTTGATAATCATTAACTTGTGGGAATGGCCCCCACTATATTTTTCTAAAATATAAGCAAAATTATTCAAAACTGATCATTGAAAATTGATGCTTTTATGTCTTTGTTTCCAGGTTGAAGCTTACAAGCGTCTTAGCTTAGAATCCATGCCCCCGGTCTTAATATTGCATCTGAAATGCTTTGTCTACAACAAATCGGGAGGAATACAGAAACTGTTGAAACAAATTGAGTTTGGAGAATCCCTGGAGATCAGCAAAGATCTTCTCTCTGCTAACGTGAAACAAAAATACCACCAGGGTCAAAGGTCATACAAGCTGTTCGCAGGTATGTTATACCAGTAGGAATATTTTTTTTTAATTTGGCCTTAAAAAAACTGGACATATATAGAGGTTATTTAATGGGAGGGATGGAATATGAATTTTATTTCGAGGGAAAATATGATATTGACCAAGGAAAATATCATAGTGACAGAGGGCGACAGCCCGAGTGTCAATATGATATTTTCAAGGCTAATATTGTATTTAGTCGAGGAAAGAATTCATATTCCATCACAACCATCACCTATTTATTCCATAATATATTTTTCTATAACTTGTTTTGTATGTCATCACGCAAGGATGGTGACATTAACTTTTTGTTAGGGTCTCCGTATTTTGTGGCTGGCGGTGGATGGTGATAGGTGGTTTGCGGTTGGTATATGTAACAAATTCTGAAAACTTCCAATAACTTAACAAATACTGTTTAGACTGATTTCAAATTTTTTCAACATCATCTTCAAGTTTTAATAAGTTAAAATTTGACTTTAGATTTGAGATGTGACCTTCAGTGACCTTCTCAAGGTCAAAAAGGTATTTTTTCAACTTGCTTCAAATTGACCAAATATTTTTCAAAAATCATTAACAAGTCGTTCAAATCTCACTTTAGATCTGGGATTTGACCTTCAACGGTCTTCTCAAGGTAAAAAAAGGTCTATTTTCAAATTGACCAATTTTTTTTTCAAAGTCATCTAGAAGTTCCCAGAAGTTCAAATCTGACTTTAGATTTGAAATTTGACCTTCAATGGTCTTCTCAAGGTAAAAAAGGTCAGAAAGGCCTTTTCAACTTGCTTCAAATTGACCAAATTTTTTTTCGAAAACATCTTAAGTTCTGGGAAGGTCAAATCTGACTAAGATTGAACTCATAATATTGTGAGCAACAAGGTGGTGACATTTGTCATGTTAATGCCTTGTATAAAAAGATGTAAACGTAATAATTTGTAATTCCAGTGGTGAACCACCATGGTACCAAAGCAGTAGGAGGTCATTATACAACAGATATCTATCACAATGCCATTAACAGCTGGATTAGATGTGACGACAGCGAAGTTAAGGGTGTTAACCTATCGCAGGTCTTAAAATTTCAACCTCCAAAAGTACCATATTTGGTGTACTACAGACGCTGTGATCTCATATAGAGGTTCCACGATAGGCTGTGGGACATGAAGGATTTAATGATGTTGAGATAAATGCTGAATTTTATATGATTTATTGATCGGAATATGAACTGATTGAAAATTGCAATTATTATGAATTTCCCCTTGTATAAAATGAATGCTGGCAGAATGAAATGATGCCATGTTAAGTTAAGACTCCTCGGAGAGATATATGTAAGGCATTGGGCAAAGCACAAAGCTGATTGAATGTTAACATGTAGAGACACGCTTAGTGGATATTAAGTTGAGTCCAAAGCAGAAGTGCAGATATGAGAGACTGAACCCTGTACAGATGAAGAGTCAGTTCAAATGCTTGTAGAAAATAGTGAGATTGTGAAGTTCAAACAATTTATTTGCTTCAGGCCATGATTTGAAGAGTTTCATTAGTTATTACACCCCTACCACCAACCTACCATGTAGTTCCCATGTTTAGCCAACCATAGCCATCATGCATTGATCCAGTGATCTCCCCAGGATTTTTTCTCAGGTGGGTGCAAGATTCTCATTTTCTTAATTCAGACCAAAATTGGTCAAAATATGCCAATTTTTCATGATTTTTCTCATTTTCAAGTGTGTGCAAATGGATTTTGAGGTGGGTCCATGCCTGTTTTCAAAATCTCAGGTGGGTGCTGTGCCCACTTGCTTTAATGCTGGGGAGATCACTGTGATCATTGATTAGAACAATCCATTCATCTTCTCAAACTCCAAATTGCATGGCTAGACGAGACTTGAAGTTTAATTTTGGGACAAAGTGTAAGGTTCCACTCTTAGGCCAGTGTTCGAGATATTATTGCCACCCCCAACCCTCGAATTTTGGTCCTCGACCTATATGGCCATACAGTTGTAATGAATAACAGTTTACCTGTATGTTTGGACACCTCTCACACTTTTCTGGTCCCAAATTTGTAATCCCCCATTGACTTACATATTCTGAAAAAAACTGTGAAAAAATTCATTGAATTCCTGCTAATACAAACACTTTTGACCAGTCCAAGTGGCATGCAGATTAGACAGGGTATACTGTGAGCTTCCTGACTTGAGTTGATTTAAAAGATAAATGGCAAACCTTAATATGCAATATCGTTTTTCTTGTTGAGGGATAACTCTTGGAAATTTTACATGGAAGTATACAGCTACAAGAATAGCTTTTTGATCTCAGTTTGTTAGTGTTAGGGACAAAATTTCAAAAAATATTTGTCCATTATGTTTTGTTGGAGGTGTCTATTTGAACGGCAGTTTATCATGGACTACCTTCTTTACTGATTTTAAATTGTTCCGTAGTAGACCTGTGTTCCTTACAGAATTCATTGACATATAGCCAATGGGACTTGATTCTTTAAAAATTACTCAATAGAGAGGTGTTTCTTACGTTAATGTGAGGTGTTCCTTACGGTGAGGTGTTCCTTACTGCGAGGGGTTCCTTACTGCGAGGTGTTCCTTACATTGAGGTGTTCTTCACAGTGAGGTTTTCCTCACTGTGAAGTGTTCCTTACGGCGAGGTGTTCCTTACATTGAGGTGTTCTTTACAGTAAGGCTTTCCTTACTGTGAGGTGTTCCTTACGGTGAGGTGTTTCATCAGACAGGTTATACTGTTGTCCATAATAGTGTTTATAGGGTGTAATAATTCTGAACAGAATTTATGTTGAACTCTTATGGCTGATGGCTGAATTAATTATACAACTGTATATGTACATTATTCTTACACAAGTGTTCGAATGAATCATGGATTTTGAAATACATTTTTGTGTAATAAAACAATATTTTGTTAATTTGGAGTCATCAGATTTATAGGAGAAGTAATGCATCAAGTTGAATTGCGTGTACTGCATACCAAAGCAATTTAACATTTACATTATGTCGCCACCAGAAGTACTGCCATATTGTTATATTCTCCAACTTTTTTGTGGACAGCATTTGGATGTGGGCTTTTGGTGTTCAGCAGGTGACTGTAAGCATTTGGCGTCTGTAAAAATGGCAAGTGGTGACATTTTGCATGCTAATGCCTTGTATATAGCTTCTACGGCGGGCTTTCTAGAAATCACACATTGATGGAACATTTCTAATGATTCAACTCAATTAAAAGTCTCATTACTCAAATGGGTACGAGTGTTGTCTTAAACTTTATCATCGTATCAAAATGTTGGCCACTCTATACTTAAAACTCAATATTCAGAACGCATATTTTTATTCGAAATAACTTTAAAACATGTCAAGAATCTACATGAATGGTTCGAAATTATTCAGAAAGGTGCCAAAAACGCACTAGAGAATTTGTTTAATTGGCACCCTGAATAAAATAATTAAAAAGGTGGACATGTTTTAGCCCACTCTGTATTACAGATGTGCGTGATGTGCAAGCATATCGTGTTGTAGAATCGTCCTTAGACAAAGCCCTTCTTTGCAGCGACTTTCATTAGGATTCTGGATTTAACTCAAGCCCCAATGGCTCTAAATGTAGGCGGTTGGCCACAGACACGGGAACAAGAGTTCATCCCCCTCCCACTCACTATGTATTACTTAGAAAAACTGTATGGGGGGATTTAAATCTTCCTGGGCCTGTGCGGTTAACACTTTAAGACAGGATCCGTAACATGGCAAAACCTCAGAAGTAATGGTTTAATTTACTTGAAACTCATATATGCTGAACACACACTTTAGATTTATTGATATGTGTTCCTATAACAACCAATTAAGTACTAAGAAGTTTTCAAACAAACTTGGCAAACAATTATCCAACTTGTTCAATTATCGAATTAGTACAATCTGATGCTATTATTTCTAGATAACTACAATATTACAATGTTTGTCTAAAGGTGTCACACTTCAGTTTACCCTGCGTGCAGAGTTTAGTTATAAAGTACAAGCTCTCTTTTAAGAAGTGAAGTCAACGAATGCAAAGGGTAACTTCGGTTGGGGTTGTAGGCTAGGCTATAATCTAATGCCCAAAGAACTACTGTATAATATTATTATATGGAAAAAGATGCAAAACGTTCGTATATCTTATCTTATGGTTTCGTTTATAAATTATGTTGCTGACAAATAAATATGCCATGCTTCTCTGATCTAAATTTAATGAAATAAACAAACGTTTTGTATCTAAAATATGAATTTTTTCGATAGAATACAGGATTGCACTTATGGTTATTCATTCACACGATGGTTCAAAGACAACATAGTACTATCTGGTTGTATTTGAACATATCTGGTTGTACAAATTCAAAATATATTGTTCCCTGAAGTCCACACATCTCTTTATTCCGATTCAAAATATCCTGTTGTACAAAGTCTATATACAGGTATATTATGGTCGTACAAAGTCAAGATATATGGTCATTAAAAGTCAACACCTTTTTGGCTGTACGTGTACTTGACAAAGTTGACGTCAACATATCTGGTTATTCCAGATCAAGATATCTGCTTGTACAAAGTCAAAATATCTGGTTGAACAACTTCAACATCTGTTGTACAAATTCATATATCTTGTGCAAGGTATATCTGATTTCATTATATCTAGTTGAACAACATCAATATAATGATATCTGGTTATTTAAAGTCAATATATGATTGTACAAAGACAACATTATCTGACAACAAATTAACAAATCAAAGTTGTTTAAACTCAGCATATCACACTGGCGGATCTGGGCCCGCCTCCCCCCTTGGGTGGGCCCGGAAAAAAATATTGGGCTCAAAAAAATTGGGCCAAAAAAGGCCTTAAGGCCCCATCAAGTGTGCCTTTTTGGTCATTACTAGAACTTTGAGGCCTTATTTTTTAATTTCAGGCCACATTTTTGTAGAAAATGGGCCTCCAAATTTGGACCCACTTTTGAGTTTTAGGGGCCCAAAAATTTTTCTATGACCTGAAATTTGGGGCCCTCCCTTGTTGGCTCTTGTTGGTTCCCAGATCCGCCCCTGTATCATATGGTTCTCGAGTCTGCACTCGTAAAAATATTCTTCGCAACTTCCTGCTATCCATCATATCATCTACCGATCCCTTGTGTGTAAAATTAGCCAGATCACAAGCCTCTCGTGGTTCCTCATCACACTGATCTATTTATGTGTGGTTCAGTTACAAGCATTGCCACATCGCCTAGGATTTAATCAACCTGGATACAAACGTGTTGATCCTGTACGCTTATAGCTCATCGGGTTAGCATCGGATTATGATCATGCAGACTTATTAAATGGCTTTTGCCCGGCTGATTTTTACATAATATTGCCTTCAAACATACATTAGTTGTTGTGCAACCTCATTGCTGAGAGCAACAGTGGCCAGGTCAGGGAGTTAAAGGTAAGTGGGGTCATATTGACCTTATTGATCTATTAACCTTCAGAGTAAATATATTTCACTGTCATCGCCAATGTTTGCAAGAAATGTAATATTTAGGAACTGCTCATGATGTCAGCACCCGTGCCAGGGAGACTATGATGCAGAGAACTTTCGATTAGCTCGCAATAAACTTTCGAGTTACCCGTAACGATCTCCGAAAACAAGCTAGAAAACGATTATAATGTGCTCCAAGAAAAAGCAATTTTTATCCCACCCCTGAGCTATCTGAAAACTGATTCTAGCGGGGCCTGGGATGATGAATCAATCCAAACACTGGGTGTTCTAGCTGACGAAGACGATAGAAGAGGCCACTCGAGAATCACCCTATTTGAATTTTTATCGTACCCTCGAGTCTCAAATGAATACTGACCAATGGACTGTTATGTATGAAAAACGTCTTCCTCGGGAGACAATGGGAGTCATGAGGTAGTTAAAAGCTACTGTTCATACACCGAGTCATGATGACTCCGCCACCTCATTTATTAAAGAGGCTGCATTTCGGAGTTTTCATACTTTATTTTAGCCCCTCGGGTTTCATGGGTTTAGGCACCTTGTACATTATCAAGCTTTTAGGAGTTCATACATACATAGATATTAGGTGCCATATACCATGTTTATGAACATGCACGACATCTTACATGTCTTAGTATATGTTACGTTCTGCGCATCTTATATCATAATAGCTTGGCAAGAAGAACACTTGGTTTGCAAACGTTTCTCATTTAGTATATTCTCAAGAAGAGGAACACTATCTGAAAAGAATATATTATTTTTCACTGAACTAACGTTCTTCTGGGAAGTTTTATATCTGGATTGCAACTGTTGAAAGGTAATCAACAACATACATTAGCTTCTCTCCAGGAACTAAGTCGACACGGAAGAGTGCATGTAATCTTAGTAGCTCGGAATACAACTTCTTATATAGGTAGATATTAGCAGCGTTCATTTACTCACACCGTCCTTTTTGCCATAAAACTTATCTAAAGCACTGTGATGAAATCTCCTCCTCCTAGAAACTAGGAAATGCTATTTTGCCATTTTCTGATGAGATGTTTTCAATAAACCTTTAGATTGAGAACAAAGTAGTGGCTAAGTTGTGGAAATAAGATACAGTATGTACTTTTAGTATATGCTTTTGCCCCGTAAGTTAGGCAGACACAGGTGCATTTGTAGGGAATAGTTCAATTCTCAACATAATCTCGATACCTGAGTAAAAGTAATATCGCTACCAGCTGACATTTACAGAAATACACTGCGAGCAAAATAAAAGTAACACATGTAATATGGCAAAACGATAAACAATGTGCTGGATATATTTGAGCGACCAGAGTGTTTAATGACTCTCCTTCTATGTGCACGCACTTGCGTTGAAACAAGTATTTTAAGCAATAGGATAGTTTCTAAATAGCAGAAAAATCAATGAAATCTCGTGCTGCCATCTTTTATTCAGCTTTTAACTCTGGCTAGAGCTCCATTCATTTACATGCTTAAATCTTGGAAAAGTGGCTTACTTTCATGATTTATCAAAGTGTGTTTGTTGAATCTGTATAAAACTTGAATGATATACCACATGATGACCCTGTTTATGTACATGATGTGATTAAACATGCAAATGTTGATTGACATACAAATAATCCACGGATTTAAAGAATTTTAGCATTGCATCTATGGACATTTGGCCCAAGTTTTTTTAAATTGTTATAGAAAATTATTCAAATTACATAACTGTGTAAATCAAAGCTATTAAAGGAGAAAACATTTCACTGAATTCAAATATGCCATTAAAAAGAAGGTAATGTAAGTCATTGGAGGTCTAATATGCAAGTCTCTTAAAATCTCACGAAAAAGGAGATTTAACGAGATTTCAAAAGCTATATGGAAACTATACTATTCGATTTGTGTTCCTTATCTCATGGCCCTTATGATTACCCAGATGATTATTACAACGTTCTACCATCTCATTATCCGGCACACATGTGAATCAACAACTGTTCCATATTAAGCGCCGAGAGTGTAAATTCTAGAATATGTGGGTGGATGGAAATAGCTCTGAACACATATATGTAGGCCTCAGAAACACCTACTGTACATACATTCACAGGTGGTGTACCAGGTTATTTCATAGGTCCATCTTTACATACTGAAGAACTGGTTGAATGAGATAGGTGAGGTAAGGGTCGTTCAATAAGTTCTAATATAAATGCTACACTTTTTGTGTTTATTTTTGAGAAGGTGATGTGTTGGTTTCAATAATATATAAATATTATTGGTTTATCTCAATTGATACTTTTAAAGTTGTAGTGTGTAAAAACAGTGGAACTGGACACAGATTGAAGAAGAGCTAGAATGAATTTATCTGTTATAAGAAACATGGATGGAAAAACTGCCTCGGGTACCCTTATTTCTGTATAATAAAGTGTTATTGCTTAGAAATTACGGAGAATAAATCCCTAGAATTAGGCCCGCATTTAAAAACAAATTGGCTGTAAACTCCAAAATTTTCAATTTTTGGACGTGGAAATGAGAGCATTTGTATAACAATTTATTGAACGACCCTCATATTTGTTGGGCATTCACCTACTACCGCATAATATTATGCAATTTACACCATCTAGAACATTCTATACGAGTACATCTATTTATTGTATCTATATGGTATTCTGTAGGAAATGTGTTAAAACACTGAACGAAATCATCGAAACTTTATTATACGATTTCAAAAAATCAGTATATCACATTAGTAAACAATACTAAACATATACCATGTCATGGGCATTCAATAGAATTTCTATCGAAAGCTCATGACCATGTCAAGAGTAATAATTTCAAAACAGTTTGTTTTCCAAATAAAACATTGAAATCTCAGTATGAATGGATGATTTGAACCAAGGTGGAGGAGAGCCCGCCCTATGTAACAAGGCACTGCTGGGTCCTAGGGGGAGGTGGGGGGACATTGGGTCCGACTCCCCTCCCCATTTGGGTGGATCCAGAAAAGAAATGTTGGATCCAAAAAACATTTGGGGCCAAACATTTTTGGGCCTCAATAAGTGGGCCTTTTTGGGCATAACTTGACCTTTTTTGGGCCTTGTAGGCCATATTATCAAAAATGGGCCTTAAATTTTAAAAAAATTGAATTTTTTTCTGATTTGAAATGTGCCCCCCCCCCTGTTACCGTTTGGATCCGCCAGCCAGTGTAAGATGGCCCTAAAAGAACATGAAAATACATCTTCTGACATATATGCTTGCCATCATTTTGGAAAGTAAAGCTAAAAGGGTTTCAATAAATTAGAAAATGACTCAATTCTATTAAAAGATGCATGTGGTAAAAAAACCTTGTAGCTCGTGTAATAAATAACAGTGACAATATAGGGAGTAAAGACCTTTCTCATCTTTGAATCCAACTATTTCTTTTCTGGACCAAATTTTGTAACAGCGCAATAGAAAACTGAAAGACAGACCACATTGGAGTGGAACATTTTAGGCCTTAATTAAACTGTTAATCATACAATCTGTAGTGATAAACAATGATACCCCGGCCTCCATTAATGTCTGTTTATTAGAACATCATCAGTCGGTCGTAAAAACTGCTCTCAGAGGGATTTTTAGTTCGAAAATACAGACTCCAGAATGTATTTAAATTCTCGTTGTAGTTGCACAATGTCTTTCATTACAGTATAAATGTGATCAATTTCAATCAACATTGGATTAACAGATAAATAATTAATCTCAAAATTAGTTTCAATGTTCCCCAGCACCTAAATGGCGACCTTTATAATATTATTATCATATCAGTTACATAATCCCATTTAGCGTTTCACCGATTGACAATAATTGCAAACCAGACAGATACTAGTATGATGAGGTTTAGAAACCGAGAGGCTCGTCGAGAGAATCCCCTAACTTATTTTTCCATACGATATTGCATTATGACAAGCCTGATGGTTTGATATGTTCGAGCCACCCCCACCCTCCAACCCGACAAAAAAAATCAGTAGTTTTCATCATTCTGGGCACATTTAAGCGATTTTGGCCACTTTTGGACCAAAATTGTCGAAAGTAAACCCCCTGGAATTTTTTAAAAAGTGACCCCCTTCCCTTAGCAAAATCAGGCCTGGACACTGGCATGCTATGGTCAATTGATTGATTGATATTTAAAGATTGGGTACACTTACATTACTTTCCTGCCTTGCTCATAATATTTGCAATTCACTTACAATTCCTAGTTCTACATATTAAGTTATGTTGACATAATGGTTTACAATCTATGTATTTAATATGCTTACAATATCTATGTGTTTCATATATATTTCAATATTATTGATTAAGAATGCAATTGAGGTCACTGGCATTATCTGAACACGGAAACTCGCAGTTAAAACAAACAGGCATATCAAGGGATTAATTATAGAAATTAAAAAAAAGAGAATATTAAAAACGAGTCTTATTTGCTTCCTCAGTTCCTAGATCCTATATCTTGATCTCAAAGTTAACTTAACATTTGCTTGAATATTTTTCATTCAAGGATGTTTGAAATTATACCCAGAAAATGTCAATCAGTATACGTACATGTACATTAAACGCGATCCTTTTCTGGTAGCCATCTTAAAAAGTTTTCGATAAATCTCATTCAAGGAAAAGGAAAATCACTCAAGACCAAGACCCTTTAACTTTATACAATTGTCTGAAGAATAGACCTAATTAATACACCGGATGTTTATTTATTAGTTCAACCAAGACCCTTTAACCAAGCACGCACATAGTACATTATTGAATCGTAACTTGAATATCTGCTAGTTATATCGTTGATATTACACAGGTCTGTGAGCAACCGTGCTTCACAGGTAGACGGAAAGGTCAGGTAATTCCCGGTAAGTAAAAGCGAAGTGCTCTCATATTTCCTTAATTAGGCCAGGTTTAAATGTTGGCAAGTCGTACTTTTTCAGAATAAAATAACACATTGGCAGAATGGGGTGCTTTAAGTAAAACATCAGATATCATGCTCCCATTGCCAGACGTTTCAATTACCATTGGTTGAACAGGCTCACACGTGGTTCAAAGTGAATGTCGGGATCGTTCCCATGGTGGTCCATACCGACAATGTACCCCCTCTAACCTGAAGAAATACAGACAGAACATCATGAGTATTCATTTGAGATTTCACTCATATACACTTTTAATTTTGAATGAAGCTTTCAATGATATGACAATATTTCACCTAGGCATATTGTGTCAGATATTCATGCTTGCATGTTAATCATAACTTGTCAAATTTTAAAAATAAATGATAGCCAATGATAACTACATAGCTTATATAATGTACAGTAGTAAACGATGCTAAAATGTTTCTTAGCCTATGGCCATGGTCATGGTGCATGGTACATACTGGTAACTGGATACATATGCGTTTCATTCACTTTCGTATTTTTTGTACCCTTTGCGATAGTGGTTTGACTTTGGAGCTAGACTCTGCACTTAAGACATATTTTAACAGGTTAGTGATTTTAGTTTTATATTGTTTATGGGTTCTTCTAATTGTTTTAGATCGCTGGAAATTGTCTTGCATTTTTAAAGGCATTTCGAGTGCAAGCTTAAATAAATGTTGAAGGTATAATATCTTGCGTGAGAAAGGTATCCTTATGATCAGTCAGCTAGAAAAACTTTATTTAGTGAATATGAGAAGTGACGAAATTAGAGAGGCAAATATATATTGGGATATAGATATTACAATTTAATTCAATGAGATATTTCGATTATGTTATGATATACTATGAAGACAAAATTGACAAAATTGAATTATCTTCAAGGTAATGAACGATTAACTGACCTTCACCTCCATTAAACTTGACGTGTTAATCTTTTCACCGACTTTGGCACCAACAATGTTAAGCCCCTTCTTTATTTTATGCAACAGGTTCATTTAACACAGTGAGATTAAAGCGCTGAGGTGTATTAGTTTTATAACCATTTTAGTCATATCTATTATATTACATTTTAAGTTTAATTTAATCTACCAAAACAAATCCTTATAAAAGTATAACGAAGTGACATTGAGTTCACTTAGCTGTGTTTTGTAGTTGGCTTTTCCCCTTATATGCTTATTAACTCGAAATACATGTATACGTCGAGTATTAAACATTTGTAATCATTTATAAAATTCACTAAAAGATGGCTTCGGTGTACCCCTTTTCTTAAATGATTAAATAAAACTCGATAGATACAAAAAATTATAAATCTAGAATTCATTTATTTTACTTCTAGCATATTATTTTTTGCATTACAATGCATGATTCAATAGTTCTACATCGACCACCAAAGTCATTTCCCCAGGTCATTTTATTCGTACGTATAGAGTTCAGATTAATCCCAGCAGTTTCAGCAAGGGCGTCATCAAGGTAAGTCTAAGAATCTAAATGTACCTCTGGTATTTCAAACTTACGTTGGATATGTGTCATCTGAAGTAATAATTTGCGATTTGGCAATATGGATGGAGGTGATTGTAGTATGCATCTATCTATAGAGGAAAATTGAACCATATTCGAACTGGATCATTTTGACTGGATTAATCAACCAAATGAAATAAAATGCAAAGAATGTAAAACAATCTGGACATACTGCACAAGGAGAGTATAGAAGATAATAAACAATCTGGACATACTGCACACGGAGAGTATAGAAGACAATAAGAATGCCAGACATGTACTCCCTCAATATAAAGTCATCTTTGTCTTGAAGAAAGTCGAAGTTCCTGACTTGAGCCTTGAAATGGGGCTCTAAAAACAATGATAGCGACTTGTGTGGGGAAATCAAGCAGAAAGCAAGTAACACGTTTAATTATCAGGAGGATAAGATAGCCCCACCAGGTCGAGATACCACCAGTGTTAATTAAGGCAGCACAACCTGACTTATGTCCTAGATTAGATATAAAACAATGAAAATCTCACCATTGTGTAATTCACCGCCAGTTATCCGAGTGGACAGTTCAACCCCAAAGACATATTAATCATGATATTTTGAGAGCTTCGGGAATACCAAGGGCATAGTACTTACGGAATGTTTCATTTTTTCGATGGAAATGAAGTCGGATAATATTGCCTTATCATAATTTAACATGGGTAGCAATTTTTGATCGCAGCCAAGGATGGCCGAGAATAACTCAAACCCTAAATCAAAAGCATTATCCTAACCAGGAAGACTCAGAACTTTCTTTCGGCCATCGGATCTTAAGTTGCGGTGCATTGTTGCTGTCCCATTTAAAATAACTTTGCCTATCCTTATTTTTGTTACATTACATATTGTTATAGTCTCCAAGTTTATGTTCATGTACTTTACAATACTTATCCTACATAAGAGGGGCTTGGGATATTTTAAATGTTTATGTTATACAGACTTAGACTTAAACAACTATATTTTCACATTAATAATCAGGTTACCTTTGCTATAACGCATTATTTAACACATTAATTCTAACATTCTGCAAAACTACTGTCAGTGAATTATATCGAATTGTTTCTTGTATTTTCAGAAGCATATAGTGTAGTGCTAGCTAGTACAGAAAGATGGCGGAGCAGTCGCAACAGTACAAAATTCCAATGCCCCAACTTACAAAGGAGGAACTTATCCGATACCAGACAAAGTTTAAGATGTTCGACAGGAATAAGGATGGTCATATTGAGGCTCGTGAATTAGCAGCAGTTTCAAAAGCTTTGGGACACAATCTCTCAAATGAACAGATAAATGTAAGTAACATTTTTCAAACACAATAATATATGCTTCTAACATAAGGATCACATAATTCAGTAATCAATGCTAAATCTCGTTTCTGCTACAAAACATCAATTTATGTTATAACTTGCTGTTTTAAGGACGAGGCACATGGTAAAATATTATATTCAGTCTAATTTTATTTGCAGAATATTATCGGTGAATGGGATTTGGACATGAATGGCGTGTTAACATTCGATGAATTCGTATGCTGTATGCACGCGAACAAGTCAATCTTTGTTAAAGGTGAACAGAAGTAAGTAATTGCGACGATAATTGCATTTTTGCGATGTTAAAGGATTGGTATCGATATGGAGAACTGAATTCAACAATGTTTTTCTCTTAAACAAATCATTGAAAACACTCTGTAAAAAACACGGTATTTTATGTAATGTTTACTGATTGACAACAATATAATGCGAAAATTATTTAGAACTATTTTATAACTGTTTTTGTTAATTTTTTTTTTTTAGTGCAATTGTTTTTGCTCCTTTCTACCAATTCTTGAGAATGAAAAAATGTCTTTCCGAACCTTGTTAGAACAAAATAGCATATACAACATGCTTTTAGACCTCTCAATATTATTGTTATACAAAAGAATTGTTGGTTGATTTCAAAAAAGTATTCAAAAAATTAAAACAACCCCCCCCAAAAAAAAATAGATAAAAATCAAGATAAACCCTTTATTTCATTAACAAGATACTTTTTTAAAATCAACCAAAATTGCCTTTGTACAATTACAATATTGAGAGACCTATTGATTGATTAGACTCAATCTCCGATCCTTCATGGCAAATGATTTTATAGAGAAATAAATCCCTCAGAATCTAAGTATTTACATTTTGTATACATGTCGTAGATAGCCCAAATGTGTCTACATTAGTATTGTATTTCAGGAAGATGAAGATCCGAAAGATGTTGATTAGCCATGCGGTGGACAAAGCGGGAAATGTCCCGACTAACCGCATGATTCAAGTCCTCTTTGAACAACTTTCCTTCCCACCAGGTAAAAATTTCAAATGAGCGTTACTGAATTCTGGGTTCCGAGCCTACCGCCGTCACAGAAATGTTGGAGACCATAACAATATGCCACCACTTTTGGTGGTGACATAAGAATTGACACCGGGTTCCTTAAGGATATCATTAGTATATTTGAACAACTTTGAAAAGTAAGTCCACCTTTCAAAAGGCTACAAGGATGATTTCAATTTTTCTCCTTGATAAAAAATATGTTGAGACATATAGTTGCCATTTTAATGTAAGCCTAGTCCCTATCCCGGGGTTCCTATGGTGTATTATATGAGCCTGGCCATAGGAAAACCGGTCTTATCACAAAAATTAAAATTGTGCTACAGAGCCAAAAATGTGCCCACGATTAAGAGGAAAATCCGACTTTTTGGTCTATATATGCAAGGATAAATTGTTAAGACATAAGCCATGGCTCATTTGAAAGGTTTCTTTGTGATAAGACCCCTTTTCCTGTGGCCTGGCTCATATTCAGAATGAAATGATCTAGTCACCGGTCACCAAATCTAGTTACATTTACAATTAGCATAGTCGCCGATATCAGGAAGATTATGTTCATTTCAGAGAGGTCAAACAGGATGTTATCTCCACTGGACACACAGCAAACAGGGCACATCAACCTTCATATTTTCTCAGATTTCTACGGAAAGGTATTAGATAAGTAAGTACTTGCATAGTCGTTTAAATATTCGAAAAGTTTGACAGTTCCTTGCTTCCCGATTGGAAAAAAACTTATCCTAAAATAAACTAAATTAATAAACTTTCTGGAGTCTTACTTAAACTTGTTTTAACCTATATTACAAATTGTGAAGAGATGGCGAGACATAGGTAAATAAAGACATCCCTAAATCCCTTTCTCCATCTTGTAAAATTTTGTTATTGTTACAGAGATTTTTGTATTATCACTCAGTTGGGTCTTATGAAACACTATTATATGAATATAACCCCATTATTTTCAGTAAAGAAAACTTGGAAAAGACATTTAAAGGTTTCGATAAAGATGGCTCTGGGGCTATATCTTTGTCGAGCGCCCAACAAGTGATGAAGAATTTTGGATTTTCTAACCCACAGAGCGATGCCATGGGCGCCATGCATGACAGGAATCGTAATGGCTATTTCTGGTATGAAGAACTCTCTCAATTCTGGCCAATTCCACAGTGATTATTAGACGATAAAACAGAGTTCCCCAGAAGTAAAAAAAATAACAATATCAATTACATTCTTTCAACAGAAGTAACGTTATTTGACAATGAAATAGAGTTCCCCAGAAGTAAAAAAAATAACAATATCAATTACATTCTTTCAACAGTAGTAACGTTTTTCGGTATTTCTAGAGGGGGCATATTTCCTACAGCTAGTGACATCAGTGAGCCCGCAAACGATGGCACTGTACTGTACACCGTACGTGTGCAAGAAGACGGTTTATTGTTTGTTTAACCAACTGGATAATACTGTTCATCAAAGATCACAGTTTATTGTTTGCTAAACCAATTGGATAATACTGTTCATCAAAGATCACAGTTTATTGTTTGTTCAACCAACTGGATAATACTGTTCATCAAAGATCACAGTTTATTGTTTGTTCAACCAACTGGATAATACTGTTCATCAATGATCACAGTTTATTGTTTGTTCAACCAATTGGATAATACTGTTCATCAATGATCACAGTTTATTGTTTGTTCAACCAACTGGATAATACTGTTCATCAAAGATCACAGTTTATTGTTTGTTCAACCAACTGGATAATACTGTTCATCAATGATCACAGTTTATTGTTTGTTCAACCAACTGGATAATACTGTTCATCAAAGATCACAGTTTATTGTTTGTTCAACCAACTGGATAATACTGTTCATCAATGATCACAGTTTATTGTTTGTTCAACCAATTGGATAATACTGTTCATCAAAGATCACAGTTTATTGTTTGTTTAACCAACTGGATAATACTGTTCATCAAAGATCACAGTTTATTGTTTGTTTAACCAACTGGATAATACTGTTCATCAAAGATCACAGTTTATTGTTTGTTCAACCAACTGGATAATACTGTTCATCAAAGATCACAGTTTATTGTTTGTTTAACCAACTGGATAATACTGTTCATCAAAGATCACAGTTTATTGTTTGTTCAACCAACTGGATAATACTGTTCATCAATGATCACAGTTTATTGTTTGTTCAACCAACTGGATAATACTGTTAATCAAAGATCACAGTTTATTGTTTGTTCAACCAACTGGATAATACTGTTCATCAATGATCACAGTTTATTGTTTGTTCAACCAATTGGATAATACTGTTCATCAAAGATCACAGTTTATTGTTTGTTTAACCAACTGGATAATACTGTTCATCAAAGATCACAGTTTATTGTTTGTTCAACCAATTGGATAATACTGTTCATCAAAGATCACAGTTTATTGTTTGTTCAACCAACTGGATAATACTGTTCATCAATGATCACAGTTTATTGTTTGTTCAACCAATTGGATAATACTGTTCATCAATGATCACAGTTTATTGTTTGCTTAACCCATTGGATAACATGTATACTGTATACAATGATCACAGTTTATTGTTTGCTAAACCCATTGGATTACATATCGTACGTATCAAAGATACAGATATACAACTTAAGACAATTGTACGCCAATCTGGGAAACATACTTGGAAATAAGCGTTTGAGGAATCTGCGATCTCAAATGGATATATTTTGAACTACTGTGTTACGGGAACTTAAAGAAGGCTAAGTTGACCACTCGAACTTGACAAAAAATAATTTTACTGTGGTCAACGTATTCAAGTCGTGTCTTTCATTTATATATTATGTGATTATGAGAATATGATCTAAATCTATGAAAGGTTGTGTGTTTAATGATTACGACCAAACATATTTATTTAAAGTTTTTTTCTAAATGACGTACATTATAACAATTGTAGCCTGACATTACATATGTACTATTAAATGTTAACTTATACGGTTATTGAATAAAATATCTAAAACAAATAAAAAACTGTTCATTACACATACATACACGTACACTGTATAATGTAGTACTAATTGCAAGTTCACTAGCAGATGTTATTTGCAATCAAATTGATACAATTGTAATCAAAATATTTGATAACGGTGACATTTCTCACATAAAAGCAGGTGTGAATAATACTAAACCAAGCCATTATATACAGTGACTTATAGCTAAGAGCTTGCTCGATGGGTGGACTTGTATACTTCTGAGACGCGATAAACTGAATCATACATTGCGTTCCATTTCAAGTTTTAATTCAGGTGAACTAGCTCTAATTATCAGAGTGACATCTTTAAAAAGAAACCTATGCTACACGAACGATAGAAAAAGAAAAAATATCAATATATTTGCCTCGTTTTCGATAAAAGGGGAAGTCGATGAAAATAGTGAATCATTCGCAAACAGTGTACTCGGAATAGAACACAATACTTCCTATTAGGTTAATTTTTAACGACGATAATAGGATACTGATAGAGTCCAGACTTTGAACCGTCAAGCCTGTATACCTATACAGTTAGTAATAGGAGAGATAAGGGAATTTAAATGATACCAACTCTTCAACTAAAATAGCAAAACAGTTTTAATGACATAAAGTGTGACATAAAAAAACACTTGAATTCTTATCACAAAATCGACCTCAGGGAATCAGACGACAAAGAACTGACGCTAACTAGCACAGATTCTCAACACGCGGGAACGATATAGGACAGGTAATAGTTTTATTTCATTAGTATAGCCTCGTCTTTAAATACAATAACAATACTTCCGTGTTCTAAAATACTGATTAAGGCGCATTAGTTTTGGCCTGTTGTACTTTACATTTGTTATGACGGGCAAAGTAAATGACGATCAATACACAAGGTAGTATACTATTGTCCCGGGACTATTGTATGTCGTTCGCCTTCCAGGGTTATCGCCAACTAAGGCTTCAGTAATTGAACTATCACTTTTTGGGGGAGGGAGGTGGTTTGATCGTTACTGTTTATAGAGAATGACTAGTCATATATGATATCAGTCAAGTTTTGGGGTGGGGGAAGTACATCTTCACACGCTCGGTCATGAAGAGGGCGAGTAAATGAAAATGGGGGAGTGGGCTCGGTTCTTGACTTCTATTACGCATCTTGTACCCTTGGTCACGTTTGATCTCGCCTCTGATGTGTGCTTTGGGGTGAATCTCAGGGTACGTCACAATTTGAGCCTTGTACGAACTCTTGTTCCCAAAACACACTGAGCCGCTGATGGACATATGACACTGGCGGATATGGGGGGAGGGGCGGAATTTTTTCAGGTTTGAAATGTGCCCCCCCCCCCTTTCTTAGTTTTCAGGTCTGCCTCTGAATGTAGCATGGCTCACATCTTGAAGTCATATACATATCTGATTCTGACATACAGATTGCCTCTAAAGACCAACTAGAACTATAAAAACAAGTAATGGGCTTACTTTGGGTTTCCCATCTCGACGTATGAGTTCAGTCTCAACATAAATATTGGGGGTTTCTCATGATTAAAGAGCTGGTAAACACGAGATGATGAGTTTGAATCGAAGCATGAGATCATAATCGGTATTACCAGAATTGTAATATTACATATTACAGCCACTCCGACAAATGATCAATACGTAATAGCTATCAAGGGAATAATTCCAATGAATGGATATCATCGAACATTCCGACCTTGTGGTCTTTGACTGTCATACAAAATTAGATCCAGATCTTACTAATTCTATCCGGTTGTAATTGTATTTACTGCCGTGCCGTGAATTACACTTTGATTGCACATACAACTGAAATATTACATCAAGAATATTGTTTGTCAGTACTTTTGTTTGTTCGTTTGTTGTTTGTTTGTTTGTTTGTTTGTGCGTTTGTTTGTGTGTTTGTGTGTTTGTTTGTTTGTTTATTTGTTTGTGTGTCAGTGTTTGTTTGTTTGGCTATACGTTTAAGATCTTGATATTTATGAAGAAAGATTTTAAAGAGAAGGAAGAGAATAATTTCGGTTAGTATCTTTTTTCAAATAAGTTAATTTCTAGATTATGGCTCAAGTGATAGCATCACTTTTTAAACATGTCGCAGGAATCATAGACCTACGCGAACCGGTCGTTCGATGATGTTTTTTCAATGGGTAGTGTGGTTTGGTACTGTATGTTGTATAACCTCGAGCTTACGACTAGACACTCAGTCCTTCGTTCATGATATCATAACCTTCATAAACACATATTTGTTTTGCTATATCGGATCTACGTATAAATTCAACCATTTCATGATTAAATGTTTTACCTTTCAACATGATAACCTACATTGAATGTGAAAACAACTTGTAAATTATTTATGAACTTCACCTGACAGCGTAATGTATCCGAATTGAATTGACTTTAAAACAGCACATAGATGTGTATTTCAGTTCTATAATTGTGCCCCGATTATGCAGAGATGTGTGCATTTATATGACATGGTTCATTCAGGTCAAGCGTTTTCAACAGTGTCAGGTAAATATTTTAACAGTGTCAGAGCAATGATTTAAATATAGATGAAACATTAATTTCTTGAGGATATTCTCTCCAGTGTAGATTATTTACTATACAGTTTGGCCAATGGCTCACATTTAGCACTATACAAAAAGTCAAGATGCTCCTTCGACGAGTCAACGCAATATGTATCTGCTTATCGTTGCTTAATAACAAGATAAAGTGAACCTGTTTTGTGATTAGTAAATGAGAAAACAAAAAACCTCTGATTAGTGTTGTTTATGGCTATGTGTAACACATCTCCCCGATACAGTCGTGTAGAGAGCACCCCGGAATAGCCTGACAACGGTAAAGACAGTACCGTTGTCACAAATGGCGGAGATGACCGTCGCTTCAATTAGATTTTTATGAACTGTATGTTTAATAGAGCACCTAGACTAAATTCCATTAAAACAACAATCAATCAAAGTGTCTTAATACTCATTGTACAATTAATTACCGTACTGTAATTACCATATCCCGTTGTCTTTCTAAATTACTCAAATTCAGATTCCATTGTCAATGACAATATCGAAGACGCTATATTGTGGCGATTCACGACCCAATTTGATCGAAAATGGGATTTCATATGATACATTATCCCAAGAGCTTAATGTATGCACAGAATTAGCGACGATAAAATCCCATGAAATGAAGAAATGAAGTGATTAAACAGTTATGTCCGCCATTTGTGACGGCGGCATCTTAGCCAGGCTATTCCGGTGTGACGGCATCTAGCCAGGCTATTCCGGTGTGAGAGTGGGTATATAGGCAATGCTCAACAACCATACTGTATATCACCACTAAGACAGATTTAAAATGATTGACTTGTAGTAAGGTCACTGGTGATCCACTCGATTACGCTGATTACCAAAACGAACCGTTTTGGTAACAAAATGTCGGAACGTCGAAGGCACGATTTTTCTTTTTTCCTTATTTCACGCGTTGTAGGCAGAATCCCCACGACGTTTTTTCTCACAACGTGCATCAGTATCATATGTTTTAGAAAATATACATGTTTGCGAAAAAATAGCTCAGAGGGCAACAGAATCGTCGATTTACTTCCTCACTTAAGTTACATAAACGGTTTTTCGAAAAACAGTTAAGATCTGCACTTTTAACCCAAACCGTTTATGTAACTTAAGTGACGAAGTAAATCGACGATTCTGTTGTCTTCTGAACTATTTGTTCGCAAGTATGTACACTTTCTTAAACATAGGATACTGATACACGTTTGTGTTAAAAAATGTCGTGGGAATTCTGCCTACAACGTGTAAAATAAGGAAACGAGAAAAATCGTATCTTCCGGATGTTCCGACATTTTGTTACCAAAACGAACCGTTTTGGTAACCAGCGTAATCGAGTGGATCACCAGTGAAGGTAATATCTCGGTGTTTAAAATATTGCTCATACACAGAATGACCTTGGCCATTGCACAGTCAGATGCGTAGTAGTATTGCCTACTCCAAAACAAAACTTAATATGTTTGTAACAAGTATGAGATCAGAACTGCAATCTCGTAAACAACAAAACACCTACGTTCCAGATAAATAAAACGAAACTAAATGTAGAAGTTCGACGGCATTTGATTGATATTACATAATTATGATTTACTATTCCAGGTGAAGTATCCAACATGAAGGCACTACTATTGGGATTATTGGTTGTCATAGTGACATGTGAAGAACAATGTAACACCCCAACATACCCAGATATAAATGGGAAATGTAACTGTGATCCAACGTCAAGCCAGCCATTCACAGTTAGATGTGACGGTCAGAACATAGGCAAGTTACCCAGCATTCCATCGGCCACGCATACATTGTACATTGCCAACGACAGAATCGAACAACTGAATATTCCCGGGACTTCAAAGGATCTTCAGGGTTTATTCATCAGAAAGTCTGGAATAAACAGCATTGCCGAAAATGCCTTTCAAGGAATGACGAAGCTAGGTGCTCTAGGATTAGAGGATAATAAGCTCACTTCGGTTGCTGCTAATACATTCAATGGCCTATCAAACGTAACGAAAATCTACTTGAGCAATAACTCGATAGACATTATAGAAGCGGAAGCATTCAATCTCCCCTCATTGAAGGATTTAATACTCAGTGGGAACCAAATAAAAGATTTGCCAAAGAATACATTCGGGGCAACTAGTCAGCTGACATCCATTGATGTAAGTGACAACAAACTGACCAGCTTAGCAGATGGCCTTGGACAGTTGACATCTTTAGAGACACTGCATTTAAATCGCAATCACATCGCTAGCCTTGGTGCCAGTAGACTGTTGTATCTTATCAGCCTCACCACGATACACGCTCACACCAATTATGTCAATAAAATTGGCCCCAAGGCATTTGATGGACTAGCCCAACTTAAAACACTAAACCTTGGGAACAATCAAGTTTTGGAAATATCAAAGGAAGCTTTTCAAGTTTGTAGATCAACAATTAAAGAGGTGCATTTACAGAACAACAATCTGTTTTCCCTCCACGAAGATACATTGCCGTGGGAAGATTTGACAACATTAAAACTCGATGGCAACCCATGGGCCTGTGAATGCGATTTGACATGGTTAATGACCGGGAATACAAATATGAAATACGGCAACCTTACGTAAGTATGAGATGATATGTCCACAAAACCCGCAGATTTTCACCATTCTGAGCACTTTTCACTTGATTTTTTAGCCATAACTGTCATACAGCTCCTTCTTGGCAAAAGCTCCCCTTTGGTAAAAGGCTAAAAGCTGGCTACGGGCGAGTATCACATGAAAGACTTGCCTTGTACTTTTTATGCGAATTATATGTACATTGTACAATGTGTCTCACCAATTTCCACTTGTTTCCAGATGTGACGCACCTGCTGAACTAAAAGGGACACCACTGGACAAGGTAGACCAAAAGGCGCTTGACTGCCCTGAACCCGAACCTAGTCCTAAATCTGGACTCTCCAAAACTCATCTGATCTTGGCCATTGCCATCCCAGCAGGAGTCGTCCTCCTAATAATCATAGTTGTCGTCATAATCTGCTGTAGACGCAAGAGAAACGCAGAGGGAACAAAGAGTGTGAAGTACAGCGCCGTCTATAAGCCAACGACAGAACAGAAAGCGTAAATAGATAGCATCGAAAGAAAATTGCTGTAGGAAAATAATGATTGAACAGAAAATTCATTTGGTTGTGAGAATCTGAAGTGTAATATAATTGTATATGTTTAGCGCATAAATATGTACATGCGATTGTATATTGTGATCCCGATTATTGCTTGCTTAATTTCTTCAAGTCAACAAATAATTTATAATGGTGTATATAATGACATAAAATATTTAATTTTAGTGTTGTCAGATGTCAACAAATCACTTTGATTATTAAATAGCATCTTAATATTTTCTGTTTGAACTTTTAATGAAACACGAAATGGGAGCTGGTGATATGGTTTACAAAGTAGATGTTTTGCAACTTCTTTAGTTTATATTATTAGTAGCCTAAAGCTTCATTTCTCAGTCAAGAAACCTTCTTCATTGGCAAACTTCGGTCACTGTCGTGTTCAATTGTATTGTTAAATACGCATTTATAATGTACATAATGTAAGTTTGTAATAAATATGTTTTGTATTTTTCACAACACTGCCATCTTTTTATAAAAAAAATAAAATAAACGTTCAGTCATTTTTGCTTTAAAAATACGAATCTTGTTTTAATTATTGGTTCAGTTCAGTGATGCGAACTCATACAGCATTAGCACGGGTGTTAAGCCACGATGATACCAAGAGCACATGCTTTGAGGATCCGCGTTGTTTGAACCTACCGCCGAGCTCACTTATACATTGGCCCCGCTACACAGTCATGATACCGCCGAGCAAGCTCATTGCATCATATGATCGGGTCTGCTTTACCCCCGTGATTAGGAAACACTAAAATAATTTGCCCTTGAAAACGAAAAATAGTATCGAGGGACTTTCCCATTAAATTGACTCCATGACAGGACACCATCTATTTTGAATTTTCAGATCCGATAAAATAATTGAACTATGAATACTTGGGTTGTTACTTGTCAGAACAGTTGGGCAAGAGTCAAACCACTTGGGAAGCCCAGAACAGTTGGGCTTCCACATATGTGTTAACAGGAAAGATGATATTGTGAACCATGGACAGAGATAACGCGTTCCAGCCAAGCATATCTATCCAAAACGAGGCTGCAACGCGGTTAAGACACACAGCCTATGTCTGCTACAGTTATAGTAGCATCAGAGGAGGAATAACACCAGAGTTCAAAGATGACATACGCTTATAATGTAAACCTGCATTGAGATGACATAGATCTCTGATTGGTCAAAAATCGACAAACGGTGGTTTCAAAATTCTCGAAATACGCTTCGAATAATATTATGTTCATTTCTGGCGTGTTAACCAATATCATAGCTTCTCATTTCACATCCAGATAAAGAAACGTGTACGGAATATGCCTATATCAATTAAAACATCCCATCGAAGTGTAGTATTTGATAACTAGCCGATGAAAATTCGAACGAACGAAGGTGGTAAGCAAAAGACGTAATTATGTCTGTCATCTTTGATCTGGGGCATTCCCTCCTCTTTAGTAGCATAATTTTTTTATACCATTCGGTGGAGAACTTTTCAGAGTATGTATATGTGCAGCTTCTTGAAAAGTCAATCGGGGAAATATATCCTGTGTGTACAAAGTCACTTGATGAAGATGATCGGGGCATTTTTCTTGCTTCAATCCTGTGTTTTTGACTTTGTCACTCGACGCATGTCTATAAAATCACGTATACACCACGGCAATCTATATTTCTTCAGACTTGCCAACCTAAAATGAAAAATTTTCGGGAGATTTAAAAAAATTGCGGTAGTTTTACGGGAGTTTTTTTCATAATCCGGTAGTTTTTGCGGGAGTTTTTTGAAAAAAACGGGAGTTTTTACGGGAGATTTTTGAAAAAACTGTAGTTTTTACGGGAGATTTAAAAAACGGGAGTTTTTGCGGTAAATTTTGAAAAAACGGGAGTTTTTACGGGAGATTTTGAAAAACGGGAGTTTTTACGGGAGATTTTTTAAAAAAGGTATTTTTCACGGTAAATTTTAAAAAACGTGACTTTTTTACGGAAGATTTCAGAAAAAATTGAGTTTTTGCGGTAGGTTCTGAAAAAACGGGAGTTTTTACGGAAGGTTTTGAAAAAACGGGAGTTTTTGCGATAGATTTTTAAAAAAACGGGAGTTTTTACGGTAGATTTCTGAAAAAACGGGAGTTTTTACCGTGTGAGGGGAACATATTAAACGAATCTACTGACATGACAGAAGTATGACAGAACTGGCCCCCGTTTGTGGACATTTGGTGTGCAAACTTATACCGAACTGATCGCAGAAAAGCAATTTGAATCATGGGAATGAAGTACTTTTAAGTTATTTATGAAAGTATCGATAGTGAACCATGGGAGCCAATCCTTCTCGTGGAATAAAAGAAAGAAGCGTGCCTGCAATAATCAAGGTCACAAACTTGTCAAATTCCTTTTAAATACGGTAGATTTTTACAGCAAAAAAAGGAGATTTTACGGGAGTTATACCAAAAATACGGGAGATTTTACGGGAGTTATACCAGAAAACGGGAGATTTTACGGGAGTTATACTAAGAATACGGGAGATTTTACGCGAGTTATACCAGAATACGGGAGATTTTACGGGAGATTTCAGCAAAAATACGGGAGATTTTACGGCCATATTTTAAAAAAAAATTACGTGAGATTTTAGTAGAAATACGGTACGGGAGTTTACCGGATTCTAGGTGGAAAACCAGGCATATTTTGGAAACGCAGTCCAGACACTACAGCAACGCGGGATCAGACTTCATACATATTTGACAAAACTGGAAACGCGGTCACAGCAATGAAGCTGGTGTTCTATCATGTACGATAATTCCTTTGGTGCCCAACGGACTTCGGGAAATGGGGTTGTTGGCCTGTTCCCCCTAGTTGGTGAGATAAATTTCCTATCAGTTTTCCGTTTATTTCCCTCGACATTTATACTAATTGAAGACGTGCTCCATATTCTTCTTCGTTTCGTTCGGTACAGGGACATATTGCCCTTGCTTTTTCAGAGAAAATGCGTTAGATGCCTGATTAAATCAAAAAACTCGATAGAAAAGCATAAGGCATCAACTACTTTGTGCTTTACAATACAGAGAAAGTTGGTGCCTGGGCCGCGTTACAATCTAATCTATGCTGTAGACGCGTTGCCATATTGCTGAAAATGACTGTGCCGCGTTTCCGGCGAGTTCAATTTTGTAAGCAGATTGCAAGAAAAACAAACAAAAGTTTCATTCTTTATTTGCATTGTACATTATATATGTGTCAGGCCATTCAATGCCAACGTTAAATACACCCTTCGTTACATTTTATGGCTTAATCCACGCAATACCACACACATGGAAACAATTAATTAGAAATAATCCAAATAACAAGAAACTTAAAAATGAAGAACTTCAAATTAAAGACCGCACAATCAACGTCAAAGCTATTAAAACTAAAACTATCTATTGGTATCTCATAGAGGATTTATTCGAAGAACCAACTGGTAAGAAATTCCTAACTACAAAATTTAATGTCGCAGAAGAGGAATGGAAACACATTTTCACTTTGCCTTTTAAGACTGTACGTGAACCAAGAATACAATGTTTTCAATACAAACTCATTTTAAATCTAACGCCAAACAATAACTCAAAGGATGATCAAAAATTCAAATCTGTGCGATATATGCAATGATAACAAAATCGATGATACCATACATTTTTATATTGAGTGCCCAAACTCTGCCAAGATTTGGGACGAATTCAAAATGTTCTTAATGCATGGAGTAGATATCATAAAACTGTGGTAACCTATGTTATCAAAGACTATTGTGCAATTGTTATGTAAACATTTGTAAATTATATTGTTTGTAAATCCTCTGTACATGGAGATGAGTTGTTGGAAATAGTATCTATTTGTAAACTGTAAAATAATTATATGAGCTTGTGTGTATATCATGTATGATGTATGTGTTAGATCCAATAAAAAAAGAAAAAAGACCTTTGATGAATGATTATGTTCAGTGGTCATGCAATAATACCTAAAATAATATCACATGTGTTTTTGTTTACAGGACAGAAGTCATTCTAGAGGACTATATACAGCTAGGTAGTAGATCGTATATTTTTAGGAACACCTAGGTTTCTCGGCCTTTTCTTGCACAATCCAAACAGATAATTAGCGACGCCATCTTATGGAGGCGACCCCAATCGTATTTCACTTATTAGGTTTTCATTTTAGCCGGGATTTTAACAACAACCCAAACTAATAAGCAAGAATTCAGTAATAAGTCACGATCGACAGTTTTATTGTGTATTTTGTCTGCCACAATATGATATATGTAGTTATCTCTAAAATAACTATGTTACATAGAATAACAACACGATAGACACGAGAGTAAACTGAAATACAATGGATTACGATTTTCGAGGGAGGATGTGCACTTTCGGAACATGCACAAATATTAACTACACGAAGGTCGAATGCCTATTTAGACCTAAATAATAACCCCTGTATACATGGTATACGCTCGTTACAGGTTGTGTAGCGTAGATCAATAAATACAAGATGGGGCTCCTGAAGGTTAAGTTAAAAATTGTAAATTATATATTCTTATGAAATTAATAAAGCATTATGGATGGCATAACCAATGTAATATTCATTATACAATAATTAGCGAAAAGAGCTAATCTCATAGAACATCTCACAATTTATCTATAAATATAGATAAATAATGTCCTTATCGTATCAAACCCTCGGGAGCACCATCAATAGTAGCACAGAAAGTGGACATGGATTACATGTGAAAGTATTATATTTCCTTCAGTTTTATGAACACAGTTACTTTGCCAGATGAATAGGGAATTGTGAAACATGTTTCTGTATGCTCTTATCGGATTGTTATCAATTTACTGTCTTATTCTGATCATAAGGTATTTAACCAAACCAAGGACCAATGCACCAGGTCCAAAGGGATGGCCATTATTTGGAAATGCCTTAGAGTTCGACATAAAACATTCGTCCGTGCAGATGGCAAAATGGGCGAAGAAATATGGGGATGTCTTTAAAATAAACCTACTTGGAGAAGATATCGTCGTCATCAATGGGGAGTTATGCTATGAAGCTCTTGTTAAACGTGGCGATGATTTTGCAGGACGACCAATTCGTAATCGCAGTGATTGGGTAACAGAAATGCGTGAAGATATAGTATTTGCTGATATGAGCCCAGAGCAAAAAAAAAGAAGGAAGATTGCTCACAGTGGCTTAAAGCAGTACGGAACTGGAATGGCTCATATCGAACAAGTAAACGCCAAAGAGATCAAAGCTTTCTTGAAAATAGTGGCGGACAAGAAGTGCTCTCCGTTCGATCCCCGTGCTGACATTTACAAGTGCGTCATTAAGATTATTACTTTAATGGTGAGACTCTTAATATGTATAAGGACACGATTCATATTTTAACTCTTGGATATCGTGCTAAATGCTCAATGGTTGGTGCAACAAAGGTGATAGGGTTTCATTGAAATTTGTGTTCTAACTTCTAAAAGGAAGACCTCGTCTACTTCACCCCCTTATATCTTCACCAACGAGGGCTTGTAGCTAGACTAATATGTTCCTGGGGCGATAACAAGTGTAGATCGATTCTTTAAGGTGGACTATACTATAGTACTATAAAGTTCATAAAGTTTTATGTTAGTCTCAGGATCAATTTTCATCTAACCTTTTTGTATACCATTAACAATACATCCAGTTAAATAGATTACATTGAAATTCGAAATCTACCCAGCTATGAATAACATTTCTAAAGAAATTCTATTTAAAGTAAATAGCTTTGAAACCATATTTTACATATATTTACTTAGTTACAAGTTTTTATACAGGGTTGCCAGTTTAGTAAACGGGGCAAATAGCCTTTTAATGCTTGATACAGACAATATGATAGAGAACATAGGCCAAGGTCGATAAAAATAATTTTAAATAAAGATGGCATGGTAATCGATATGTGTTTATTTATAATTTCCCAAAAAGATAATACTTGATTGCTGGTGCTGCCATCTTTATATCGACCTAAAACCTGTGTTAGAGAAGGGCCCAAACTTTATTTGGTACTTGAATGATCCAGAAGTAACAGTTTAGTGGAGGGGCATTTTTTATTTGGTACTTAATTAGTGAATGCAAATAATGGGACACAAATCACCTATTTCAGTTTGGAGTACTTCTTGAATACTTTTGAGAATTGATGAATCAAACTACTCTGCAAACTGTAAAAAAGAATCACCAACAGACAACAATTCTGAGATAACCCCAATTTAATATCTTGAACCTGATATTGCAGGGCCTGCAAATGTTCTATTTTTAAAAATCGTGATAAATTCCATTTTCAGTAAAAAATACTCGCCCCTCCCTAAGGTAGGCCCAGAAAACATTTAAGGGCTCACATTTTTTGACTTCTTTTAATATATCTGGTAAAGCTAGCCGTACACCAATGGCACAATGTCTGACTTTGTCCCTTTGTCCGTTTTGTCCCAACTTGTCCCTTCGTGTCCCATGAAAATAGTTTACTCAATAACTCCCTTGATGTCTCATCATGTCCCATTGGTGTACGCCTAGCTTAAGATGTCAATGGCAATCCAGTGTTGTTGAGAAACTTGTAGATTCCCGTGAGTTACCATTGCCCTCTTACCAGGTTTACTAAAAGAAGACTATGAAATGGTGCTTTCCTGATAAAAGCAAGGAAATACACATTTGCCTTCATACTTTATTTGCACCAGAAATAACATGTGCAGGTATACCAATTTTTTCAAAAATGTTTTCGTTTCACAAGTACCTTAAGGTAGGTCATTTAAACTGTTTTGTCATACTATATAGTGCCTGTTTGCGTATTGTTTTACAGCTTTTTGGAGAGGCTATGACAAACGAGGATGACATCAAGACTATTGCAGAGTTGGACGAAGCTATTGAAACAGCCATTGGGGCAGCTAATGGATTTGAGCTTGATAATTTTCCTTGGCTCCGGTTCTTTGGGAACAGAACCTACAAAACAATAGAGTATTTCGTAACTACCCGAAATGAGCTATTTGATAAGTGGCTTCCTGACTCAAAGGTATCCACAAGCTCAAGCAAAATACCAACAGAATCATTTTCAAATCTCAAAAGTCTCAAATGTAGATATCCTGATAATATTAACTATCAAGCCTGTTATTTATATGAAATTAGATAAACATGTTGTATTTTAAGAGTTTCTGATCGAGTATTTGATTTAATTATTTCTATTCAATTGTGTTTCGTATAATGTAGGATACGACGGAGAAAGGCAAGATTCGGGGCATGATCGACTGGTTACTAGAATAGTATCGCAGGAAAGCGACCCAACCGTCACTGATACCAATGTTCGAATGATAATAATGAATCTTCTACACGCAGGTATATTACTTTGTAGAGTAATTATGTCAGTCCACGATGGTGTATTTAGATTAGAGACACTTCCATTGTTTTGCATTAAGTTTTATTTCTCAGATAGTGTATCTCGAATAAGAGTTTCAAAATTAAACTCGCCCGCTAAGTTTCACCATTTGGAAGGTTTGGACATGGGTGTCCGCTTTAAAAAAAATTACCTGCTTATGATGGTTCACTAGTTTTTTCCTATTTAGGAAGGAAGCCAAATGGTAATCAATGTATACTTAGTTAAAAATAATAATTTGTGGCAGTAAACAAACATCAAATGTCTCTTCATATTTTACTTTATAATAGTCTTATAAATTAAAAAACGAAAACGATATGAATGAGTGGGACAAACAGCGTCACTTGATTGACCCTTTTCATAAGAATTTCATACCACTGTTTGTTTATTAAAATTTTAACATTTAAGAGTATCTCCCATAATAATAGATTTTCTACATGTAAAATGCCCGATTAGTAGTGTACTGTGCATACGTTTTTTCTTTGAAACACCTTGAAAATGACAGAATCCACCATTTACATACAGTGAGTATATACGATGATAAGATCATATAACAATCCTCTCCGTCTACTTTGGCAATTCAACTTTCTTAGATTCCGTCGTGTTACAGTGGATGCATATCATGTACCTGTAAATGTAGTTTGACTTTATTTTCTGCTAAAAATTTCTATGCTTTATTTCTTCCGGGGAGATACGACGTCAGATACTGTACATCACGGCGTAACATTGTAATTGTTCATTTTACCGACAAAAGGCAAATATTTACGCGATAAATATGCGCAATGCTCTTCCAAGTAATTGCAAAAGTTTTAATATTCGTGGAATCTTCTTAAAAACTTCAAGTTTTGTTCAGATTAATATGCGCTTCAATACAATTCTATATTCAAAAAGGTTGTGTCACGATAAACAGAATTAGAATCACCAGAAAGTAGACATTTCAAACCCTACCCGTTTTCTTCTTTGTCGCGCTTTTCGGCCCTGCGCTCTCGTTGTCGCACCGTCTTTCTAGACTCTTTCACAGTGCCCCTTGTCATATTCAACTGATATACACAGACGGGAAGATATTAAGGATTGTTAAATGCATTATTTGTAATTTATTTTAACTCGAATATTTAGTTTTATTTATTTTAAGCAATGAATAATAAAGGAGAACATATAATACGCTAACGGCGTAACGTCTTATTTTGTAAAGGCTTCACTTGGGGTTGTGGTGATAAAATGATGTCTATCTCAATATATACTGGTTCACATTAAATGAAATTGATTGTATGTAGTAAGGGGTATATTTAAAAGATCATGCTGAAACATTGGGAAGTTTTGAATTAGAAATATTTGAACTCAAAAAATGAAACGTAATTATGTGAATTTTTCACATGGCTTCACTTCATATTTCTTTCAATTTATACTTCTTACAGACTGAATTTTAATCGAAATGATATAGTTTTTTGATAAAAATATAGAATATGATATGCCTTTCAGGAATCAAAAAAGAATAATTCACCTTTCAAACGATTTAATGTTTAATTGATCAAAATATATATCTTGTTGGTACGAAATTCTGCCTGTCCACACTTTTTTTGCATAAATATAAGCGTTAAGTTAGCATTGTTATATTATGACGTCATCACACAGAATCTATTTGTCTTTTCCAAAATGGTAAATTTAAATATTGTGAAAATTTGAGAAAGATCCGTTAGGAAATGAAAAAGTTATCTTCATTTTTCGTTTAAAATTAAAATCATTTTTCTTCAAAATGTTACAGTCCACACCCGGTTTTAGCATAGAAAGTCGCATAATACGGCTTGCGTGATTCTCATTTAAAAAGTCCCAACTCAGTTATTTGGAATTCTGATAGACAAAATATTTCATGGACATACGTGTTCAACTGATGACGAAAAATTGTAGAAAAATATGATTTTGCTGTCGAGATATTGCGGTTTTAAAAGTAAGTACGCATGTAAATATGCAGTAGAATGCCGCAATGTACAGTATCTGACGTCGTATCGGAGAGTTTCTAGTTTTTAATTTTTTTTGAAGGCATCACAACAACAGAGAGCACCATTGAATCAGGGATTCTCATATTGATGAACTTTCCGGATATCCAAAAGAAAATCCAAAAGTCTATTGACGTAGGGGTTGGACGAGACAGGTAAATACATGTAGAGAGTCACCTGTGTATGAGGCAAGGTAATAGTGTTGAGGTAAATACACATGATGTGAATTTTAATTCTTGTAATTACTAATAATCAATTCAATGGATACACTGTTTTTCCAACATTTTACGTAGATACCAGATTGCCACAGGATCATACTGGACTGCCTCAGGACCATACCAAACTGCCACAGGTTCAAACCAGACTGCAAAGGAATCATTACAGACTATCACAGGACCAGACTCACACAAGATCATGTCAGACTGCCACAAGATCATACCAGACTGCCACAACATCAAACAAGACTACCACATGATCATACCCGACTGCCACAACATCATATCATATCCACATTTTATGTAGATACAATCTACCACAAGTTCACACCACACCACTACAGGATCATACGAGTTTGCAACAAGATCATACCAGATTTCCAAATGATCCTGCAAGAGACTGTCATAAGATCATATGAGACTGTCAACGGATCATACCAGACTACCACAAGATCATTCCAGACCGCCACTTGATCCTACCTGACTACCATAAGATTATACCAGACTGCCACAGGATGATACCACACTACCACAGACTGCCACAAGATACTACCTGACTGCCACAAGGTCATAACAGACTGACACAAGATCACACCAGACTGCCACTGAATCCTACCTGACTACCACAAGATCATGCTAGACTGCCACAGGATGATACCACACTACCACAAGATCATACCAGACTGCCACAAGATACTACCTGACTGCCACAAGGTCATAACAGACTGACACAAGATCACACCAGACTGCCACTGAATCCTACCTGACTACCACAAGATCATGCTAGACTGCCACAGGATGATACAACACTACCACAAGATCATACCAGACTGCCACAAGATACTACCTGACTGCCACAAGGTCATAACAGACTGACACAAGATCATTTCAGACTGCCGAAAAATCATAACACACTGCTACAAGATCATACTTAACTACCACAAGACTGCCACATACCAGACTGCCACAATATCATACCCGACAACCACGTGCACAATATCATACCCGACAACCACGTGCACAATATCATGCCCGACAACCACAGGATCGTACCAGAATGCTACAGGATCCTACAAGACTACCACAGGATCCTACCTGAGTGCAAAAAGGTCATACAAGACTATCATAAGACCGTATCATACTGCCACAAGATCCTACCATCTTGCGAAAGAACACACCAGACTGCCACAGAATCATACCAGGGTGCAACAAGTTCATATCAGACTACCACATGATTCTAGCAGACTACCGCATGATCCTACCAGACTGCCACAAGACAATACCAGACTTAACAATGATAAAAAAAAAGTGAAGAAAAATTAAGAAATCAAACTGCAATCGACCTTTTGTAGGACAATTTAAGATTCGTAAATTGGTAAAATATCATTTTATACCATACAGATTTCTACCATACTTACACTGTAAATGACAATTTGGCTAAAATGCAGCCTTGGCTGCATCAAAATGATGATGACGACAAATGTGTGAGTCAATAACTTAAAGGTCAAATTGTATGCATGTACAGTGATCAACAGTTTTACGTTTATGGCACATATTTAATTAGCAACTGCCAAATATTTTACTCTTAGGTTTCCCACATTAGATGATAGAAGCAACCTCCCTTACGTTGATGCATTCATACTCGAGATCAATCGCTACATATCAATCGCCCCGTTTACTTTACGAAAATCTACAAAGGATTCTAAACTAGGAGATTATTTCATTCCAAAGGATACACAGGTACCGAGGTTAACAATAGGGAGTTTAAGCTTGCATATAAAATCGAAACGCAAACCTATACGTATGACCAATCGCCCATACAAATGCATCGCTTAGATATTTTCCGTTCACGTTTAGGTTGTGAAAAACATTGCAAGCTTAAACTCCCTATTATCTATCAATGCAGTGTTTAAATAGTCAATTCGCAAAATAAATCAACTGTGGCCTCGTATGAAAAGTTGTAAATAAAGAAAAACTGTTAACATGTTTGCACACCAGAGTAAAAAACTAAAATGAGTTACAAAACGGCAAGAAGGATAAACATCAAAGATGACAACATGTCATGATAAAAAAAACAAGTCCCATATATCCCAAGATATGATTTTACGAGAAAAAATTGTGTGAGGAGTTTTGTAGTAGAGTCTTACCCAATGCTACCAATGTGTGATAGACCTATGAAAATAAGAATATATGGCACAAACGATTTTAAGTTGCACCACTCCCAATTTAATCTATCACGCTCCATATTTAGGTTTGGGTGAATTTGTTTGGTGTTCACCACGATGAGCGCTACTTTGCTGATCCATGGGCGTTTAAACCAGAACGTTTCCTTGACGAGAATGGTGACGTGATTCCAGTTGATCAAAGAAAGATGTAAGATATTATCTTAGTGTGGAATTGTACATTTGATTTATAAGCTGCTTGAGAGATGGCATCAATACAAATCATACTTGTTTGTAATTTTATTATCTGATTATAGGCTGATGCCATTTGGAGCAGGAAGGCGTGTTTGTGTCGGTGAACAGTTGGCGAGGGCGCGATTATTTCTCTTCTTTACTGCAATGCTGCAGAAGTTCACCTTTCTTCCGCAAGAGGGCGATAAATGCCCATCATGTGACCCAAGGGGATATACCGTTGGACTTATATCACGACCAAATAGTTATAAAGTACGAGCAATCCTGCGCACTTGAATTATTGTATACCGCTTGAACTACGATAAAACAACGTATTACTACATGATTTAAAATATGGAAAGAATAAAAGAATGAGTGTCTATCTATAGCCAACAATTTCCAATTTTCAATTATTTTACTTGTTTATCTATGAGAGCGTTGTACATGTATATTGGAGATATATTAATCAACCTGAAAACATTAATTGTGCCATGTAAAATACATGAAAGAAATAGAATGACAGAATTATAAACAAAAATTGAAGTCACAAAATACAGAGAAGATTAGGTCGATACATTTTGAAGTGTTATATCGTGGGGCGAGTGCTACTACACTTTACTTGAGGGCAGAGGAAGGCATACAAAATACACAAATGGAACACATATTGGACGTTCATAACACGGACGGCTATGGCAGTCTGGCCCAAGCAAAACCAAAAATGACAATCTAGTGACATCTTGTATGCCAGCTTTGTTCAGCTTTATAAAAACTATACTTTTAATAAGTGTATACTATACTAGTAGTTCGCCTATCTGGTGTCTAAATCATTGTGCCACGCAGTTCTACTCTAACATTTTGAGAAAACAAGGAAAGTAAACGTCTCACATATTTACGTCCAGATAGCAATAAGAATAAATGTGAAATATTCACTTGACTTAAAATGTTTATGTTTTTCATTCAACTTATAAAAGGCTTTGAAATGACACTTGTCAAGTATTTTCCTTCAAAATAAAAAATTAAGTAATATTATATATTAAACTGAAAATGTCTCATTCGTGTTAAAACGATATTGTGCTTGAAAATTGGTAATAACCGAAGCATGTAAAATAAATGTGATTTTAAAAAGAACTAAACACAAACGTCCTTCTTTTACCTCTTCCTCGCCCTCCGTTTGTATTTTCGCCAGTCGTTTCCTCACTCCTCACATCTCTCTGTCCTGATATATTAGGCACGTCGCAAAACAAAAAGTTTGTGCACGTATTGTTAAACATTTAGCTTTTTAACACGATTAGAATGTGACGTTTTTGAGACACATATGGAAATCCTTTTTTAATTATAATTGTTTACTTCTGTTTGCATATATGTCACTATTATGTGTATGTCATAAGTTACGAGAAATTGCGTATTTTTATGTTTACATGTAGATGACGATGTGATCTTTAAATACTGCCTTACCCGGTACTGCCTTACCCGCCATTCTTATAGGCATTCAAATACCGAATCTCGATGTATCCATTAAAGTCCAACCTGTTCACACACTAATGCTGCTAAAAGTGTGCGCCATGTGGCCATATACGTCGCCCAGTTAAAGGTGTTATAAAATGGCAGTCAAAATCACTGAAAATATTTTACTTACACCACAGAATAATATTTTGCCCAACAAAACATGACTTTAACAAGATGAAACTGTCAATATCTTGACAAACTCTTGATGCGTCATTTTGCAATTATGTCACGGGACATAAAAAGTTATTTGGTATTCATATATATCATTTTCCAATTAATCCAAAACCCCTCTTCTTCCTCCCATTACCCCCCCCCCCCCCTCCGTCCCATTTTAATTATTTTCGATTATTTTCAAATAACGTATGAAGACTCAGCAATGACATTAATTTTGTGACGATGACATCACTTAAAAGTATAACAGATTGTATAGATTTGTTGCTTGATTTATAGCAAAAACATTGACTTGTGCACATTGGTGGCATGTGGCCTTTTTTACTTCTCATATCTTAGAAGCGTATCGGTTCAAAAAATCCTAGAAGACCTAATATATTTTACCATATCATACCTATTCATTTAGCAATTTAATTGTTAACTTTCTTGTGAAAAAAATCTTCCAAGATTTTTTGAATTTTTTAGCAGAAATTGCCCCCCCCCCCCTTCGTCCCATTTACCGACCACCTGGCGTGATTTGACTGGTTTGCAGAATGCAAGTTAATTACCAAAATAAACGAAGCATGCAATTGGACAGATTCTCGACGATAATTTTTCAAGTAAACAAATATATCAATATATTAATGTAAAACATACACCTTATAACAGATTGTAAATTGAGACTAGATAAGAAAAATAAATCATATCTATACTAATAAAAATTATCTACACAGTTGTCAAAATCGTCCTACTTCAAAACAGTTGAATGGACTATCTAAGGACAAATGTCGCTGCAAAGAATTGTCAGTCATTGGTACTTCCAAAACCTCAGCAGCTTGGTCATCAGTTAACAGACCATCATGAACATCAGCTGTTTGTTTATCATCATAGTAGGAATCCCGATCATCTTCAGTTGCGGGTCTTTTAAGTATAGATCGTTGTCTCTTGGGAGCAATGCTTGGATTGTGGTTTGAACTACTTTCATGTCCTTCATAATCAGTTGATTCATCGATTGTAGATGACCCAAGTGTTATATAAGAGCCATTGAAATTAGCGTCTCCGTGGTTCGAAGTTATCATGATCTCCCTTGATTCAATTGTCTCATTTTGCGTTGCACCACACATTAACGATATGTCAGACGTTTCAGCAATATTGCTTTCATTGGAATTAATCGGATTTCTGTCACAGGGTTTAGGGGATGAGGAAGCCTCTGGTGTGAAGTCAACTCCAATATCCTCAAGTATATCATTATATGATTCCTCCTCATCGACGGTATCATCACGTCTACTCAAAGGGATGGTCGTTATTGGCCGATTCATCCTCTGAAGAATTAGTTGTCGTAGTGTTTCTGCTTGATCAGTAAAACTCACATCATTTCGATGTGAGCCCCTATTATCATAGGATACATTTCCATTATCATTTGAGTCATACGAAGTGTGACATTGAATATTTTCTGAACGGCTCTCGTTTGTAGTGCTATCCAGTGGAATATGCTCATCTAAGGTTTGATTATGTTGGTATGGTGGTGGTAGTTCTATATGTTCATTATTGCCATTGGCGGCACCTTGCTCGTTTACATTGTCATCATAAACCCTGTTGTACATAGGTGGTGGACAGTTTCTCACACGACAATCCATATTAGAGTCCATTTCTCCTCCTGGTAAACCTGAGTCTGTTCTGACCACTGCATTGACGTCAGTAGAGTTACCCTGTCCATTTGAATGTGTACGAACACGAAGCACAATTTCTGTGTAAGTATCCGATTGTGTTTGGCCGTTGTTGAACGCAATGTTATCATAGGAAGGAGGCATGTTTTGAGCTGAAACAGGCTCGTCGTATCGTGGTAATCGCGGAAGGTTAGCAGCAATTTCTTCTTCTGGGAGACTAGTTTGCGTTTCCTCAGTGTCTGGAGTCTGTGTTTTATGACATCTCAAACAGTTGGAACTCTTGCAACAACAGCAAGCAAGAATGATACATATGACAATGATGCCAGTTCCTGTGATGATGAGACCAATAATAAAGTGGAAGGCATTCTCTGGAAATAGAATATCTATGAATCAAAAGTTGGAATATATGAATGATACTCATTGTTTTAAACATTTACCCTAGTCAAGTGCATTGACACTGCTGCGATATTCGGTGATCAACTGTGAATTTATAAGCTATTCGATTTAATCAACTCACCAGTACGTGTAGTTTTACATCTTTCAACGTCTTCATCACTCCTATCTGGACAATCTTCTACTCCATCACAAAGACTGTAACTACGGATGCATGTCTTTCCATCGTAACAGGCAGAATACCCTGGCCTACACCCCGTGGCTGAAACAGACAATGGGTGAACTCAATAGTACAAATGAAGTCTTTCAAACATTTCTAAATATGTAAGCAACATCTAACAAACAATCTGTCAAATCGTGGAATAGAACCCCAGCATATCAAACAAAAAGCGAACGTACAAAGTAATAGTGTGTGAACCCCAATCCTACCCGGCATTTTGGAACAATTACTATCCCAATCGTATCACAATCCCAAATTATAACAAGTATTTACATGTGCATATAATGTCCTCCATTGCATCTAGATTTTCATCAGAGCCATCATTGCAAAATGTGATGTTATTGCACAAGCTCTGACCATCAACGCAGGCCCCATTCTTACATCTGAAATGGGAGCGACGAGTACACAGAGGCAGGTCCGTATCTGAAGACAAGAATTTTCAAGCATATCAGAAGAAACAAGGGAAACCTTTCAAAACAAATACACTAGATTATGCTAAAAAGAGCGTATAAGTACTTTAATAACAATAACTACCGTTGCAGCCAGCGTGAAATGAGTCCTCGTCCGAGCCATCTTCGCAGTCAATATAACCATCACAAAGCTTGGAGGATTCTATGTATGTTTCTTCACCTTCGCCTGCACAGCAGTACCAGTCGGGTAACGTACATCGTTCACTCACTACAAGCAATATATTCACAATGCAAGTAATATATGCACAAGTTGTGCAAAGGAAGACCAAATCATGTTACAAACACAGACAAGAAACATGTTTAGAACTATCTAAGCCCACACACAACAGACACCTCCATTGTATGTACAATGTATTATATAACATTCCCCTCCAACCTTTCAGAGCTGTTGTCCCTTAACATAACATCAACCCCTTGAACTCGAAGAATGAAAATGGGTACTTTGCTCTTTTTCAAATACTTCTATGGTCGTTTTATCAAAACTTCATATATATATGGACTTAACTATGCACGCGAACTGTGCTCTTATATTATGTTTCTCTTGAATTTGTATTAATTGTAATACTCCTTGTGTTTTTCCCATTTTACACATCTACTTACATATTGATGATAATAATCATACAAATGTATTTTTCAATAACAATAAATCTTACTTTGACATGTTTTGAATGATTCGTCAGACGCATCCTTGCAGTTATCGACGCCATTACATATCATTGTATCTGGAATACAGTTGCCATTCTCACATGGAAACATGTTGGTCTGATTGGTGCAATTTTCACCAACGATGGACATGATATGGTCTGAAATGAACAAAATCAACCGAAATCATTCATTATTATGAATTTAATTAATTAATTTCCTGTTCAACTTAATCATTTTCAGCTAGGATGAGTTAAGCTAGTTTTGAAGTTATTGCTGTAGAAACATTAGTCTTAGTTCAAATGATTGCGATCCCAGGTTAGGACTTGATGTGGACTATATATCGTTAACAACTGACAATATTTTCATTATGAAGTTACAAAGGATCAACATACGAGGGTTGATCATAAAGTTCTCATAATATCTCTCTAATTTCTTTATTTTTCAATATTTTCCTATGAAATTTTCACAGAATGTGCAGCATGGAATGCTTTATTAATCCAACAAACAATATTTAGAATAACAGAAATATTAAATAAGAAATGGTTGCCATAGTAACTTGAAATCAAGGCACCCGGGGCAAATAAAAAAACTAGCTAGAATAGCCCCCCATTAACCATGTTTAAATACAATATAAGTTGTCAAATGAGATATCAAACACATTAAATTGTCAAATAATATGGGCTCTTGACTGTTGTGAACTATTATAATGGTCATGTGAATTGTATGATCTCATAATGGATGATTGTTATGCTTCATTAGAAGTGACTGTTAGACCCCTTGACTGTTTTGTCAAATATCCCGAGGAAAATTGATTATGCCCCTTTAGTTCATTTTAACATGTACAGACCACACACAGGGTGTAATTTTGTTGATATCTTAGCAATATATTTGTTTTAGATCATGTTTAGTCTGACCAGAGGATCTTACAAACTTAACATAACATTTTATCAGTATGAATTTTATTTTTCTGAAGATCTCTGCATCTATCGCATTCTCTTACTCAGTCATTTCTGATCATTAGCTTTGAGTCTCAGACTCTGGTATCACATCTAACGGAGCATGAAAGCACCCCCTATGACATGACACAATTTACACGATCGCTTTATTTAATTGTTAAAGCACTTTACAACAAATTCAAGTTAACATTTTAACGTGCTTGGTAATTCATGAGAGTTTATTATGTATGTAAACATGGTTAATTAAGCTCATTCTCTCAATTATTTTTATTTGCCCCGGGTGCCTTGATTTCCCGTTACTATGGCAACAATTTCTTATTTAATATTTCTGTTAAACTAAATATTTTTTGCTGAATTAATAAGACATTCTATGCTGCACATTCTGTGAAAATTTCATTAGAATATATTGAAAAATAAAGAAATTAGAGAGATATTATGAGAACTTTATGATCAACCCTCGTATAAGTTTCTCAACATGACTTTATACCAATTACCTAGATGAACCTGTCTAAATTCAATCAGAAACCCGGATCCCTTTGTCCAAATAGCCGAACAAGATACTTCCAACATGACAAACTGCCCAACAGACCATAGCAAAGGTGGTGTTTGTGACCCGCACAGTCTAATCGATTGAGAAGCCGAATCTGCAATGAATCCTGGCGCGTCTTGCTCTGGTAAGTCAATGACGTCACTCGATTCAACCTGGAGATGGACATCAAGTTCGTGTTGGCAAACGCTACCGAACATATCCATGCTGATATTTAACACATGTAGTTCGATAACTCGATTTTCTTCCGCTTTTAGGATGGTTCTACAGATGTAAGGGCACATGAACTGTTCATTCGTGTACATGAATATCCTCCCATCTTCTGGTATCTGTAAGACCTTGCCACAATATTCTGACATATCATCTGTAATATAAGATAAATGGAGTTGCATGTGTCGTACCAATTATTTCTTATAATGTGACCTCTCAGATAAGATCTAGAACAATTCAAGAAGACAATAATAAAGAAGAACAAGAGATGTTTGGAATTGTCTCAATATTTATACTATATAATGCGGTCTTTGAGATAACAAAACCAACCTTGACAGGTGTCACTGCCTTGACTCTCAAATACTTATGCAATAAAGCCTTATTTGCAATCAATCATTACCGTGTGCTTAATACAATGTGGACGCGGAGACAGATGACCATTGCATTCATTTGGATTTTACTATTTACCAGTATTTGCAAAATAAAAACAAAACAATAATGCAGGTGTACTCACATGTAGAAGCATCATTGCTAATAGAGAGCCTTGGTCCAAAGGTAATAAGGCCAACAATTGTAAAGATCGATATTACGTTGGTTAAACTTTCCATACCATACTGTCTTTACTTACTGGGTAGATTGCGTTTTATATTTTAAAAACACATCAACCTCAATCATGATGTTGTATTACTGTACGTATATTCACCAGATGTAACAAATTTTATAAAAGAACTTTGAATCTTTAACATAGATAGCGTCAAGTTCATAAGTAGTTCATTTATGAATTGGTTAATAAGTAAAACATAAATGGCGTTATTTTAATCTTGGAGATAAAAATGACAAGTAGCGACTGGTACCATGATGCGGATAAGAGCTGCACAGTAATGTGTTTATTGGCTGTAAGATGTCAGGTCAATGAATGGACGTAAAGTTTACATTAACCACCCAAACGAAATTAACCATAAACCCACTTATTAGATGGCACTGTCTCCAGCAGCAAAAGGTGACATAATTTTTATTATTTGCATTTGAGATTTTATAAACTCAGTACAGGGTGACTCAAAATGCAACTCTCTTTGGAATGACTTGCTGGGCTCGCTTTTTGAAAGATTTGTTGGAAAAGCATTCCTATAGTTATCGATGCGTTATAATATACCATTGTTTCACGCATGAACACGGTGGCCACGACTCTGAAACTGTGTCTTTTTTATTACAATATTCAAAAATATATTGTAAATAGTATAGCTGCTGTTTTCCAAATGAAATTATTTTCAAATTAACACATACAGGGTGGGCCAAAAAACGCCACTTTTTTTCAAGACACTATAACTTTTTTATTTTCCAACCTACATACCCCAAATTTTGCAGTTATATAGTGCCAAGGGTTCTTAGTAATAATATAATGTAACAAGTCCTTCAACTGGGGTTATATTTGATCTAAAAGAGGAGTTCAATTGGTCTGCCACCCTATTTGATGATAGATTTTAGTTTTAGTCGCCTTGCTGATATAGCAGTATCAATGAAATGTTAGCTATATTTTTTTCAATGTGTCTTAATTGCCAGCTTTAGTTGAGCAATTTTTAGATTGGGTGCCTCATACCATCTCCTGGAGGCCTTCCCATACCCTATACTCACTGGGGTTTGCATTAGGACTATTAGCTTGGCGGTCATCAGGGCGTATCAGTTCAGGAACATTTTGCAAATTATGCTTATTTCTCATGGCACACCACATGTTAAAGTGAGACGCTGATGACATATTTTATTCAAGTAAAAGTGTATAATTCATGATCCCTGGCTAAATAACAACTTCAAGTTTCATTTGGTATGCAAATTATGATTTTGTATCAAAAATTAAAAAAGTTATAGCATTTTTTTGGCCCACCCTGTATATTTTATTATGGATACATACCGAGAACATATCAAGAGTTGTGTATGACTGACTCTCATTCAGAACCCTAATGGTCTATGACGAGGAAATATGGTAAGGTTAAAACGAAATAATATATATTGTACATAAAACACCGCAAAGTCAACATTTATATGTTCGTACATGAAAAAAGGTGTTATCTAGGCTCTTAAACTTCCTTGAATTCCCTTTGATTTTTTTCAATTTTGTGAAGTCACTGAGCTAAAAGAAGATCCCGCCATCATTAAAAAAATGTAAGAAGGTTATTTTTAAATTAGAGGGTTAAGACCTATGTCTGTATGTTTACTACCTTATGTAAGTTGCGATGCATTCCACAACTCCCTCTCTACAACGTAGAATTGCGATTATGTCATCTTTGGTTTAATTGATTTCCATAGCAAATAGATTTGTCTGACAACTTAAAAGCATATATCACTGCAAATATGAATGTAATTTGATAAGTGTGCTTACAAATATGAATGATTATAACTAAACGTCACTAGTCTCTCACATCTCAACAAATGATAAATGAATTTTGCGTTTCTAGTATACTATTACTCCCATTATAAGTTATCAAAAATGCCATTCATAGATTGCACACATTTCACATCGTAACTCACATCTTAGGTTTATAACGAGACAACACCAGGCCATAAAGAAAATACTAATAAATCATTGTCTTGGAAAATGAGCAAAATGGGGTTCATTTCCAACGAGCTTCTCACAGGAACACAATGACATGAATGAGTTTTTAATTAAAACAAGTTACAAAATAGAAATTGATAATGATTTCAATTTACCCCAGACGTTGATGCATTGGAGCTCTCATTGATTGTGAATACCATATATCTAGTCGACTCCTCTGAGAACGCCCGCAGTATTGAATGATAAAATCATTGATAGTAGAAAAACACAATAGGCTTACAGTGTGCAAATGAAGATCACATGGGGACGGGTAATGCTTGATTAATCAAATATACAATTCATAGTCTTGCCTGTAGAAGACTAATAAATTTACGAAATTGGTTTATTGTTGAATATTTTATTAGGTAAAGAGCAATAGCAGATATATGATATTATAAGCAAGTAAGCTGGAAGCCAAACGTGATGACGAAATTCGACTTTTATTTGATTAGGGAGACATTATCGCTTACAATGCACAGCTTAAGTACTTTTAATTTCTATTTGCCATAACGAATTCGAAAGTATTACCATACTTAAAGCCTCACTATGCGTATCTTTAACATTTTTGGCAAAATAAAGACTTACTTTTGAGCTTCGTGGTATTTGCAATGGATTGTTAAGTACTTTATCTTTCATAAGACATCAAAAACAACTCAAACGGGCCACGTCAAAGCTAAGAATACATTATTAAAAATATTTTTGATCTGTCAAGTTTTTATACATTAAGTTTTTACCAATGTTAATGAAAGATGGCGAAGTTGTTTGTAGTATACGGTTCATTCATTTTTTATAGAAGTGTCACAATCTTTCAAATCAAGAGTTATTTAAAAACATGCACTTTCTCAAAAATGTGCATGCACTACTTAAGAACTCTGAACTTCAAATGCTGTTTTCTTTGTGAATTATTTTTTTCTCGGTTCAATATTAATGCAAATCGAGCTTTGTATCTTATTTGATTGAGATTGGGACTTTAACTATACCAACGGGAAAAAAATAAGAAAACTAACATACCCGGAGAATCGCTACTGTAGAGGCCATTGATTCTGTTTTGTTCCCTTTTCTGCTCTTTTTGCTCTTACCCATATGCTGTAAAAGTATTTGAGACTAATAATTCTGTAAGTCTGATATTAATAGTCGTAATATCTGCAATTTAATTTGATGAGTCTGGTTATCCTTATTTGCTCATTATTTCACATTGGAAAAATCGCTATCTAGCTATTATTTAAATTCACAGCTTATTTATGTGTAAGTTGCACTTTAAACGTTTTTAAAAATCTGAATCCATCGTCTTGGAGTGGTACCAGAAGAATTTTGTGGCGACAAAGCAACTTATTTTCGATCGCGCAGTGTATTCTCCCCCTTTACAGACAGATTGCATAATATTACAATCGCATGATGCAAAACTCGACAATTAGCAGGAAACTACTAGAAACATCTTGTCACCCATGAAGCAAATTATTTTTTCACTGCTTTATTCGAACTGATCAGACAGAGCATGATGTTACTTTATAACCTCAATGTACATATCATACTTTTGTCCGATCATAAGTTCGAATAATATTTGTGTTTCAAATATTAATTGTACAAGGGGCGATCCATATATTCTGATAAAAATGCTCTCATTTTGTGATTTTTTTCACATATCCATCTTATTTTTTCAGAAAATGTAGATTATGTAATTACACATACAATGCTAAAATATTATAGCTATATCTTAAATTATTAATGAGATAAGGTTGCCATGGTAACCTGTATTAAGGGTAGGCAGGTCAATTAAATTATAACATATAAAGATCATAATAACTTGATATTCTAATTATTTTAAAGCATGCGAAAATCATGCATTTTTCTAAAAGAGTTTGGTAGTGTTACTCTTCACTCTTTGTTTGTTGCTAAACAAATGTTTATATGTGCTCACTATAACATCACAACAAATCACAATAGCATTGTAAGACAGAATGGGCCAATTGACATTACATGTTATGAGACACACCAAAAATCAAATTGTCAGATGAGGTTAATGTGGCTGATGCAGAGTGTGATATTAACGGATACATTAGGGAATACAATTAGATTTTCTTTTCTTTTAAGAATAAGTTAGAGGACACTGTCAGAGACATACATGGACTTATTAAGTGCATGGGCAAGGTGTTATATCTGCATAAAGCATCTATAGGTAGTATTGTAAAGAGGAAGGCATGGTCACTGTTGAAGATCATCCACAATCTGGTTGCAAGAAGAGCTTGCGGACAGAGAATAATACTACGATAAATTGAGATGTTACTCATGAAAAGATAGCTATCCCACTGTATAAATTATCAAACAAGGGCAACAGGGGTATGGAACAGATCAATGAATAGTTGGCAATGACTGGAAGATGCGTTTGGTCTGCTTAAAATAGGTACCGAGGAATGATTAAATTAACATATTTATCTATTTTTGACGTTATAATTTAACCGACCTGCCTACCCTAAATACAGGTTACCATGGCAACCTTATTTCAAAATTAATTTAAGATATAGCTAAAATAGTTTAGCATCGTATGTGTAATTACATAATCTACATATTCTGAAAAAATGAAAGGGATATGTGAAAAAATCACAAAATGAGAGCATTTTTATCAGAATATATGGATCGCCCCTTGTATGACATATACGAAACAAATTTTAATGCAACTAGAGGGAATTGGACCTGCAGGTCTTACTATTCATTCATATTTTTCTGTTTGAAAACAAAGCTTCGACGTGTGATGTATATTTCTTAGTTTTTCAAAATCTTCTGATATTGGTGAGAAATCTACAACATTCCTGTGGTTTTGTCATTACATTGTACATGTATTTTCAATCGCGGTCATCACTTTTCAAACGAGTTATGTTGAAATATCATAAAGTTGTGTTATTCTGATACTTATAAACTAAATATGACAGTCATTCACCCTTTATTAAGCAGTAGATACTTTGCTACATGGGTCTCAAAATTGTCTAGTTTCCTGCTGATTGCCGAGTCTCGCATCATGCGATTGTAACTTTATGCGATCTGTCTGCATGGAGTGATACTCGGCCATAACAACAAGTAGACAAGAAATCAGCGAGTACATTTAGGTCCCAAACAAAATAATTTAATCGATTGTTACATACCCCATTGTTGATAACGATAGCCTTGTCAGGGTATCCCAGTGTGACCATTATATATCACGAATACTAATCCTAACCGATTACTGATATCCCCAGAGGTATATTTCAAGTTATAAACCACATTCATATGGCGTAGGGGAGAGAAGTGTATATCAACCTGAATACAATGATTACAGTGTAAGTGATCAACCCGCTCGATCTGAAATTCTCGTCAAAGAGCTCTCAATTTTGCATTATGTAAATCGAGGTGGCATATGTATCGAAATGAAACACAATCAAAGGTCAAGGTTAGGGTATACTTTCTCACCAATCTCAAGTGTCGGGGCGAATTAATGGCCCACAATATGACACTGGATGTTACATCTAGCTTGTATCGCAGGCAAGCTAGTATTTTCCTGTGTGTATTTTAACCATTTAGATTATTTCCCATTTTGACATATATTATAAGGATGTAAACGTCCAGCGTGCCCAGCAGCAAATGCTGCAATGATGACTGATAAAATTCCCTGGTGCAAAATTTGGAGCCACACGAGACCATCTACCCCATCAGATAACATAAATCGAAATAATGCTCCGAGTGTAGTGTAATATAGACGACCTCATTGTCAGGAAAGTGATGCAAATAAATAATCTTGATCTAATCTACTTGCAGACCAGACGATACTAAAACCACTGCACAATACAGACTATTAGATTATCAGACGATAATGCAACTATTCCAGAGGTTTTAATCTTGGGGTTTCACTTATGGAACACAGAATTCCAATAGAAGCAGATGAATAAAAGCTACGTGGGGACGATTTGACAGTCGGACTGGACTAGAATATGAGACTTATAAGTATGGATTTAAAAACTTGTCGAGGCGTACGTACCTACATCACTTGTTACAAGTACTAATTGTTATAAGCTTGTTATAAGTATAGGAAATACAGATACTTTCGAAGTAATTCAGTATAAATGGAATGATGAATAATAAGCAAAGTGATATATATATATAGATATTTACAAAATAGAACGAGTCTCATTAGCGTAAGGCGCTCAACACATCAATACGATATTGACTATCGGAATAAAGCATTTGAGTAAACTGCATAATGAACGACGTAAAGGCTTTTCTAATTAGGATCTTTGGGCTTTCATCTAAGAGCGCTTGTATCACTGCTACCAGTCTATATTAGTTTACTGAGCAGTCGGAATGTTACCAATAAATTGGTAAGATATAGCAGCGGTATCTCCAGGTGTTAACTTCAGAGGACCATCCAATAAATCAGAACGTTACTAGTTGGCTTTTTTACAACACGGAGAGCAGCTAGGGGAAATAAACTCAACAGAAAACTTGAAATAGCAATACCTCAGCCGAATGATCCTCTTATGATTCACGTAATAACCATCACTGTGGATTAAGCCGAAGAACGACGCAGAAGCGTGGACTGTACGTGATAGTGGAGAAACAAGTATGAATTAGACCGTATCCTGTACTACAAAAAGTGAAGGAATAATCATCAAAACTAATCAATCAATAATGAATATAAATGTATCATCAAAGGATAAAGTCTTCGATTAATAAACTCTCATAATGAGCATTGTAAATCTAGCGTAATGATGCGTTAGTTAATTCCAATAAGAAAGGAAAGAGGAATATATCATGGCACACCTGTACAGGCATGTCAACCTAAATGACAGGTGGAATACGAACATATTTACATTTATTCTCCCAGCCAGTTTAACCAATGAGTACGCCACTGGGAAATACTCTCGAGATTTCGTTTATGGGAACCAGAAATGGAACATATTATTAAACAAAGGTGACAAACACTTGAGCTCATATTTGACATTGAAAAATGCTGCTAAAGGAATGGCGTGTACTGTGGATTATACAGTTTCACTCCTCAATCAGGAACATTTCACAAAGAATGAATGTTTTACTAATAAAGCGAGTATGTTCAGTTCAGATCAGTGTACACATGGCCTGAGAACGTTCGTTGGAATAGGTGACCTCACAAACAGGCGTTTCATGCATGACAACGGTGAATTCCTAGTAGAGATAGAGTTGAAAAATTGCAGCACCATCTTCAGGGACTATATCCAACTACCAAGCTCCAACCAAAAACATCACCGAGATAGAAATCATTACTATGCAAACGACTATGACAGATTAGAAACGACGTATTTCTGTTTTGGCATGTGTGACTGGAGTCTGATACTGTATCCAGATGGCGACTCAAAGGGAAGTGAAGGTATCCCAAGGCTCCATCTATGTCGACACACAAGCTTTGATCACCTATGTAGGGCCGAGTACAAGTTCAAGATAGGCCAGGGAGACAGAGTGTATCTGTCTGAAAAACTTACCGATATCCTCAATGAAAGTGGAATGGGGCAAGGTTTCTTAATCAATGACAATCTCCATAGCCTTGCAATCAAGGGAAAACTAAGAATTCAAGTAGAAATGCTCTCAGTTACTGCTATAAGTGAGGTTAAGATTGCAGTGTTGAACCGTACAAGAAATAGAGCTAAGTTCTATGACAGAGACAAACAGGCCTGGGTTCTTGAAACAGACATTGATTCCGAGTTCCTTAAACTGAGGTTATACTACAGTGATGTGAACAACGTCCCTAGGAAATTCACCCGTTATGTGCGATGGGCAGTCAATGTCGTACCGCAAATTGCTCTCAAAGGCCAAGCTAAGAGGTCGATCGACGCCAGGGGGTCTCCATTCTCAAACTACTATGCCCAACATGAGAGTGATGAGGGATACGAAATGCAGGTCGATATACCAACAATAGACGTAAGTATAGAAGACATGTCTCAAATTGGGTTTGACCCCAAGTTATTGTTCTTATAATGAGTTTTCATATTTTAAAACATCCGTTCTTCCATTTTTGGTCCAAGGAATATAGCTGGAATATTGATGCCCGATCTTAAAAGATGCCATTCTTCTATTTTGATCACACGTTGTAAAATGATTTTTATGTCTGCCATCTACAGAATCTTTTGGACTTCACTGGGTATTGATGGACCTATTGGGATTTAATTGTGACCTGATTATCGAAATAACTTAATGCCCGGCAAGGGTCTCATATAATAGCACACCAGACCTTCACTCGCACATTTATCTATTGGTAAAATAGAATTTATTTTCCCACAAATGAGCTGTAAAACGTCATATTAACGCATATATTGCCCAACATGAATAATTGGTAATATTTGAGCACTTAAGCATCGCTTTTTAGCCCATGGGTAATCTAGAAACGTCAACGAACGAGAGTATGTGACCAATTTTACCATATGTTTTGATTCCCGAGACGTGTCGCAAAAAGCTCGCGCACGCATTGTTACACATTTTGTGGCGTAATCCAGAGGATCCTCGCTTTTAACATATAGAATGTGACGTTTTTGAGAAAAATGTACACACATGAAAATCCTTTCGTCCTCCACATTTACCTCTATATCTCAAAACATTTTAGACGAATAACTCTGATATCATATATATATTGTTAATGGGCTAGGAGCATCATAAAACACGAATCAATTGATATTTTAGGTGAAATAAATATACGTGTTGCTGTGCTTGAAAATAGGCGAATGGCGTAAATTAGCCCTATTTTAATGAATTTTGAAAACCTTTCGTCCTCCACTTTTCCACATACAACAGAAAACACATACTTTTGTGAACAAAATCAACTATTTATTAATAAACTAGAGTTTAGGAGCAAAATAATCATGTATGATTTATTAAAAATTGACCTCGTATTTTTTGTTTAATGTACACCTGAAAAGTTGAAGGTACCAAAAAATGAGCAAAAAAGGTCGCTGTCAACAGATTCTATTTTTCAGACTCTATGACGTCACAATATGGGACGCTTACTAAAATTCATCCTTTGAAATAAAACTTCCATCTACCTTTATCAAGATGAAAAATAAGTATAATAGTCATATATTGTTTGAGTTATGAGCGTTTAAAGACGAAAAATAATTCAAAATGTAACGTGTCAACATGGGATATTTGCCAGATGTTTTGGTAAAAAACTCTTTTTTAAAAACGAACGCGCAAAAAATGTGAACGGAGTGTAGTTGATCTAAAATCTTCATCGAAACAGCTTTAAAATGATATATAACTTTAATTAGAATATTGTCTTATAATCCGGGGAATCAAAGTTACATTCACGCGATACCCTTAAAAAACAAATGCGCCACCTTTTTGCGACACGTCCGAGTGTTATCTTACCAGGCAAGATTGGCAAAGATATATCTAAAAAGCAAATATGTTATTAGTTCAATTTTAATAATGACTCAAAAGAATTGTCACCAAAGTGTACACTATAGGCTATACTGTAATGTTATATACAAACACATAATACATTATTCGTTTCTGAAAAGCAGAAAGAATGATTACCTGGAATGCTAAGAGCATGTCACAACTCATATTCCCAAAACTCTTATATCAACTGTTAATGCATACTTACCAACGGCATTGGGTATTGTATAATATATGGCAAAAAAACTAATCACGTATCTGTTAGTTTTACTGATAGCCTGTTGAATCACATCATCTATCTCGATAAGTAGACCCGATAAATAGGATACTATCAAAACAACAGATGCTAAACGTGACCTTATCTGAATTAGATAAAATACCATTACGATTTCTTCGATAATAAATCCCAGAAAAAGCTAAATACCACACGGCGAATCCCGATAAGCTTTGCTGACACATTCTATTAGAGCTCCCGTGAGATTACATGGTATAGATGTTAGGTAATATGGCTCCATAAACACAATCTGTCTAAAAAAGACACATTAGAATACAAAAGAGATAATAGCTCTGTTTCAAAGGGATTATTGAGAGATAAACCGACTTAAGATCTCAAGGGGTAATGTGTTAATTAGAATAAATCACGTGTTTTGAATAGTACCTATGACCTTATCCAATATTTGGAGCCAAATTAGAAAAAATTACCAAAGCTCTGTTCTTAAAAGGGAAAATCGGGTGTAAAAGGAAGATGGAACTGCCAAGTAAAGCTAATTGTGTCTGTTGAAAATGTTTGAGTCACTGAAACCAGTAAATTTATTTTGATTTTGTCAATATCATGATTTCTAGGAAGTACCAAAGACCCAAATTTTACAGTTATGTATGAGAACATAATGAATACAAATATGAAATCATGTTCAAGAATTATGAAGTATACATTTCAAGCAAACTTGAAAATATAGTTTAAAGGTCTCATAAAGTATAAGCAGTGGGGTGTAGGTGTTTTATGTTTATAAATACCCAATAGCTGCTAAGCCACACCCCCTGCTTAGAGCTGATTGGCTGTTTGTTATCTGGTAGGCATTTCACATGTTACAAAAGACATCCGGGTGTACCAATTAGTTGAAGTTTTCCTCGTTGAATAAAAGTAAGGTTTTGTTCTTTTGTGTGATCTATGCTTTGCATTACGCCACGGTGTGGCCAGCTCATGTATGTTTAGCAGGGAGTGCCCATGGTAATGGTTTGTTTATTTGTGTGAAGAATCCATGCTTTAGATTACGTCGCAGTGTGGTTGGCTGATGTATGTTTAGCATGGCCATGGTAATTGTTGGTGAAGTTGGCATTGTACTCGTAGAAAATTGATGGAGTATACAGATTTTGAAGTTCAGTTGAGCCAGAATGTATCAATAATGTCACATAGAACTGTTGAGATAAGCATATTCAATTTTTGAACAAGAGCATATATATAAATGTCAATGATGCTTTGATGCTGTTACAAATAGTGACAGTGGTGGGATGCAAGTTGATTTTGATAGCTCTCTTTCTACTGCAACTACTCCTTAAATGCAGTTTAACTGGTCGATGTAATGAGATAACGTTGGATATTCAGTCTTTCTAATAGTATGTTTTTTATTCAACTATGAGAAATCAATATAGTATGATCACCAGAAAGTATTTAATTTGAATTCAACTGTCTTCATGTAATAGCTCTCTTAATTTTAAGAACCGGGTGATTGTTATGATTGCAAGTAAAAAAATATGATATTTCACATCAACAAAAGTAATGTTTTTTGGTCAATGTGTTCGCAGTTATTAGAGTAAAGTGCCTTTATTACCCTTACAATTCAAAATATCTGAATTATGATCGTGTAGCGTCTGACTTTTATCTATTTATAACGATGATTATGACTTATATTGCTTTCACAGAACAAACATTACTAAGTATTTTGCTCCATTGTAAAGTAATCTGTAACACAACCCTCCTCTCTTAATAATGTTCGATTTCGAACCTTCAGCACATCATTAGATATTTCGAGATTAAACTTCCCCCATTTGGGACTATATTTGACATAAGTACTTATCTAGCACGCCATACATACGTTAGCATAATCACACGTTGGAAATTTGAATTGACTTATACATCATCTGACAAAGGTTTATAAATCAATGGCGTATATTTGACCAAGGCAACTATGAGTGTAAACAGTCAGACTCGACTAGATAGGCAAATGTGCGAATTCGATTTCTTCTCATTCAGCTCAAATCCATCGCTATGGCTCAAATTAGTTTATTTGGAAATAAGTTTGTCAAAATACCGAAATATATTCGCTCATCAAATACCAAAAATAATTGCTCATAAAGCAGAAATTGACTCACTTAGAATAACATTCCAAAGATGTTGTCTGATGAGTTATTAAGATGCGCCTGACAATATCGAAGACAATCGCATCTTAAATAATGGCCGTAAAAGTACAATTGCTCCATTATTTTCCAATTCAAATCAAATAAGCCATTTGTAGTTGATATGAATCAAGCACGATTCAGAACTTAATTTAGGATGACGATTGCAAACATAGACATGAACACAAATGTGTACAATATGTCCCCACCAATGGTTGATCCCATCAAATGGTTATCCTGAAAATGAGTAGACAAGACTTTACTGACACAATTTGAGGACGGAAAGTCCAAAATGGCTGCCTTAAAATTTACCCAGAATCCCCAAAAATTAGCTAGTTCTAGATTTTCATACTAAGAATCACCCCTGAAAATTTGAAATTGATCCGTGAAACAGTTAAACAAGACTTTACAGACAAGATTTTAGGATGGAAAATCCAAAATGGCTGCCTTGACATTTACCCAGAATGTCAAAAAACTAATCAGTTCTAGATTTTCATACTAAGAATCATCCCTGAAAATTTGAAATTGATCTACCAAACGGTTCACCTGAAAACGCGTAGACAAGACTTTACAGACAAGATTTTAGGACAGAAAATCCAAAATGGCTGCCTTGACATTTACCCAGAATGCCAAAAAACTAATCAGATCTAGGTTTTCATACTAAGAATCATCCCTGAAAATTTGAAATTGATCTAACAAACGGTTCACCTGGAAATGCGTAGACAAGACTTTACAGACAAGATTTTAGGACGGAAAATCCAAAATGGCTGCCTTGACATTTACCCAGAACGCCAAAAAAAACTAATCAGATCTAGATTTTCATACTAAGAATCATCCCTGAAAATTTGAAATTGATCTACCAAACGGTTCACCTGGAAATGCGTAGACAAGACTTTACAGACAAGATTTTAGGACGGAAAATCCAAAATGGCTGCCTTGACATTTACCCAGAACGCCAAAAAACTAATCAGATCTAGATTTTCATACTAAGATTCATCCCTGAAAATTTGAAATTGATCTACCAAACGGTTCACCTGAAAACGTGTAGACAAGACTTTACAGACAAGATTTTAGGACGGAAAAAACCAAAATGGCCGACAATAAAAAAGTGATTACGAGTTTTTGCTGATTTCCTT